CCCCCCAAAAGATGCAACTCTTCATCACCGGCGCCACCGGCTACATCGGGCGCGTCATAACCGAACAAGCCGTGGCAGCCGGCCACACCGTGCGCGGGCTCTCCCGGCACGACGCAGGCGACGCGCTGCTGCGCTCCCTAGGCGCGACGCCCGTCCGGGGCGATCTTAGCACGCTCGCCATCCTCCAGCGCGAGAGCTCGCGCGCCGACGCCGTGCTGCATCTCGCATACATCCACGACTGGGCGCGGGACTACTCAGAGATCCTGCGCATTGACGGGGCAGCCGTGGACGCGCTAGCGTCGCCGCTGCAAGGGACGCAGAAGCCGCTCGTGATCACGTCCGGGACGCTGGCGGTGGAGGCTGATGCCGAGGGCAAAGAGACGATTGAGGAGTCGCCGTTGGCGAAGAATTTGGTCGTCGATCGTGCGAAGTCGGAACGGCATGCTTTGAGTTGGAAGGAGAAGGGCGTGCGCGTTATGGCGATCCGCTTACCGCCGTATGTGTACGGGCGAGCCGGGAAAGGCTTCCTCGTGCTCTGGATGCAGACGGCGGTTGATGCTGGCGAGGCCGTGTATATCGGGGACGGCGCTCAGCGCACGGCTGGAGTACATGTCGATGATGCAGCGGCGCTTTTCTTGCTCGCGGCCCAAGGAGGGAAAGCCGGAGATGTCTTTAATGGCAATTCTTCGAACAATATCACTGCTCGCGAGATGGCGGAAGCGGTCGGGGACGTGGTCAAGGTCCCGGTGCGCTCGGTCAGCGTCGATGAGGCTGCGGCCAAGTTGGGCCCCTTGCTTACGATGCTGGCGCAGACCGAGAACCGCCCGTCGTATCGCAAGGCCGTGGAGAAGTTGGGGTGGCAGCCCAGGGGAATCGATATGCTCACGGATCTCCGATCGGGCTCGTATGTAGAGATAGCGAAAAAGATGCAAGAGGGTAGTACTGGGGCGAAGTCGAAGGTTGTCTAGATGGGCATATGGGCATGACGGTGGGCTGTGATGGGAAACCATCGGGAAGGCTATCCTGACACGGAGAGAGTTGCTTAGTTGGTGCATTATCTTGCGGGATGATATGGATATGAGAAACTCACAACTTAGCTGAAATGCATTTCAATCTCTAATATGACTTTCGCGATCCGGTGAAATTGAAGGCCGCGCTGTCCTGGCGCCGATGGATCGTCGCACAACCTGATCCGAATCACAAAAGAAGACATAGCAAGAACACCATGAAAATCTCCTATCAGGAGATATTATACACTACCTCTACCAAATCCATTACATCGATCAACTCATTCCTATTCATCGACCTCCTTGACCTCACTTTCTTTGATCTCTTTAATAAGCCCCCTAACCTGTGCATTGTTTTCAAAGCTTAACAGAATCAGATCAATCACCTCCTCCTTAGTAAACTCCAAGCTGAGGCCCGTTTCAAACCACAGAAATCTGATGTTTGCCAGATTACTCTGCAGCACTTCACCTAGGTACTGCATCTTCCACCACTTATCCGCGAACCTGGCGGTCAGAGGAGCACTCCCCAAGGCCATACCGGTAGTGTCTACACTACCTTTCCGCGAGCCGTTTCTGGCGCCCGAACCATTGGAGGGCGGTGATTCGGGAATGAAGAGATCGTCGAGTTGGGTAACTTTGACGATGAGCTCAGCGACGAGGTTGGCTTCCTCGACTCCAAGATTATCACGATCGAAGACACCGGAAATAATCTTTTTGGCAACAGTGTTGACGAGGGAGCCGACGGCTGAGGCCCAAGCAGAGTAGGAGAGGATCTTTTTCCACATTTCAGACGTTTTTCGGATATGTAGGATGACTGTTTCGATTCCCTGCTCCAGCTCATCTCTTGTAGAGTCTTCCAGAAAACTTCGCGCCCCTGGATTTGTCAGCTAAACGAGGAGATAGATGTCTGAAATACGTACCGCCTAGAAAATCATTGATGATAGTTCGTTGGGATGTTAGTTCGTTCGTGTATGCTCGTTTGCCAAAGCTCGCCAGTTTTTCGATATCGGGATTCAACTTTACCAGGCCGCGAGCGCGGGGTGCTAGGTCTTCTCGACTTTCCCATGATGCAGCGAACTCTCTCAGCTTATCGCAGAGCCATATGCTATCATTATAGGCGTACCTGTTGACGTATCAGCTAGGAGATCCGGGGGTGGTTCTTGGGAGACCTACATGTTACCGCTTGCATCTTGGGAATAGTAATATGGTGAAATAGAGCGGTACATGGCAAGCACCTGCGTTGGAAGACTGAACAGACCAGCGGCTGCAGGAGCAACGGGTATTTGCTCGTTCCTATCACAAGTCAGTCAATGGGCAGATAAAGGAGGAGAATACGCACTCCGGCTTTGTGAGTTCTGCGCCGTCATGGTATATGACATTGATAGTATCGAACACCGGTTTGGGTATGGAAGACGTCCAGTAAGGTTCGGATAGAGTAACCTCCCGCATCTCGGGAGTAGTTCCCTCATTTTTCGAAGGTTGCTTCTCTTCGGCTGGGTTGGGTTCTGCGACAGGCTCGTCTGCTATATCATCATCTCCCCAGCCCCAAGCATCGGCTGCATCATCATCAAGGTCTGCCGGGCTCGAGATAGAACTAAGCTGCGGAATGTAGGTTTCAGATGCCCTACGTTCTTCTTCGACAGAGGCACGATTCATTCCAGAAGGGATTTCTGACTCGTCCTTCTCATCACTCTCCCAACCGGCATCCCAGTCTGAAACTTCCACTGTTCCAGTCTGGGCAATGTCTACGCCTTCATCTCGGGCGACCATCTTCTTTTCGGAATGCTGCGCAAGCAATGGAGCACCAAGACCTAAAAATACGTGTCAATAATGAACGAAAGTCATCAGCCTTGACATATTGCTCTTGGAGGCAATGCGGCGCAAGAAATATGCGGATGAGGACTCAAAATAGGGAAGAAATCCCGGCGGAAAAGGGGTCCTACCTAGTGCTAGTTGATTTCGAGTCCAATCCAGAGTAGTCTCTTTCCTCTTGACGAGCCAAATCCTGTGTGCATTTGAAACCCAATCGTAAAAGCCGTCCGCCGCAGGCCAATCCAGCGATTCGAGTATCGCAGCAAAGTCGTGCACCTGGACCAAGGTCTTTTGATACTCGCCCATATCATCCAACGATGACGGGACAGCGGAATCCAGCCACTGTTCTTTTATACGTGTGAATAAAATCGGCATCATCACGCTTGACAAAGATTTTACGAATTCGTTGGGTAGGTATTGGACAAGAAATCGAACAATGTTTTCGAGATCTTGGAACAAGGATTTTACTGAGGTGTCTGCCTGGGCTTGTCCGATGCTAAGTGTGTTCTAGACAGCCGTTAGTTGTGAGGTTACTCTACCAATCGTGGAGACGTACATCTTGGATCAGGATAGAGGACGGAGCCCGCGCTCGAATATCAATCCGCGGTGTTAATATTCGAACGTCCAGATCCTCCCAGAATTGCTTCGCAATTGTATCAAGTTCTTTAAATGATTTCCATGAGGTAATTGCCTCCCCGATATTCGTCGCGTCACCATTGACCACCTCCCTAATGGTAAGACTTTGTGTATCATGGTTGACCCAATGAACTAAGTTTGCCCAAATATCCGCCAACTGCTCGCGGATAAAGCTTCGCAAGTCGAAGCTTCGGTCAACAAGCAACCGAATAGCGCGAGCTGTTCTCTCAACAGGAATTTTGTCCAGGACCTCCCACGCCTCTGGAAATGATCAGTGACCTATAAGACTATAAACCCCAATCACACGCACCTGCCAATAATCCGAGAGCCTCCAAAATATTTTTCTCGCCCGCAACACGCTCCGCTCTGTCCAGAGTGTCGTTGACCTGCTGTATGCGTTGTAATGCTTCACCAAGGTGCTGATTAAATAATAGCTCCTTCTCCAAAAATTCCACGTGTGCCTTTCGGTCCTCCAAATATTCAAGTCTGCCCTCATCAGCTTCGGCTTCTCGAACAATTTCTGTTGCCAGTCTCCTCGATCTTTCGATGTCTTCTTGAACGGCTCTGGCGTTGGTCATCCATGATTCGACATCTGGGATAGTTTCTCGGCTGACGTTACGGATCTCTGTCTACAAAACAACGATCAGTATAGCGCTTTCGGGAACGTATCTTTCACGCCGGGAGATATAGGAAATGAGAGAAGCAGCTTACCTCCAGGTCTAGTTTCGCATCATTCAATGCCTTCAGAGCCGCTGGCAAGACAGAATCCCCGACAGAAGCTGCAGCAAGAGTCTCCTCCTCCGGAAAGGCGCCATTTTCGGAGTAATCAACAATGGCTGGTCCAATCCGAGCTTGGATGTCTTCTGAGACCATGGTGGCAGCAATATCTGTTGACGGACTGGGCTAGTTAGAGTGGCGCATCAAATGTCTAGCTGTATGGTCATTGGAATGGATGCATTCTCGTCAAATGAGCCTAACGCAGGTAATCTCGAAGCAAGGAGTCGTTAGATTTCAAGGCTGAGAAGCCATTGTCCCAGAAGTAATATATCTGGCCATGACGCGCGATTACCGTTCCGTCGCGGCAGAAATGCGAGCGCGGCTACAGCGCTTGTTGGCCAATCACAGTCTGAACCCCACAGTCCACATTCCTCCCACAACATCCTATTGTTCTGCGAGAGGCTGCGTTTTTTGCTCTCCATGCCTTATAACGCCTCGACTCTTCCCCTTCGACGTTATTGACATCCACGATTATTCTCCTGAAGTCCTGTTCAACTTGTTGACGAGGAGGCCATCTTTTTATCTCCCTTGTCCTTTGTCAACAAAGTAGTGGCGTCAGCGATTCGTGCCTTGCCCACTTTCCGGGTCCTGAGTGGTGACTGCGCAAGGCTGAGGAATCTGCGGCCTTTTGGAATTTCGAGGTATGGACATGCCACGCCCCCCTTCATTAGCAAAAGCATTTTTCTTTTGAACTCCTCCTACTCTACGTATTACCTTTACCCTACAACATTTGCGACTTCTTCCATCTGCGGGTCTTTTCATGCGGGCGACATCGCTGGAAATTTGGTGGTGATGGCTGGGCTTCTTTCAGCTCAAAGGGCCTATGCTGTCATAGCCTCACTACCTCTGCTTGCCATTATTCTCTATCAAATGGCATATACAAAGTGGTATGCCTCTGCTGCTTTTGTTACATGAGAAATCAGCAATTCAGCGTACCTGGTACATTAGTGAGCATCGAGGTCACGTGATGTGATAATACTCCCATTTTCCCAATGGGGGTCAATCAGAGGAGTAAGAGGGCCAAGGCTTCTTGTTGTTGGGCAGGATTTGCTCATGCCACTGTCATTATTTGCTGTTGTGACAACCATCCAAATGACACAGAAGCCACAAACTTCTTACCCGCCTTAGCCCGAACACCCCACCTCGTTGATTTAAAGCGCCTCTCAAAATACAAACCCAATTCTTTGCAGCTCACCTTTAGATGCATGCTAACTAATTGCAGGCCCAATTATCTCTCACTCCGAACTTTTACCTTTCAATATCTACCATCTTCACTGCTCATCATGCCTAGCCAAACGAGGAAGAGCCATTTTCGGACCATCCAGAAGTTCCAGATCGACTATGCTCCAGTATCCATCTCCCAGTATGTCTCGGAACGGACTGGAATGCATTGTGTAGTCGTCGATCAAAAAGGACCCAAGGTTCAAGGCTACTTCGCTCTTGCCACGGAAATCTTCGACGATTCTGGAGCGCCGCACACTCTTGAGCATCTCGTCTTCATGGGATCCAAGAGCTATCAATACAAGGGACTTCTCGACAAGCTTGCAACTAGAGCATACTCAAACACAAATGCGTGGACTGCGACAGATCATACTGCGTATACCCTAGATACCGCCGGCTGGGAAGGCTTTGCACAGATACTACCTGTTTACTTAGAACATGTGATCTTACCTACTCTCACCGACGAGGGGTGTTATACCGAGGTGCACCATATCGATGGGGAGGGAAATGATGCAGGTGTAGTATATTCGGAAATGCAAGGTGTTGAGAATACAGGCGCAGAGATCATGGACATCAAGGCACGTCAGTTGCTGTACCCGGAGAATGTTGGCTTCCGCTATGAGACTGGCGGATTGATGGGCGCACTCCGCGTTCTGACAGCGGATCGGATACGCGCATTCCATAAGGAAATGTATCAACCGAAGAACCTTTGCTTAGTTCTCATAGGAGAAGTAGATCAAGATCACTTACTTCAAATCCTGGACGAGTTCGAAGACGGGATCCTGGATGACATCCCTCGCCCAGATGCACCATTCAAAAGGTAGGCTATTTTGCATTTTATAAGAACTCTTCTGACTTTCATTAGACCGTGGATAGAATCCCCACAACCGCCTGCAATCAAAGAGACGATAATTGAGACCGTTCAGTTCCCGGAAGAAGATGAATCCACTGGCGAGGTCCTCATCGCTTTGTTTGGGCCAGATTGCAATGATCCAGTTGCCACTGGAGCGCTCAATGTACTTCTTACATATCTCGCTGGTTCTTCTGTTTCTATCTTGGAGAATATCATGGTCGAAAAGGAAGAGCTTGCTAGTTCCGTGGGATACTGGTTGGATTCGAGACCGAATACCGTTATTTGGTTCCAGCCCTCTGGAGTGGCTACTGAGAAACTTGCCCATGTCGAGAATCGCCTATTCGAGCTTCTCAATGACGTTGCCTCCAACCCTCTCAACATGGAATACTTGATGGATTGTCTGAGGAGAGAACGAAGACAATTGAAGTTTCAAGCCGAGAGTTCAGGGAGCTACTACGCCAATGGAGTCATAAATGACTTCCTATTCGGTCAGAGAGATGGTTCCACTCTGAAAGACCTAGGCACCATCAAAGAATTTGATACCCTAGAGAAATGGACCGAATCGGATTGGAAAGATTTCTTCAAGAAGTGGTTCATAAATGCAGCACATATCTCAATCCTTGGCAAGCCATCCAAGGAGCTGGCCGAGAGTACTAAAGCTAAGGAAGAAGCTCGACTTGCGGCCAGAAGGAAAGAATTAGGACCAGAAGGGCTAGCAAAATTGGCGGAGAAGCTGAAGGAGGCCATCGCGAAGAACGATGTCGAGATTCCCAAGTCGCTCCTCCAGAAGTGGCCAGTTCCTGGAGTCGAGTCTATACATTTCATTGAATCTACTACGGCAAGATCTGGATTGGCGAGAAAATTGGGCACGCCATCAAATGCGATACAGGCTGTCATCGATAAGTCGAATGCGGATCTCCCACTGTTCTTGCAATTCGAACATGTTCCTACCAATTTTGTCCACATAACATTGCTTTTGGGAACCTCTCAAGTCTCCACGGAGCATCGACCACTACTCTCGTTGTTCATAGACAACTTCTTCAACACTCATATCATGCAGGATGGGAAGCTAGTTGAATTCGAGAAAGTTGTCACAGCGCTCGAGCAGGACACAATCAGCTATTCCATGAACTCTGGGTCACGAATTGGTGACAGTGAAGGTATCGCCATCCAATTCCAAGTCGAGCCCGAAAAGTACGGCGCAGCGATAAACTGGATCCGAACCATGATGTTCGACAGCGTCTTCGATGAAACCAGACTCAATGCTGGAATAGCCAAGATCCTTGCGGACATTCCTGACAAGAAGCGGGATGGTAACAGCATGATGTATGCCGTGGATACCATGTTACATCTTGAAGATGAATCAGCCATCAAAGCCCGCAACACCCTCGTCAAAGCATTATACATGAAGCGTCTCAAGAAACTCCTTGCGAAAGATCCTAAGACCGTCATTGCCTCCCTTGAGGCTCTACGCAAATCTCTCTTTGCATTTAACAACATGCGCGCCCTTGTCATCGCCAATATCGAGAAGCTCCCAACTCCCGTCACCGCTTGGAAGCCTTTAATCTCCCAGCTTGAAACGTCCGCACCACTTCTTCCAATTGTCAAACCATACCAGCGTCTGAACAGTAACGGCAAGAACCTAGGTCAGTACGGTGCAGTAATAGTCCCCATGCCAACCATCGACTCCTCGTTCCTTCTTTCCATTACAAAGGGCCCAACCTCGTACACAGACCCAGTCCTCCCCGCTCTCATGGTCGCAATATCCGTCCTCGAGTCGGTTGAAGGCCCCCTGTGGACCGCTATTCGAGGAACAGGCCTCGCGTATGGTGCATCATTCAGACGTGACCCCGAAGGTGGCTTTATCCATTTCTCCGTCTACAGATCTCCTGACGCCTACCGTGCATTTGTCGCTGGGAAGAAGGTACTTGAGAGCTTCATTTCTGGGGAGCGCGAAATAGAGGATTATGAACTTGAGGGAGCAATTTCTGGAATAGTGGTTGGCTTTGCAGATGAGCAGAGTACTATGGCTGCAGCAGGACAGTTCCACTTCGTGAACAGCGTCATTCGCGGAGTTGACGCAGATTACAATACTAATATGCTTAGGTTGGTAAGACAAGTCGGAAGGGAGCAGATCAAGGCTGTTATGAAGGAGGTGTTGCTTCCAGCGTTCACCCCCGGAAAGGCAAACATTGTGGTTACTTCTGCGCCAATTATGGAGGAGGTACGTTTTTTCGGTCTGGCTATGTCGCAACCATGCTAATGATTCATAGGGCTTGAAAAAGGGGTTCCAAGATTCCGGTTTCAGTACTCGAGTCCAGACCCTAGCCGACTTCCAAGAGGACTACGGTCTCAAAGCAGACGAAAGCGAGGGCGAAGAATCCGACGAAGATGATGACGATGATATGGATGCTGAGATGACCGAGTATTCCGATGATTCTGATGATTCCGAGGAATAGACCAGTAGAATTGGAATAGACTCGAGGTAAAAATCAAAGTGCGCTTTGAATACGTTCTTCAAATAAATCACCGCGGTTCATTCCACAGATTCTTGGCCTTGATGCGTGTGAATTCCGCAACTGCCACACTGGCATCCCACTAAATCCGCAAAATGAACTAAATAATTACAGTTACTTCGAGGCTTGAATCCTAGATCATTGGCGTTTGGATTGAACCACTACTTAAATTGGTCTACCAAGGTGAACCCAACTCTAATCGTGCTTCACTGCAGCTGAATATTGAGGAACCTCTCACACCATATTCCTCAACTATCCCTTAATGGATATATATCTATAAACTTAACTTGAATATAATGATACTAAGCACCGTCGTGGTGGTCAACACACGCGCACCCGCGTAGCAAAGGTAGGTAGATTTATTATACAACCCTGCGCATTTCCCAAGATTGAGGGAACCTTCCCCGGCGTCCCAGGGGCTTCACGATGAGCACACCAGTTCCGACGGCTAAACGTTTCGAAAGTGCCTCTTGTCACAACCCTCAAGGTCGGAGCTGGGGTGGAATTCGGGAATCATTCTAATACTCTTAGCAAGGACGAGTCGACGACGAAGAAGTTCGGTTCAGAATAGATGGCTCAAGGGGTGTTCGCATTAGCTCTACGCTGTTTCAAGGGGTGGAAAACATCAAGACATGGAAGAATGGAAACAATGGAGAGATGAAATCACACCTGACCTCGAACTCCCTCCCATTTGATCTTTCTATGGTTATTTTCATCTTTTCCCCCGTTGTCAATTTGTATTCTCATCGTTATCTTTTCTCCTATTGTCATTTTTGATTCTCATTGTCATTTCCAAATATCCCAAAATTATAATTCAATCAAAAAAAGAAGTGAATCGTTTCTATTTCTTAGCTAACATTGGCTCAAACAGCTTCAGATGAGGCGTTACTGTCTCCCACTCTATTCTCTCTACCTCGCGTCTCCGCTGGTCTTGGGGTAAGAAGAAACCTTGAACTATCTCTGCTTTTATAGATTAAGACAATAGACATTCCTAGAAGGTATATTGAGTATAAGATACGGATGAGCGACAATCGGTAGCTGTTATGAAATGGACCTTGAACTTGAAAGTGAGTTATCCCTGAGTTAGAGGCATGGCCACATGGGCCTCATCTGCAGTGCTGGAAGTCGTGACACCTTAGAAAGGGTCTTCAATAAGACATTTTATTTAGTGGCTGAGATCTATAGAAGAAAAGAAAGAAAGATCCTATGATTTGCTCAGTCCAAAGGGAGGGAGAGGTAGAGAGGCTGCTCAGGGGCATGAGATTTGATATTTGATGCATCCACGCCCCAATATTCTATCCGGACTACGATTATTCAGGGCGGCGATTAGTAATCAGCCCCCCTCAACCACAACTACATCTCTTTCCGCCAACCAAGTTATCACAACTCTACGTCTTGTATAATCGTTCTTTCAAACAAAACGGCCACAGATATGTGCGTATTCTCCTCGCACCGAGACCTTGGGTCAAAGCATTTTTGTACTTACCTTATGGATCCATGCTTCTGTGAGTCTATATCCACAACAGCAGCACTATTTCCATCCAGCTCTTGGTTCCTGTAGTCACTATGCAAGCAGGAGATGAGTTGTTTGACATATTACATTCATGCTCGCTATGCTACTCTGATAGTGCAAACAAAGTGAGAACGACGCACAAAGCTCCTCCAATCATCTGTTTTCTGTTCCAAATTCTGTGCGCTAACCGTGAAAATAAAGGAAAAGCACCGCCGGAAGCTCCTGCAATAATCTGTGTCCTGAGGGTGCCAAGAAAGTGCCAAGAAAGGAAAACTTCTACCTAAAGGTTCTCCAAGTCTCCAATGGTACTCGATTATCCCTCTCCAAATGAAAATACAGTTCGTTACACCATTCCAGTCGACTGGCGTCTCCAGTGGCTGGGGATTTCAAGGAAAGTATAATCCGTTTCCTCTATCTTTGGCGGCTTTTCCTTCTGGCAAAGAGCCATGACCTTGATGTCAAGCTCCTTGGACTCGCGCTGTACACCGTGTACTTTCTCCCATTTTGTATAGGCCTCCAGGATCCATGTCTTTCTAAGTGAAACATCTGCCTTGGCAACGTAGTCCGAAGTGTGCGGGCTCACATCGATATAATCCCCCCATTTAGCGACTACCGGGATCTCAGTACTACTTGGAGTACTCAGAAGAGTCAAAGTCTCAACAGCTGGGAAAACGGACGGCATCCAGGTAATATGATCAGCTGCCCAGCCAACAGATTGCCAACGGATCGCAAGCTTCTTGATCTTCAAGAATGGCTCCGCAATCTTCTTCAGCTCGGGCAGATTCTTTGTTGAGCGGAGAAATACAAGGTTCAAGAGGACAAGGGTATCTTGGCTGTTGTCGAAGTAAATCCCAGTAGGGCCATAACTGTCGAAAAGTTCGATGGTTGTCTTGGTCTCCTGCATGAAAGTTCGGGAAGATCTGCATACGTGATACGGAGCAGGGATCTCATTGTGACACGCAATGCGCACTTTTGTCTTGCCCGTGTCGACAAAGAAGGGGTGGGTAAGGACATAACGTGGACCCGGCAACACCAATTTCCCTAGGAGTTGAGAAATTAGCTATATTGATTGACTCTGATACGGAGACAAGGTCTTCTCCAACCAAGGTTTTGCCCTGATAGATTCCTGCTTGGGAAGGTTTTCTTTCAATATACTTACAGATCTTGTGCTTCACTTCTAATGGGAAGTTCTGAAAGACAGCAAACAAAGTCAGATCGTGTCGGCATGCTTTCCCGAATTCTAAGGCAGTCGTCTTCAGCATCCTTTCACGATGTTCATAGAGCAAGAATAAAGTATCAGCAAAATTTTGCATCTGCTTGTATCGCTTCTCCTGTCCTTTTGTCACCTTATGTTCGAAATGGGCGGTGTTATAGCCATCATCTTGTTCTTTATAGAAGGTGAAGAGTTTATCAGCCTCCTCCTTTTGATAGCACACGAGACTAGTACACATTTCTGGAAGGTCAATACCGTTGATATCTTGATGTTTATGCTTGAATCCGGTATTTGGTTCTGGTTATCTATTGTCAGCAGATTCCAGAGTGGATAGAATTGACTTACTCTCAGTCACGAGGAAGAGAAGACCAACTGAAGAATGATAGAAGACATCATCGACAGTATCACTAGAGTAAAGCACGTCTAAATTGTCCCCGGGTGTCTTAAGGAATACTTCACCTTGGAAGTGCTCCAAATCTTTGTACCCGTTTCTTGAACGGTCAAAAGCTCTGTCCAAGCGTCCTCCGACTGGCCCCTTGAAGCCTGATGGTAAGACAGCCTTTGATCTGTCCGCAAAGGTCGAAGCTGCCTTTGTAGCCATGTCTGATGGTGATGTTTCATTGAATGTAGTCATCATGTACTTCTGACTGGTCATCAGCTTTTTGGGTCTCTTCTGGGAATTTGCACCTCAAGATAAAGACTTCTTACCTTTGTTCCTTTATTCTGGCCAGCGGCAAGAGAACACTTCTTCTGTCTGCAAAATCGACACTTTGGTGGACAGCTTCGTCTCTTTTTTGCAGCCATCTCGCTTTGTTGTTTTGGTGTTGTGCTGAGCTGCTGGTAGATCGAGGAGGAGGATTCTGCCTGCGGCAGAGAAGATGATTTGGTAGAGAGATCTCTTGTCGCATGAATAAAGAGAGATACCCTGGCAAAAGCGAAGTGGCTACCCACAGCTGCGCGAGAAAGACAGTGAATGAGGAGAAAGCAATGAGTCGCGTGAATCTCGGCTTCTTGTTTTCGTTTACTCGCAGAATATCACAACTCACTCGCCTATTCCAATACTAGGTTTTGCATATAAATCTTGAGTCCCCTTCAATATTTTTGCTCCCCGTTCTTCTTGCCCTTTTTTACTAACCGGATCATCTCACACTTGATAGGATGTGGCGCCACGATCCTACTCGAGCTCTCTATCTCGAGCCATTTCCCTCGGTACGTAGAACAGTCAGAAAGTGGAAAACGGAACGCTAATAGGCACAGGAGCATATTTTGGCCGTTGTGAAAGCTGCTGTTGAGAGCGATATTAAACGTCGTGATCTAGCCCAGGCTGAGCATTCACATAATGTCGTATCAAAATCCATCGCTGGTAATATCTCCTAATTTGTGAGTAGAGCTTTGTTCTAACCATACAGACTCGATTGCAAAACTGCACCTCGAACCTAGGAGGTCAGACCATGAAGATCAGAGCCCCCATCAAGATTCCACAGCAGAAGCTGTCAACGAAGGCATCCAGTCTGCCGAGAACCCAGAGCCTTATTCTGACTATACAGAGGTTGAGGAATCACTTGAGTCAACCACGGAAGACTTGCAAAGCCCAGAACTTGCACTCGTTCAGAATCCTGCCACGGACGCTGCGAATGGCACGCTCGAGCCGCAAGTCAACACTCTCACCGAGTTCCTAGTCTTCAACAATCTTCCCCCGGAGCTCCAGATCAAGATCCTCCGCCTTGCCCTCTCCGAGCCCCGCAACGTATTCGTAACCTTCTACTACAGGAAATATACCTATGGCTCACCCATCCGACCCAACAATATCTGGTTTTGCAGCTTCCCCTCCGCCCCGGCCCTCCTAAGCGTCTCCCACTTCACACGACAAGTCGTCCTCTCCACCTACCAGACCTGCATCGAAACGACCCGCGCCCATAAAACCTACATGCACAGCACCAACGATACTCTCGTCCTGGACATCATCGACATAGCGCTCGACACGGAAGAATTCTTTCGCAGCCCCTTCCTCGACTGCTTCGTCCACGTTCAGACCCTCGTGCTCTCAGTATATCATATTGCGGAGGATAGCATCGACAGACAAGGAGCAACCCCCATGCTTGTGAATCATTTCCTGGGCCTCAAGACCCTACTCTTGAACGCAGATTCTGAAGTCTTCTTTCCCAAGATGTTGCCGGCGACGCTGGCGAGGACCAGGTTTCGCGACATCACCAAGATAGATGTGGAGCATGGGTATGATCAACTGTTGAATGAGGTTTGGACGTTCATGGCGAAGGTCATGATGGCGATGCTTGAGGCGGGCAGGGACGTACCGGAGATGTGGTTGGTGAAGTGTGAGGTACCAGCTAGGGGTTAAGACTGTTGGGTTTTCCTCTTTCCCTGTGTGAGAAAAAGGGGAGGTGTTAAGTCAGAGACTAGGGAGGGATAACGGTAGCGTGACTTAAGATCAGGAAATCGAATTACGGTGACACTTCTCACATACCTTACATCAAACAAACAGCTCTTAAGGTATTCATAATGCCGTGTATCCAAAACACCCTCTAACTACAAAGTCAGTCAGCCTCTTAATATTCATATGAAATCAAGAGATTTTCCCACGTATACTAACTCCATAATAAACAGTACTTAAAAGACACCAAGAAAATGAGTCTTTGAAATTGGCGCTAGCGCCCCCCTTTTTTTTCCATCCCCCCCCCTACAAACCCAAACAAAGTCTATCACTCGGGATAAGCAAAAGCATATCGCGGCAGCGTGAATAGCTCTGTTGCTTGGGTTCCAGGCGTGTTAAGGGTAACGTATCCTGGCCTTTTTAATATCTGACCCTGCCGCAATTCTTGTTTTTTTTTTCCATTTTTCCCGTTTCTTTCAGTAGGTTCTCCAAGATTCTCCTTCGAGTATGGTTTTCAACTTTTCAATAATCATTATATTAGAAATTCGACATGAGAACATAGATAGCTAACTAAACTCGAGCACTTCGATATTATCAGCTTTCTTTTGTTTCTTTGTTTAGGCCCGCCATTCCTTATTTCATAATACCCAAAACCCAAAATTGTGAATCCTATCTCTTCCAGAAATCCCTTTTTCACGCACGACATAACCCGCAACTGATCTCAAAAGGGGAGAGAAAAGAAAAGACACCGATATCTATCTATCTACCCTCTCCCTTGCCATCTCCCCCTTTCAAAGAAGCAGTTCCGAACATCTCCCTCACACGATCATGATACAGCCTCTGTTCTTCCACTTTTCGCTCGATGAACACCTCAGCGTCCAAATCCCAGTACGGCATCACCACCCTACTGAACTGATCCGTATCACCTTCATCAAACCTGGGCTGGATATGGCACAGGAAGAGGGCATACAACGCACTCGGACAATCCAGGGCCTGCGCGTACCAAAACCGGCCCGTATTCCAGCCCTTCCAGAGGATCCGCGTGTAGGAGTCGGAGCTGTGGAGAGCGCGCTCCTCATGCTCAAATGCATTCATGAATTCACGGTGCGCCGCTGTGTAGTCTGCCAGGTGCGTGTCGATTATTCCGTCGATGTGTCGGTTGGAAATCCAGGACGGGGGGCTGAGCATCTCGATGGGCCGTATGCAGGACCACTCGAGATCAATAAGGCACGTGATGTGCCAATTCTCGTCAACAAAGATGTTACTCTGGTGGAAGTCAGTCAGGGTAGTGATGAAAGGGCCGTGACGAAGATTTCGGTCTGTGAATTTGGGGAGGAGGGCTCGCATGGCTGTCAAAGCTGCGAGCTGGTCCTCGCCGTCAGCCTTGTCGTGGATGGCGTTAGGTTGGTGTCGGAGACGGTTATCTTGGCATGCAATAAGGTCAAGAAGGTATGGCTCGACCGAGGTATAGGTCAGATCCCGCGGTATGTCGGTTGGGATTTGATTGTTTTCGAGTTGGTGGAGGAGGAAAGTCAGGGGGCGGTTGGTCAGGGAGAGGATCCCGCGGTTGTCTATCGTCCATGAACCGATCCGTGGGAGGGGAAGCTTCGCAAGAGAGAGCATTATCCTTGACAGATCCCGAAAGAGGTTCATTCTTCGATTTGGGTCATGGCGGTGTTCGTCCCACGACTCGGAGAGCATCTTGCCTTCGCTCACATGTTCTATGACTAGATATCCAACATCGAGGAGATGCTGGCGAGGGTGAGCAAAGTAGGGAGAGAGTGTGTCTCCAGATATCCATAATGTGGCACGGCGGAAATACCACAGTATTCGGTTGTAGAAGCGTTCGTTTTCAAGCGCTGTAAACTGTGCAATCCTCAGTCAGCAAGTGAGACACCTCTTCTGGGGTGGGAACCATGTACGGATTGCGTTCCTGGAAAGCCAAAGCCTAAAAGCTTAGGCGTAGGAATAGCAGGACAGTTTCTCTGTAGCCATAGATAGGTGGCAGCTTCACAGCGCAGCTTCTCATCGACATTCCCCGGTTGGAAGGTCTCCCCGACCTTATATGGGAGGGGGAATCTAATGATGGCTCGTTGGGGCAGATTCCAGCTCCTGTCCGTGATATAGATGGGTATGCAGGCATTGAAGCTGCCATGAATCCATTCTTCGACCTCTCCAACCCTGAAGCTGGCTTTTGGAATGCCCAAATGGCGGGAGACGATCTCGGTTATCTCAGAGCGGTGTTTGAAGAGGTAGAGCCAGAAGTCGAAGCGCTTCTTCGGGAGGGACAGTTCTTGAAGAATATCGTTGTCTTCTTCCAAGGCCTCCTGTAGCGTAATCTTTCCTTTGATCAGTGGCAGAGTGGTCTCCATTGCATGTTCCAACGTCGTGTTGGAGGTGCAAGGCGACGTGGAAGACGACAAGTCAGGAACGAGGCTGGCAGTAAATATGCTGAGTCATCAAGCTCTCTCGCCGGAGCGCAAATCATGATTCGTCGAACTACAGGGAGGTCCTTAATGGAGGAATGCTTTGCTTTTGTTAAATCAAATCGTGTTGATGATTGATACTCGCAAAACCAAACATTGATCTGTTCAATGATGCCTATGTCCTTACGTGGGGAAAGGAAGCTCTGTTGTGAACGCGGAGAGATTTCCTCCTCAATTGCAGAGACAAATCAGAATGCGTGACAAGGCTCAGGAGCCGCTACCTATGATGCTCTATCACCACTCGTTTCTCCCGTCTTTCCTTGCGTATCTGCTGCCGTCTTTCCTGCTGCTTCAGCTTTCTCCTTTTTTGCGGCCGCTATCCTCTTCAGCTCTGCCCTCTTTTCCTTGGCCGCATAGCCGGTGCTCGATAGCTGTTGGATCGTTTTCTGGTCCGTTAAGGCATTGGTGATTCTTGCGTTGTCTTCCGAGGTGCTATCCATGTATGCAAGCGTCACCGCGACAGAGCTGGAATCTATTAGTCTGTTGACTTGGCCAAGGGCTGGTAAAAGTAGAACAGCCATACCGCGCAGTCAGCAAGAGACTGGTGAGATCTGACGGAGCTTTGGATAAGCACCGGAAAGTTTCTGAGCTTGATCCGAGGAGTCAAAGTTCGTTGAGCAGGTCTAGTAGCAAGGTGGAAAGCAGGCTTATCGTGATGGCAGTCGAGGCGCACTGAGAGGCAAGCAACACCTGAGGAGTTGGTTGCTCATACTCGTCAAGACTTACGGGAAGCAAAGCGGGGCTGGGGCGGTTGCGGATATGCAAGTCACAGTTGAAAGTATCTCTTGCAGAGATTGGTCTATCATGCATCATACTGAAGTCCTGTGGTTGGAGTTCCACCACTTGACCCTCCCTAACGCAGAAACCTGCCAATTATATGGTTCAGCAAGCGCTGAAGCATCCACTCTATGCAGATTTGACCGGGGAGGCAGTGGCTGCCTAGCGGCATTGGGTACGGAGCATCCAACATATACTATTAGAATGATAGGCTGGCATCATTCAGCGGAATAAAATCACCATTCTTGCAAGCGCTTGTGGGTGTACTATTTATACTCATGCGGTACTCGGCCCTGCGGGGCCTCTAGAGTCCGTAGGGAGTGCGGAGTAGGATTTCAAGTGTGGATGGCTTTATCGAGAGTCGAGATGTAGTGTTGTATGGCGACTCGAGGCTGTGGAGCAGAGATGTTGATTTATTATCAAGTTAAGATAGAGTTATTGGTTCGGTTCGCAACGGCTCGGCGGCTCAGCCCTTCGGCGGAAGTCTGGTGCGGAAGAACATAGGTATCAGATTTTACAAAATGTATTAAATATGTTAAGTTGAGGTAGGATAAGAACCGACGCATAACTGTCTTGGAGATTTAGTTGTCCTAAAACAGAATGTCTAAAAAGAAGATGGTTAGGGATATAGGTAGATCCCTTTGAATGTAAACTTAAGCCACCCTTATGTACGGTGCTAAACGCGTCAGCACTACATTCATCATCAGCCTTACCCATAAACCAGCTTCAAAAGACTGCAGGTGTTCCCGCTCCATCATCCTCCCATGGCCCGGTCTCAACCCAGCAGAGAAAGCAAATTCACATATTCACACAAGAATCCCAGGTCGTCAGGATCGGGTATCAATTCTCTCAAACTAACTACCAGGACATTCACACGCCCTCCGGTCTAGTAACCCCCCTTCCCCGATTAATCTGGACCCTCTTGTCTTCCCCAGCGCTCACAATACCCAGATCCACATCCCAGTTGACGCTGAACACCTTGACTCCCTCGCCGCCCACCGGCTTCTTGTCCTTGGCCACTTCCCGGTCAATAACATAGACAGATTCGCCTACGATACCGCTGCCCTCCTCTTTCGTCCCGTGCCGTGTACTGCGCAGATCCCAGATGCGACAGGTGCCGTCGTAGCTCCCGGATATTAAGCCGTAATTGCTTGATGGGTCGGGGGCGATCGAGGATACGAGGTTTGTGTGTCCTCTGAGGGTCATGACCTGCGTCGTCTGCGCCGAGACTCGCGGGTCCAATAACGTGATATGTCGAGCAGTGGTGCCTGCTGCGAGGAGTTGCGAGGAGATTCCGGGTAAGGCGGAAAGGGAGAACAGAGGATGCGATGTGGTTCGCGTATCGACGTTTCGGGAGGTTGTCAGGTCAAAGGTCCGCACGGTGTGGTCCTGACCGCAGGAGTAAGCAACGGTGGGGTCGAGGGGGTTGAAAATCACGGCTTGGACGGGAGCCGTGTGTGCGCTGATCAGGGACAGAGGGCCGCGTTGAGGTGTAGATGTCGAAGTGGAGAGCTTGCGGCGCTTGGAAGTGAGAGCGGAGGGGAGGAGTGTTGAGGGTGCTTCTGGTGCGGAAGAGGCAACTGATGTCCAGATACCGATTTTGTCGTCTTGGGAGGCGGTGAGAATACGGTTTGACGGACCGTGTACATCGATAGAATGGATGTAGCCTTTATGGCCGTAGAGCTCGAGGGTGGGTTTCAGCTGTGCAGAGAAGTGGTCCTCTGCCTCTGTGTATTTCCAGACTCGGATTGTACGGTCCATTCCTGCTGAGGCGATCTGGGTGGGAGAGATAAACTTCGCGGCCTTGATGCTTGCGGTGTGTCCTCCTGCGCTGGCCGAAGGTGAAGTTGCAATTGCTTGAGCTGACTTGTTCCAGACGCGTAATAATCCATCATATGAACCTGATAATATGCGCTCTTGCCCGGGTATTACCCCGCCATTACCCCACGATCCTGCTGGAGAACTTTTTGATAGCACATCCACACAGCTAACCCAGTCATCATGTTCGAATGAAGCTTCGTAGAGAGGTGGTATCAAACTTCGGACATATTGGAGGTTCAGGGTCGTCTCGCTGGATAACCCATTTGCTGTGAGATACTCGTCTAGAGTTGTTCGCAGGAACGTGCCGTTGATCAAGAAGTCAAAGGGGATTGGCGCCGGGGTATCGAGCATAGACTCCGAGTTAAGGATCTGCGATAATTGGTATCGTCGGACATCTGTATACCAATATTAGCTTGAATTCAGGCGTTGATCGGGGTAGGTTACTGACCGGTGGGGACGAGGAGCTGGCGCTTCCCTTCCGGAAGCTCAATGTCTGGGAAATTTGTAGAGAAATGAACATGGACCTGGCGGGTCCCATTCTGGGGAGTTTGGTCGTCCATCGTGAATGTTCGTGTGAGGTTTGTGGTTGAATATGCTGCTGAAGGCTTTTTCAAAATCGAGGAAGAGAGGTTTGCATGGGAAAAAAAAGTTTACGGGCGGCATTTGTAACCACATGTGCAAGGCTGACCGAGGCTAGTGTTTTCAGCCTTATCACTGTGAATTCTCTCTATATCGGAGTTAAGTCTCCATAATAACTAGTAATTCTGATTCAAAAGTACTGGGAGAATAGGCCAATCTAGCAAATAATTTCTTCACTTGGCAAGAAGTGAATATGTGGCATTTATCAATCCTTTTGCAGAGTACTTTGTACCCTGCTATATTCAAAAGTCGATACCCACACATATCGATATCAAACATCCAGCTTCGTACACATAATAAGAGCAGCCTATAGCAGACAAGGCAAAAGAAGCAGCGGAACAGCAACAGATCCCTTCCTAGTACCCACTCACCTACAGTGACTTGGAAAGACGAAACGGCTGCATAAATTTTCAAGCCCATGCATTAACTTTGATGTCATTCCCAATACAAGTAAAGAGCCTATTTGATAGCGTTAAAACTCATTGTAAAGACCACCAGAAAGCTATTGTTCTATAAAAAAAAAATAGAAACTTCTTCAACCCCCATCCCCGTAGCCTCCCAATCCACGTGACCCAGATCTAATCTAATCTAATCTTAGCCTCAACCCCACCCCCTCAGAAAAAAAGTTTCCCTCTCCATACATCACTATCAACGCGTTATTCAGGCCTCTCGCCCATCTACCCCCAAAAACCCACAGCTCCCAACGCGCACAAGGGCTCGAGCAAGCATGAAGGTGTTGACGCTCAACTTCCTGACCTGCGCCGTCAAGGCGTGCAAATCCACGTCGGCGGCCTTCCCGCTGCACCCCAAGGACTGCGAGCTTGTGTCGGACACGCTCGAGGCAAATCCGAAGCTGCTGTTTAATATTCTGCCGCGCATTGACTGGAACGCGTTGATTATTACTGCGTCTGAGGTTTGTTTTGTCTCCTCTCCCTTTCCCCTCTTCCCTTATTTATCACTTCCCTCTCGAAAAAAACAAACCAAACGAAATGACCTAACGCTCCCCCAAAGCTAGGCTTCCCGACTCTTCCCCCGACTCCACCAACGCCAGAGCAGCTCGAAAACGACCCTAAGATGATGCAGGAGCTGCACACGCTTCTCCTGGAGACGCAGATCAGCGAGGGCAGTCTGGTGTGTGCGAACTGCAGCCATGAGTATCGGGTCAAGGAGGGGATTGCGAACTTTTTGCTGCCGAATCATTTGGTTTGAGAGGGAGGGACGCTTTGCTTTCGATTGGTATAGAGAGATTGAGTTGGTGGAGAGGAAAGAGATGTCGAGGTATGTGGGGGAGGTGGAAGATACCCTGCTGTTGTACGTGATTAATGGAGTTTGGGATTGGGTTGATGGGATGGGTCGTGCGTATATACTTACTTATCTATGGAGGCATGCAAGAGAGTGGAAAAGAGAAAGGAACACGAATTTCAGTCAGAGTCCTGGCATCTGAGGGTTTGCCAGAGACGTACATGCATGCATGCAGTCATAGCCACTGTGGCAATATAGGATCCTCCATACTTTGCACAGCTCAGAAGACGACGAAGGCTAGACGAAGATGAACAGCCACGAGAATAAACACACAATCGCATCAGGATATTTTCCAAAGTTGGTCTTGATCTGCACAACTCTATTTTGCCCAGATCCAGGCTTACTACCTGCCGCACCCAGCTCATCAGCTGGTCAAGCACTATATCTATTCATACAAGTGGCCCACGCCTTATTCTCTGAATCTCCTTATCGCACCTCCTTTCCCTGCCCCACATCAATCGCCATGTCAGATTCATGGCGCCTTTTATTATCAATCAGCCCATATAAACCGCACAGAAAAATTAAAAGAACGCCCTGCAAATGACTCGGTTGAAAAGAGTACATTTTTGGGCTTTACCTGCCCAAGCCAGCCTGCCAGCCCACCCGATTCTTGTATGCAGTGTTTGAAAATGTCCGGGTCACGTAAACTCCTTGCGAGAAATGAATTTGCTTTTATTTGCATCTGCTGCCCCCTTCCGAAACAAACGGCCGGACGATGCAATGACGAAGGAATACAAAGGGTATTAGTTGAGAAATCCTTTACAGGCTGCGGTACCGCAGAGACAGGGGATACGGTCTGTACTGCCGATCTCACGCTCGAATTTGTAGTCGTACGTAAGTTCCTCATCTGTCAAGGGTTAGCACACGTAATGGCGATATGGGTCGCTAAAACTTACTCTGGGCGATGTCCCGCAGCGCATAGATGACAATTCTTTTGCTCTTCTCTACGGTGATGATCTTTGCCGTGCAGTTTGGCATGCAGCTGTGATTGATGAACCTGGCGATGCCTCCCTTCTTTGTGGCGTCAATGACCGTATTCTCGTCAATCCTGAACAGATAACTACTTCCAATGCCACTCTTGAGATAACGATTCTCTCGAAGGTCAGCGACTTGTTGTCGAACTTTCTCGCCGACGTATTCGATGATCATGTCGTTCATTGGAATATTCTCCATGGCGTACAAGCCCCAATTGTGAATTGCAGATCGGGCGAATTTGACAGGCTTCTTCCGCTTCTTCAGTTGGTTGAATCGAAGAACTTCAGCATCACCACCAAGATCCTTCTTCTGGTTATTGAGATCAGCCACGAATCGACGATTGTTGACACGATTCGCTCGGGAGTTTCCTTTGGCGAGTAACTTCTCAGCAGCAATCTTGGCAGCTTCTGCTGCTTCAGCCACAAGATCCTTCCCTGCTTTCTTGGCTTGAGCCTCCCGCTCTTCTCGTGCTTTCTGGACCTTGATACGATGAGGCAAATACAAGGACTTTTCAGAGTTAAGAATCTTCTTAAATCCTTCAGTTCGCGCAGAACCGGACTCGTTCGGAACATAATAACCCTCGATAGTAGTCTCGCTGGTAACAAGCCCTCTGTAGCCATTGCGGTTGAGTGCTTTCACGTCCTTCTGTTTCCAGCTAAAGGTTGCAGAATCACGAACATGAGCCGCCGGTTCGGTCTCGAATCCTTGTGCCGCAGCCAACGCATCCCCGTCATCCTTGACTAGGTTCTGAAGACCATCCAGATCAAGAAGGTTGAGGAAATCATCAGCTACGGTTGGGCGAGGAGACTCTCCCGCCATGCCCCATTCCACTGAGCTTTGCAGGGGAGCAGTTTCGGTGATGTACTCCTCTTCATCCTCCACTTCAACAGAAGGTTGCCGGAGAGCCTCTTCCATGTAGATGCCCTCCTGCTCCCGTTTGAGAGCCTCCCGCTCTGCGAAGAGCTGTTTCTTGGACTTCTTCTTTTTAGTCTTCGGAACACTCTTCTTCTTCCCTTGAGCGGTCACAGCAGCCTCAGCATCGCTTTCCGTCTTCATGATACCGTCAATATCGTGCATTACAGTGTCCTCTGTAGATGCCGACAGAGGGAATTCACGTTCGATGAGATCAGCATCAACACCAAAGAGCTCTTCATCCGTCTTCTTCTGACGCTTCAGAGAAGCTTCCACCTGCAGATCAAGCTTTCGCTTCTTTGTCGGCACAACTGGCTCTCCAGCCACAAAGTTGGCTTCACTCATCGAATCCTCATCACGAGCATCCATCGACGTGGTCTCCTCCTTCAGCTGATCTCTTCGGCTCAGTACTTCTGGTTCATCGTCGGAAGCTTCATCGTCAGTACTCATCCTGCTGCGCGGACGTGATTCTGGCTCTTCAGTATCGCGACCTCTGGAGTGATCCTCCGTCTCATCATCTGAATCCTCATCGTCACTGTGGAGGAGGCGGTGATGCAGGGGACGAACGAAGGCCTTCCGAACTTCTGGTCGAGCTCGAGCAAAGGGATCTTTAAAGCCAACATTAACTTTCTTTCCACCTTTGATTTTGCGGATTCGAGGGAGTGCGGTGACATTGAGCCGCCCTGGCCCCATGATCCGCCGGTCAAAGCTATCTGCACGAGAATTTGGCGTGCCAATCGCTGGACTATCTTCTCGATCGTCATCTTCGTGGATCAGAGGTATCTTCAGGTCTGTGGGATCGGCAATATTGAACTTCCGTCTCTTGGCAACATGGTTTGCAGGGTCCATATAGTTGTGCAGAGCAGGTGCAGCAATCTTCGTGCGGATATTCTTCAGCAGCTGATCTTTCAGGTCCCTTCGGATAACCTCAATAGCCTCCCTCGCTGGATCGAAATTCTTGGCGCGTTCTTTCTTCTCCTCTTCAAGGTCGGCTTCTTCTTCCCTTCTGCGTGCCTCCTCGTCTTCCTTATCCCGCTGCTCCATATGTCTCCGCGTCGGACTTCGGCTTCGTCTGCGTGTGGCATCGGAGACACGACGCTTCGAAGGGGGGAGACCCTTGGTCCCATACGGCATCGGTTTCATTACCAACGTGTACGTAAAGAATGGTGTCCGGTCCGTAAGGTTGAAGCACTTTTCCAGTTGTGACCTCCCCGATTCCGACTTCTGGAATATGATGTAATATCCCCAGCGATCAGCACGAACATCGTCAAACTCCCAGTGCCTCATCCGCTTCTTCATATGTACTATCGTCGTGGGAAGCACCGGCACTGATTCTTTAGACACGAAAATATAGGGATCGTCCTCCAGCTGCTCCGAAATTGGCTGATCTTCAATAAGGGTCAGCACACGCGGTTTTGTTGGAATGAAAGGCGCCGAAACAGGCGGCGCACGGAAAGGTTGCCTTTGCGAAAACGCCGCAGGCCCTTTCGGTGCTGTCGGAGGCGGCCCAGGTGTCTTGGAGGCTTCGGAGGGTTTGGGAGCTACGGGGGCTTTGGGAGGCTGTAGAAGGGCTTGCGGCGGCTTGTATTCCTTGAGTACATCCTCCAACATTCGTCTACTTTTGATGCCATCAGGATCGAATTCGACTTTGATATTTTGCGTGCCAATTCGTGAGCCATTTCCGTTTCTTACTGCCCTCCTCGCAGCTTGAATGGCAGAAACGAAAACACCGCCTTTTTCGTTCTTGTCTCTGTATCGGAAAGTACCAAATCCCAGACAGCTGCCAGTCTCAGGATGGAGTTTGTTGCTGCTCTCCGCGATCGCGCCAAAGCTCGAGAAGTAAGCCGTCACATTTGCGAAGTTGAAGAGCGGGTCGAATCCGGTCACTACGACTTGGGTGGGCGGTCCTGGGCCGTACGATGTCTTCGGATCCCAGGGGTACTTTGGAAGCAGGTATGGCGCATGGCGTAGTCGTGACCTCGGCTTGTGGAAATCGGTATTGATGTAGCCCAATCTCCCACCTTTCGCGAGGCGCGGATCTGCTGGGGGAGCGTCATCTTCCTGCAAGTCATTAGCCAGAAATTCTCACAAACAAGATGACGCTCCCCAGCAGATTATGTATACGTACCAAGCCAAACTCCTTATATGTCGGTTTCGCCTTCTTCTTCTCGTTCGAGCCCAATTTTCGGTCGAGAAGAGGATCGTATGTACATATTGTGCCTTTTATACTTCTCATTGGATCTCGAGCGTAGACTCGCGGTTCTGAGGGGGCTTGTTCTGCCACAGCAGATGGCGCTTGGGGGACGTCATTTTGGGGGTTGGATTTAGTGGATGCAAAGCCACTCGAACTGATGGCTTGAGAGCCTGGTTTGTATTGTGGACTTGCGATATGATGTGGAGAGGAGTCGAGGGTTGTCATAGGGGTCAGGCTGCTAACATTCCGAGATCCGCCAGATGTTGACATGTTCGGTTGTTGGACTGGCGCACTAAAGACAGATGATATGGTACTTGAATGTGAACTTGCAGATCCCACGCCGTTCAGTATATCGCCAGGGGATGATACGGTTTCCTCTGCTGGGGGTGCAGTAGAATCCGTGCTGGTGATATTGCTTTCTCCGGCAGGGCGAGTGGAACCAGCATTCTCAACAGCAGGCTGCGAAGATACTACCGCGCTGTCAGCAGCTAGATGTCTGCTCGTCGACTCCAAGATCTGTGGTTTGGACTTCTCCCGCTCCTTCGCCTTGTCCTTGGCAGCTCGAGGGGCAGACGGAAAAAACTGCGCAAAGCTCGCCCCGGACGCGCGCGACATCGTAGGACAAATACTGATCTACCTCACCCGCCGCCCGCCAACCATCATCTCTATTATGGTATTCAGAGAGCGACTGCATGCATGAGAGCAGCGGGGCGATGGCAGACACGCGCGAAGGCGAAGAGATGGATTCACGCGACTGCTCTAAAGCCAGATGCGGCGCTGTTGGGTGAGCGAGGTTGTGGGAGAGTCAATAGTTGTCGCAGAAGGTGAGAGAATGGTGCAGAAAGACTTTCTTGGTCGATGAGGCTCTCTCGCCGGAGATAGATGAGGGGAGTTGTGGGAAGAGGATATGGGAGATCTGGGACTGATGTCGTGGAATGGGAATTGCTTCGGTCCTTAGGCCGAGATCTTAGTTGGCGCTTAGCCTCTTTGGTCGCATGCTCTGCGAGGTAGAGCCAAGCGGACCACAGGTTTCACACAGCGGTCGATTATTGGATTTCCAATTTCATTTCTCCTTCATTCTTCGTCTTTTTAGATAACTTATCGTCTTTATTAATTTCTCAACCCGGCACGAATAAATCATGCCTTTGCTGGTCAGATACAGTGCTCAAGGACAAGAAGCGAAAACGCCAAAGTATTACGAAAATTCGCGTCCTGCAAGCGTTTTCCCGTTGCGTACTTCACGTTCGAGAAACAGTTGAAAGCTGAACAGCAAACATGCTCTATTATCAATAGATCACGACTTTGTCAATTTTTGAATGGGTCCTACTGGCAGAGAAAGTTCTTCTGTTTATCGAATTCCTAAGGTTTTGAAATTCCTCAACTCCTGCTTAGAGCACGTGTCTGTCCCTTTCATATCACTTTGCTATACTCAAGTGTGAAGTGGACCATTAATGGGTATAGATATTGTTGTTATTTTTGGTCAAGAGCGTCTTATACAATGGGCTCATATATCGAAGAAAGGGGAGGTAAAGCCAAAGTCATGTGTAATGCTCTGAAGCTGGCCAGTCGTATCAAGTAGGCTTGACCTGATACCATGCTACATTTATTCAAAGTATTTCTCCTTTATATCTTACTATCCGGCTTTCAGACCTTATATTTAATCTCTTTCCGAGGCGTCTAAAGGAAAGTATGTACGCTCTTTAGATTTAAGCCTATAAGCACCAGGAACTGAAGAAGAATTCTAACTCTCGACGTATTGAACCTTATCAGAGGCCCGTCACTTCTCACATAGATTGTATAAACCTATCTGCTGTGTGTGTAATAGTTCAACTCTGCTAGAAGTCGTACACAGATTATCTAGCATAGTCTTCGGGCTGCTGATGATGCCTACTCTAATTAATATTATCTTACATATTCTAGTAGTCATGCTGATTGACATATCTCTTTGTGATGTAGGATGGAGGTCTATAGTCAAGCATATTTGATCTTACATTCAAGTACAGTGTAGGGGTCCTAATACACGTCATTAGAAACAACCCCCCCCCTTCTTCCCTTCGCCCAAGAAAAGCACCCCACCTCTTCTGTGGCGAAAGAGTGAAATAAAACATTTAAAAGTTAAAATAAAATAAAATGAATTGCATTGCATTGCATTACATTGCAAAATTAAAAGTAATACACACACACGAAGATCCACGCGGAATCATCAGGTACTGTGCGATCTAGGCGTACTTCGATTTACTATACTAAGGGAGAATTAAAACCACCCAACATAGCTAGCTACAAAGCAATCCCTACATGATTTCAACGGTAAATTCCTCAAACAAAGGTGAGAAAAGAGAAGACAAACAGAGATGTCGCTCTCACATCGTGCAGTTAGCCCAGCAGAAAGTTTCAATCAATCCCAGTAAGAGTTCAAGATGAGAGGTCGTCGTCTTGTGGCGATCACATGCAAACCCACAAAAAGAACGAGCAAGCAAGCAAGCAAACTCGCCTAATTCCCCAAACCCCACGACTCCTATAGTATCAAATAAGAGCGCTTCTTCTCAAAACGGACAGGTGGCCGAGCGGTTATGGCGTGGGCTTCAAGAACTCGTTCTTGCTTTGTGTAACACACAATGAATCTTTCCATAGGGTAACCTGCAGGGGTTCGAATCCCCTCCTGTTCAACATTATATCTACTGTTCTTCCAGAGTAGTAGATTACACTTTTCCTTCCCTATTCTTTTTGACCCCTCTTAGCATTCCTGATTCTCTTTTCTTTTCTTCTTTTGTGTAAAAGCTCATAGTTGGTTATTCTTGGGTTCTGAGAAAGCATTTCGTAATACCGAGAGGGATATTCCTCAATTAAGGACAGGTGGCCGAGTGGTTATGGCGTGGGCTTCAAGAACTACAAAATTCTTGCTTTGTGTAATAAACACATGAGTATTTCCATAGGGTAACCTGCAGGGGTTCGAATCCCCTCCTGTTCATCTACTTACTGTTTCTGACAGTATGTATCTTTTTTTTTGGAGTTTTCTTTTTTGCCCCCCTCGCTCACTCCTCTCTACTCACATCTACCTCATCCTTTCTTTCTTTATCCTCACTATAGCATGCATTCATGCATTCATTCATCATCCATGAATTTCTCTTCCTGTTACTAATTTTTTTATTCTGCCCATCCTTCACTATATCCATACATCCCTTTCCCGCCTAAACCCGCCTAAACCCTCCCCTCTTTTTCACACCCCAAGGGCCCAACTCAACTCTCCCCGCTGGCTCGCTCATCTATAATCGCAAAATCCAACCCCCCCTTCAACACATCCCAACATCAGGGCGCTTGGTCTAGGGGTATGATTTTCGTTTCGCATGTTTCTTCTTCAAAACGTGATTATGAAAGGTCGTGGGTTCAATTCCCACAGCGTCCATTTTTATTTTTAATTTTTTAATTTTTTAATTTTGCTTCTTTTTCTTTGGATTTTCTTTTTGAAGGGGGGAGGAGGTTTGCGGGGGGTTTTATTTTTTTTGGGGGGATTTATGCTTGATTTTTTTGATACCTTTATTTTCCTGGGGTTACAATTTTCTTTTTGCGCTATGTTATAAGGTACCGTAAGGTCGATTGATTCTCTGGGTTGGGGAAAGAGGAAGAGAGGGGGATGGATGGATTTTATAACACTGTAGGCAGGATACCTCCAGGTTCTATTTACCTAGGTAGGTACACACAGCATCGAGAGTGGAATACTAGGAATCTAGTTTTTGTGAATCTTTGCATGTTTTGAATTAATAGTATATCTATCCCTACTCCCAAGCCAATTGAAGAGATGCCTAGCCTAAACAAATACACGTACAGCTGTTCGTTCCATGGATGATTGATTACCTTCCTAATGATGGGATTTCCGTTCACCCACCCTCCCCATCCTGATCCGAGATGAGCTGTCCCAACCAAGCACCCGGCCAGACACCGAACGCCATATGCTAGCCAACTCAATTCCAGACCCCCTGAGACGTTCTATGAGAAATACCATATGGGAAGGAGTTCACGAGCCTAACTTCAGGACGAACTCCTCGTCGTCGTCGTCATCTACTCGCAGACTATCAGGCAGGGCGCCCCTGAGGCCGGGTTCCAAATCCTCATCGTCGGCATCGAAGACGCGGAGGAAGTCGAATCGTCGCCATTCTTCCTGTTCTTGGTCTGCGAATCGAGCCGGGGTAATGGTGGTATCTGATATATCGCTCAGGTTGCTAACGCTCCTCGTCAAGCCACCCTCTTTCTTCTGCAAAGCGTTGAGGGCGTTTCGACCTTTGGTGTATCCGATTGTGCTTTTGGATGCGGCAGCAGCAGCGTTGTGACGCATGGTTGATGCGTTTGATCGTATAGGTACTGATGTGGGTCTTGAACGTCCTACGATGAGAGGCATTATCGGCTTTGCCGGCTTTGGAGCGGCTTTGGAGGTTGTGGGAGCAGCGGTAGACGTCTTGGGAGCGACTGAAAGGGCGGAGGCAGCTCTTCTTGATACGATAGTTGGAGGTCCCTTCGTTGGGATAGCCGTAGTCTTCTTGACAGGTGCAACTGATTTTGGTTCCGACCTGTTTCGCAAATGTCGGAATGTTTCTGGAACATCCCCAACGGTCCAGTCCTCCTCCATCATCTTCAGAATTTTATCATCGGTCTCCTTGGCCGATTTCTTATAACCCTCCTCGTACTCTCGCTCCAACCTCGTAAGACCATTCTCATCTACGTCACAGTGATATGTTTGATGAATTCCCCTCATTAGGTTTCCTGACTTGAGAACATCGTAGTTAAGACAACCATTGGGGAAATCCTCGGATTCGTATGGAAGGTCTTTTGGTTTGGGAGGTGCGTATTCAACTTCTCGCTCTGCCAGAGGGCTTTGGTCGCCGTGAACCTGTATCTTAGTTGTCTCGCCATGGATGACTTTCTTTGGACGTCGAGCGCTTGTTTTTGGAGCTTGAGTCTTTTCGAGTTCCTTCTCTGGGGCAGGACCGGCGGGGGTTTGGATGGCCTTGGCTTTCGCGTTGGTCGTTTTCATCCCCAGGGGGGCTCGTGTTCGCGGGCCTATAGATCATGAGCATGATTCTAATGATGAGACCATTCCTGTCATACCCAGAGGCGTCACGAAAGCATTCTTGTCCAAGGCCGCGCCTTTCTTTCCCGTAGCCAGAACCTCCAAGCCCTTTCCCTTCACCGTCTTCCCGCCAAACCCAGTCGGGGCATTCTCATCGTTGAGAGGGAGCTTCAACGGGGTCTTTGGATATCGGTTTCCGGGTGTCTTCGGCTGCAGAGTCCTGGAGCTCTGATTGAGCGGTTTGGCGGCCGCTGCTTGCTGATGGCCGTGGACCAGATTCTCTTGATCGCGCGCGGCGAGCATTCTGAAGATAGTCGTGGCTGTATCTCTGGTAGTTGTGGTTGTAATTGAACGAAGGTGTAACTATTCGGAAGCGTGTCGACGCGTTGCGATGCGAAAGGAGTCAATGGGCGGTCTCGGGAGATCCTTGTTGCCCTGTTTTGGGATTCCTGTTACCGCAGCAACTGTCGACCGCGGCAACTGTATCGTGTACGGCAGCAACTGTTGCTGCCCCAGGCTCCTAATCTCATGTAAGAAGTGGGCGCCACAGGGTACCGCCACTCGACACAGCCACACCCCCGTTTCGGAAATATACCCCTGCGCATCCCAGTTCGGCTGCGTGTCTCCAGACTGCAGATTACTACTCAGCGTCGACTTCCCAGCTTCCACTTGACATCTCCTTCGTCTCGCAACGATATCTGCTCTTCGCTGAACAAGACATCCCAGAAGCACTTCAATCTACGTCCACCACTTAATCTTCCCACATCAAAGTCACCGTCGCATCACCGTCAAGATGGATCGTATTAAGGAGGTGAGTTCGTTCCCCCTTCCAACCACCGAAGAGCCCCGCCATTTGGTTGAGAGAGCCCGCATCTTCCATCGCCAATGCACGCTCGGCCAGAGGCTGTTTGTTGCACTCCAAACCCAAAATCTACAGTCTTCTTTTTCTCTTTCAACTTCTCTTCCTCATCACCATTATCACTCGTCTCCACCACCCCACACAAAATGGCTGCTCTGACAAGCGCAAAACAGAAAATGAACTCCCTGCGCATCGAGGCAGATGAAGCTACTGCCAAGGTCGAGGAGCTTCAGAAGCAAGTCAAGGCCCTCGAGCACGAGAACCTCCAGAAGGAACAGGAGATCACCTCCCTCCAACACAAGAACGGTCTCCTTGAAGCCGAAGTTGAGCAGCTCGAGGCCGAGAAGAAGGACCTGAAGGCATCTGCCGGCGACAGCCATCAACACGCTACCCAGAATGAGACTCTGCAGCGGAGATTGCAACTGTTGGAGGAGGAGGCTGAGGAGGCTGACAAGAACTTGAGAGAGACCAACGACAAGTATGTGCCCGTCCCATCTGCTGATCCTTCTTTCATCCCCTGCTGCCTCGACAGTAAGCTGACAGATCCTTCCAGACTCCGCCAAACTGATGTCAAGGCCGGACACTACGAACGCAAGGTCAAGGCTCTGGAGCAAGAACGCGACCAGTGGGAGACAAAATACGAGGAGATGGCCCAGAAATACGCTGCTGTCCAGAAGGAGCTCCAGGATTTCCAGGCAGAGATTGGCAACATGTAATTCCCCTACCCAGGCCACCATGATCCGGATGCTCATGACGACGCAGTTAAACTTCTTGAACCGTGGATGGATGATGAGGGATACGAAGATGCACTTGGAGGTTCTTATTGCCTGGGATGGAATGGTGCAATGGCTGCAGTTGATTAAGCTCCGTATGCGTTGGCGGTGACAACGCTGTTTCCACGACATGGTTGCCTTGCTTTTGTTACTTGATATCACAGAACGTCACATACTATTTCCCCCAATCGGGCATGAATCGTGTGCTTCTTGATCCTATTGCTCTCTTAATCATTACCCCTCCTTGCACCAGCTCTTCCTTTTTTCGCGGCCTTCTGCTTCTCCCTCGTAATCCTCCTCTCTGCCTTGCTCTCATATCTGAATTTCTTTTTCTTTTCCTTCTTAGGCCATTTCTTCTTCTCCTTTGTCTCCTTCTCCACCGGCTTTACCTCGACCTCTTCCGCTGTCTCGCTATCTTCATGGTCCACAAGCTTCTGCAACCCATCCTTCGAAATATCGACAGCTTCAACTGTAACGGTGGTATATTTATCCTCGTCCACATACTCCTCTTCATGGTCCACTTCATGGTCCACCGGCTCTGGTGCTACATCCTCTTCAATGCCATTCCATGCTTCCTCGTCACCGTCCACATCCATGCCCGACGTCTTGCTAACCTGCAACAAAGCATTCACAGCTTCGACATGCTCCTGTAATTCCTGCTTCCTCTCTTCCCTCAGCTGTAATCACAAATTAGCCCCCCGCTCTCTTCCATCCAAGTCCAACAAGGCCATAAAAACGAACCTGCTTCCTCAAAGCAATCCGCTCCTCCTTAGCCTTCTTCTCGGCCTCGGCCTGTGCCTGCTTGATCCTCGCAACCTTGCGCTTGTGAAAGCCCGTCAAGTAATCCGCCCTCTTCTCGAAATCGAAATTGATCTCCTCGATCTTGTGCGTCGTCTTGCGCTTCTTGGCGGGGGGCAGCACGCTTTTTTTCGGCCGCGGGGGGTTGAATATTACTGGTTCCATTGTGGACTGCTGCGTGCCCGCCGAGCAGGGGAAACAATATGGACTTGGGTATTGTTCGAATGCGCCGTGGCCTTCCGTCCTGGACTGAGGAATTCGAAGTCGGTGTTCGAGTTCTTGGGATATATATCCTTTCCTGGGCGAATATTTTGGGAGCGGCAGGGATTATTCTATACGGCAGCCGAGATGCGCGGAGGTGCAATATGTTGATCACGTACCAGACTTATCGAGCCGCATCGTCAAGTAAGGTACCTTAGCAAGCTCAACAGCAGACAGCAACGATGCGTCCCTCAATCGCTGCTCTCGCGGCTTGTGTGGCTGCAGTGCACGCCTTCAAGGATACCAGTCCTTTCATCTTCTTCTCTTCTTCTCCGTAAGCGTCATGATCCCAACCCGTCGCCAAGCTCTCTTCGGTCAACCGCTCTGTTTGTATGCGAGCACTGGCTAACACGAGAGCGATAGATTACCCCCATCCCTCCAGAATGTATCGATGAACCAAGTCCAGAGCGCCGCCGCGGTGTTGAAAACGACCAAGGAATTCCTAAGCTCGTGTCCTTCCGACGTCTACTACATCATCCACCAGCCCTCTCTTCACTCGACGGACCTGTTCCCGGCCTCGGTACCCAATCTGCAGGCTGCGCTCGCGGCCCCGACGGTCCAGACGCGGTATCTGGTCTCGGAAGCGGGAGCGTTGGATGCTGGTGTCAAGCATGATCTGGTGGCGTATTTGAAGGAGAAGTGTGGAGAGACGACGTTCTTGGATGGCGATGCGGAGGTTCAGACTGCGGAGGAGCTGGGGAGTCAGATTAGGAGATATAGCAAGAAGGGGAAGGTGGTAGTGCTTAATACTATGGAGGAGCTTGTGGGGGATAGGATGAGTGGTCAAAGGACGACCATGTTGGATAAGATTGGTATGTTCCCTTCTTCCCATTCCTTTCTTTCCTTGGCCCTTCCGTGCTAATAGGAGGAACAGACCAGTCAATGAAGTATGGCATTTCCCTGATCACGGGCTCGAAAAAGAGTGAGATCGAAGGTCTGGGCCTCTCCTACACGGTTATCTACACCACCACTCCACCTTCCGGAACGATAGAGGAGCAAACCTACGAGCCCCAATTCCAAAACCCAGCACATGTGGATCTGAAGAGGGATCGCAGAGCCGAGCCCAGCGTTATCCCTTGGCCCGGAGTCGACAACGACACCCGTCCCCTCTTTGAGAAGTACCAGTTTCTGACCCCTGGTTCGTAACCCCCCTTCTGCGCCGCTCTGTCTTATGATGAGGAATGCTGACGAGGGCATAATAGGTATCTTCATGGGCCTCCTCACAGGATTGATCCTGATTTCTATTTTGAGTGTGGGTATGAAAGCCATCTCGAGCCTGCAGGTTAGCTACGGAGCTTTTGATAAGGAGATGGGTCCCGCGGCGCAGAAGAAGCAGCAATAGATAAGAGTGGAGCGGTAGGTAGCTAAGGAAGAACTTGGGTATGTTTTTTCGCGGCGAGACTTTGTGTAAACTAGGTATAGTAGGTAGGTAGGTATGGAAAATGGATGCGGTTTTTCTCGCCACGGCTGGTTGGCTTGGTTGTGTAAGGATGATCTATTAGGGGCAAATCAAGATTTTGTTTGTATCCCGTGGCATTGCTTTGTGTCTCTTGTCCCCAGTTATGCTTGGATCAACATATGACTTGGTGATCTTGAGCACATGCTATCTAGCTTTTCCTACACAAGTATCCAAAATCTATTCCCTGCAACGCCATCAGACTATATTCCATTTTTCAAGACCATCTCAAACGCCAAACACCACCCCCACCACCACAACACTTCCCCTCCCACCTATTTCTCAGGCGCGTCGGGCAATCTTTCAATCGCATACTTCCCCCTCGCAACACTCAAAATAGGCACTGGATAAACGAGTTAGCAGCGACCGACCAGCGAACCAGAACCCAACTTCCAACTTACCACCCGGCACCTTCCTCACCCTCCTCTTCAACTCTCTATCGTTCGTCGCAACGATGTAGATCTTGTGCTTCTGAACACGATCCACAATGCAGTCATCAGCATACGTGCCCTTGTGATCGCAGCGGATGCGCTCCCAGCGCTCGTCGCGCGCGATCCGTAGCGCGATCCGGTATCGCGGCCCTAGCTTCTCGAGCTCGGCCATCACGCAGGACGTGATGCAGGGGATACATTTGGCATACAGAGTGTCCATCAACGTCTCGAGTAATGGCAGTTTTCGCTGCACCGTGTGGGAGAGGAAGTTGGTATCGATGAGGATGCTGGGATGGGTTAGCTTGGGTGGGGGAAGGGGGGAGAAGATGGGGAGGGCAGGTACTTACTTGTAGGGAGGCACGAGAGCAGTGTTGTATTGGAAGAAGAGCGCGGAGGATACTTGAGGTCTGTGATGGTGTCAGTATATCCATGGAGGGTGAGTGGGCGGGGAGCTGGGGAGCTGGGGGAGATGGGAGAGAATGCATACACTTCTCGCACGACCTCGCTGCCCTTGTCTGCTTTCTTGGCCCCTTCCTCGCCTTTGTTCTGGTTCTTCTTCAGCCGTGCATCGTTCTGCCCAATGATTCGTTTGACCTGGCCATGTTAGAATGTGGGGTAGGGAGAGAAGCTTTACTCTGGGGTATCTGGAACTCACAGCACCAAACTTGCGGGTTTTCTTTGCGGTTCCCATATTGAAGCTGACGTCTGTATCGCAGTATCAATTCAGAAGCGGGATATGGCTTGTCAAGGTTGCGGTGTGGTCGTCCTGTGCGGGCAGCGCAAGTCTTGGGGTTGAGGCTCTTTTCAACTTCTACTTCTCAACTTTCTTCCACGAAAAGACAAAAATCGGATTCTGCCGCTCCCTGCCGCCTTCCCGCCGATCCTTGCCTCTTCGTCACTGGGACAACCACTAGTCTAATAATAGTATGGGGCGCGGGGAGCTAACCCGCATCGGGCCCTCGCGTAGGCCAGCCACCAATGTCTCTCCAGTCCCCAGCCCCGTGACCAGCCGCCTGACTTTCCAGGCACGGACAGCCACCTCGTTCTTCATGATTCCTCATTCCTTGCGCTGAATACGAGTCTTCTTCTCTTCTTCTTCTTCTTCTTCTTTTCAACCTTCAACCCACATTCGTTCTCCTCTTTACGACTCTACGATCCTCGTCTCTCTGCCCCCCTTCTTCCGAGTCACTCGTTTGTGCTCAGTTTCCCCCGGAAGAGTCAAGGCGCTGTCTCCTGCCAAGAGGGGGATCTGAATAGGAGAGACCCCTGGCCTGGGTTAGAGATCCGTGGCACGACAACGACGGAGTCAGGCATCATAAACACTGTTGGGACAACGGCTTCACGATTGACCACGACGATTGACGCATTTCCACACTCGACGACAGCCTCGATCATCGTCCCGGCCCAAACCGCATATCAGAACCGCCTCTCCTCCACCGAGCATCGATCGCATCATGAGGTTCCAACGACCAGCGCCTCTCCATTCCCTCGTTGCGGGATTGGGTCTCCTCGTAATGACGACCTCAGCAGCTACTACAGCGGCTGATGCAGGACCCAATCTCTCCTCCCTGGTGGCCTCCGAGTCTGCCGCAGAAGCAACAACCGCCCCAACTGCAACTGCAAAGAACACGGACAGTGCTGCTGCGACCAATACCGACAGTGCTGCTGCAACTAATACCCACAGTGCGGCTCAATCCAATACCGATAGTGCTGCTCCCACCAATACCGACAGTGCAGCTCCCAGCAACACTGCTGCAACGAACACCCACAGTGCAAGTGCAACTGCAACTGCAAGTGAGACCGGCAAGACCAACAGTAAAGGTCCAACCACTACCGCTTCGGAGACTTCAGTCTCTGCCAATCCTACCATCACTGGTGGCATCTCTTCCTCGTTAAGCGGTAACATCCCTACAATCACGGGTACCAACACCAACACCAAGAGCGCTGGTGTCCCTACGAATCTTCCCACGCTCTCCGGTGCATTCACAATTGTCGCTCCATCTGTCCCCCCAACCGCCGATGCCCCATACATGCATCAATCCAGCGCCCCCGAAGGAACCATTTTCATCATCGCGGGTGCCATCATTGGTTTCTTCGCCTTAGCTGTCATTGCATGGCGCGCCCTCATGGCCTACTCCCTTCACCAGAGCATCAAGCGCGCAGCCATGCTTCAAAACATGCCGGACTCAAAAGCTGCCTTATTCACAACACCTGTGGCGCCATTCTATCAATATAAAGACCGGGAATCTACCATATCTCTAGCAGGACTAGGGCCCAAATCTGGAAAGAAAGGACCACCACGACCCCCGGCTGGTGCTGGCGCCGCGCCCCTTTTCTTCTCGCCAACAGCCGGTGCAGGTGGCATTCCAAACCCTGGAAATCGCGGTTCGAATTATCTCCCTGCTGGTTACTACGCCGCTGGCGCCTCACAACTAGGTAACGGGCAAGGAATGGCGCACATTGGGTCCGGTAACTCCATCTCCCTCTCAAACCTAGGGCCCACGCGAGACGGTTACGGAAGAGCGAGGAGTGTCGGAACTAGCGAGCCTGGTAGTCCGTATATGAATGCGGCCCAAAGCTCCAGTACCTTGAATCTAAGCCAGCCGATGGGGGACCGTAGAGCCCCGAGTGTGTATCTGGATGATCTTTTTGATAGCGAGAACGCCCCCCCGGTTCCAGGACATGCGAGGAACCCGAGCGCGCCCAGGAATTCGGCGAGATTCTAGGAGGGATTTGAAACTTTTTGCGTGTTTGGCCCACGGGGGCAGGTTTCGTAGCGTGCTAGGTGCGATATGCCGGTTTCGTATATATGGTCGGTCTCTTATGTAATGGTTGGATGGAAGCATTGGCAACAAAGCATGGCGTTCATTGCTTGTATAAGAACTCGGGATTTTTTTGTATTTCATCGGCGACTGCATAGGATGGTACGATTGCTATTGGAGCAAGAAGAAGAAGGAAAGAAGGATTCATGGTCGAGTACATATAATGAAGCGGTTGATATCATTAGAATAAAACCTCTTTTCTACATAATCCCCTTCGCAGGGCCCGCCAGCGGTGTTGGATCTCCCCCCTCTATACCTTACCCAACCGATTAACTGACAAAGTCTCCATCTCGACTCCTCTCCCCCGCCAACCCGCACCTCATCCTCGGATACGCCAACAACTCCATGATGGCCCCGTCATCCCCATGATACCTCTCCAAATACACACATATCGCCATCCCCTCCAACATCGTCCTTCTCTCCAGCCACCACACCGCATTCCCAACCTTCGCATACCAATACGCCAACAGCAGCAGCGCCCGCGCATCCCGCTCCTCAAGCAACCTCTTGAACGCCGCCGGTAGATGTCCGATGAACGACAGGAACGGTAGGATCGTGTCGCGCGTACACTCTATCGTTAGCAGTGGCGCCAGCGCTCGCAAGACCTCATAGTACGGATTTTTCTCATCCTGGTTCGTCTCCGTCTCCTCTTCCTCACGTAGTCCGCACAGAATAGCGAACTGCCGCGGGATCGGCGTGCCGCCAGCGGGAGTCGCGATCGCGTGCGCCATGCTATAAAACAGACTCTCCGGCCGCGTCGGGTCCGTCAGCTGCCTCACCGCGGCCTTGTTCTCGGTCATGCGGATCCAATCTAGATCGGAGGGCGAGCGCGGTGTCAAAGGCCATGCTTCGTCGGCGCGCGACGCTTCGAGCCAGGAGCAGGCGGCGATGCCGAGGAGCGCGGCTGTGGCCCATAGAGCGTCGCGGTCGGCGTCCTGCAGGGGAGCCGAGAGCTTGGCGTTTAGGAGCGCGGCGGCCCGGGTCAGGTGGTAGAGCGCGATGCTGGAGAGGCGGCTGGTGGGGGAGGGCGAGAGCTGGCGGTCGTGTAGCGCGGTGAGGGTTTGGATGGCGTGCATGAGGTAGGGATGCTAGATGGTTCAGTTCAGTTTTGCGGATGATGGGATGGGATGGGATGGGATGGGATTAATGGATGGCTGGAGTGAGTGCTTACACCGCAGGCAAGCTCGAGATATACTCTCTGGAAAATGATCCCTCCTTGGGGAGTCCCTATGGAGAGGACAGTACGCATACAGAACCTAGACAATCGACTCCGGCTCTCCCTATCGAGCTGGATCCTCGAATAGTCGTCCGCGACGCAGGGCAGTCCCGGGTCTAGACATCGAGGTACCTCATCAACATTTGCAGGGAGCAGCCGCTGCCGGGGCGCTGGTGGCGGCGCCGCGTTCTTCCTGATCGTCCCTATCATCATCACCGTGCCGCCGAACGAGGTCTGGAGATCTGGAGCTTGCGGATCGTCGTAGTTGCAGGAGACGTGGAAACTGATGCATTTCTGGCATTGGGGTCTGGTCTCATCGCACTAGGAACGGGGGCACTTGTTAGTTTGCTTTCTTTTTTTTTCTATCCTCTTTTTGTGTTCTTCTTTCTTTTCTACATGAAACCCTGCCGGAGCTGCAAATAAGGGGGAGGGAGGGTTCTGGAGTTCGCTCACTTTCACGCGTCGAAGCTTGCAGTTCCGACAGCCTCGTCTGGATTTCTGATGCGCTCTACGTTTACGCTGGCCTGGCTCAGAGCTCTCCTCTCTGCTATTCTTGTTTTGCGGCGGCACTGTCATGGTGTTTTATGTCTTGGTCACGTGGATGCTTGAGCTGAAGAACGGCAAAGTGAGGAAGGTCACGACAGGGGAAAGGATTATTCTGGTCATTGCCCAGTAAAGAGGAAAATCAAAACGCATGCACTTTCTGATGATGAAGTGAGAAAGAGGCGAAGTGGAGTGAAATGCTTTGCTTTGAGTTGTTGGCTGTTTAGTCTGACTTGTAAGGTAGTAGCCGTGGAGTTGAGTTCGTGAGGTCAAACGTCAACCAATCTGAACCTTCCGCCTGGATTGCGCTAACCTCCTGTCGTATTCATCTCACGTGAATCCCACCGTGATTGGTCCGCGCTAAACCCTGTCCGGCCTCATATATATAGCGGACGGAGGAAATATCCTAAGTCCACGGATTACGATTTCACATCCAGAGTATAAAGACATGGAGAACTCGGATTTAAGACTCGTATGTCCTTCACACTGGTGCGGTCAGTGACCGTGTTCCCGGGGGCTGAGATTTTGAGAGTAGTTCTCTCCGCAAAGCTCCTTGGATGAAGCCGTGGTATATAAGCTTGCGAGTGCTGCTGTTTTGAAAGCCGGATTCCAAACATAGTGCATAGCAAGAGCATCTCAGTTTTCACTTATTACTAATTTCAACATGTCTGATATCAAATCCGAGCCTCTTCCGTCTACCTACCGCGCTCTCATGTGCTCCGGCGTTGGCGAACCTCTCACCATACAAACCCTTCCAATCCCAGATGCTGTCCCAGGAAGCGTCATTGTCCGCATCCTGGCAAGTAGTGTTCACACAGGAATAGAGCAAATGCTCGCTGGCAAGGTTGCAGGCCTATCAATCCCCACTCCTTTCGTCCCTGGCACCAGGGCAATCGGGCGTGTCGCCATCGCCGGACCCGACACCACCTCCCTTGAAGTCGGCCAGCTGGTTCTCCTCGAGCCTTTTATTCGTGGCCGTGATGACCCAAACGTGCAGTTCCTCTGGGGCTTCGGCGTCTTCGGTACCAACCCCAAGGCGCTGAAGCTGATGGAAGGCACGTGGCGCGATGGTCTATTCGCCGAATACGCACGAGCTCCTCTCGAGAACTGCTTCGCGCTGGACGAGAGACTCCTCCTAGGCAGCCCGGCTGCCGGTGGTCTGGGTTACTCTGTCGCTGATCTCACCTTACTCTCGACACATGTCGTGGCTTATGGCGGGTTCAGAGGCATCGATCTCAAAGCTGGGGAAACCGTCATTGTCGCACCGGCCACGGGGGTCTTCAGCGGCGCAGCAGTTGAAGTAGCCTCCGCACTAGGCGCTCGAGTTCTTGCCGTAGGCCGGAATATCGAGGCATTGCAGGAGATCGCAGCTCGCAACGCAAGGGTCAGCATCGTGCAGCTGAAAGGCAACGTCGAAGAGGATCTTGCGAGTCTGAAGAAATTCGGCCCCATTGACGCTTACCTTGACATCTCGCCGCACTCTGCTAGCGACTCGACGCATATCCGGACTTGTCTTATGGCCGTTAAGCCTTATGGTAGGGTGTCGCTGATGGGCACTGTTGCGAAGGATATCGCTATCCCGTATGTGGTGGCCATGCTGAATAACCTGACGATTCGCGGACAGTACATGTATGAGAGGGACGATGTGAGAGGAATCATCAAGCTTGCTGAGGCGGGCGTGCTGAAGCTTGGAAAGGAGGCGGGGCATAGGATCGAAGGACGGTTCCCGCTTGAGGAGTGGGAGAAAGCTTTTGAGGTTGCGGCGCAGAACCCAAGGGTTGGGAAGTCAGTCATCTTTACTCTATAGAAAAGGAACATTCTTTGTTTTTAGTTGTCTTCTGATATATGGCCAACACATGTAATTGAATTGAATACTTCGCAATAATCAGAGTGCTGCATTTAGGATTTAGACAAAGCAGAGCAAGCGACATGAATTAGGCCCTTTGGCAGCTAGCACACGAAATGTCGTAGGGTTGACGAGTTTGAGGCGGTAAATGGTGGAAAACGTTGATCTTGTGTTTTAGGGATCTTAAGGGTCTCAGGGTCTCGAGGGTCTGTCTTGACTCTCAAGGGTCTCAGGGGCTCAGGGGTCTCAGGGGAAAAGGAGTGGCGATATATCGATACTATATACACCCTTCATCATGACTCGGCATAAACAGCACACAACAGGCAACGCGAATCCTGATGTCCCGAATTTCTGCTTCTTCCCCCGCTGGAAGAGGGAATTCACGTAGTACTAACACAACACATAAACGGTCTCTAAACCCATCCATCTCTAGCATCCGTGTTAGAAACCTGACTGTTAAACGCAATAACTCGATTTCCTAATCGGGTAATACTATATTACCGGTAGATCAAGAGTCAGATTTTGCTTAGAGTTTGATATAGAGTTTTTACTAAGAGCCACTTTACTACCTACTCTACTATAGTAATAAAGCTCTATTACTATAGATCCGTTATACTAATTTACTACTATTACCTATATATAAAGCCTCTTTTTAATCCTACTTTAGTAGTTTAATTTAATTTAGTTTAATCAAATCTACTTAATTTGCTCCCTTTAATCGATCACTAATTCGTTCTATTTAACAATCCGTAATGGCCTCCCCTTCACAAATTCTCGCCCATGCAAAACGTGATCAATTTAAAATCGTTGGCCGTGGCTCCGTCGCAGAAGTAAGTCTATCGGGTGATTAACACTGAGCTAGCTCTCAAGATCGCTTTCGAACCTGGCGAGGCCGATGCTGTCGAGAAGCGGATGTATGAGCGACTTGGTACTTCTCATCCTCTCATATTAAAATGCTATGGTGAGGCCGAGTCGGTACTTGGGAAGGGTTTAGTGCTGCAATATCTGCCTGTAGGAACACTGGCAGGGAATCTAGAGTTAGAGAGGTTTCCTATTGAGAGGTCGCAGTGAGTAGGTACCTAGTCAGTGACATGGCGGCCCTCCCCTTAGTTTAATTATTAACCAAAGAATATTGAGATGGCCGGCCCAAGCAGTCGAGGCAATAAGATATATTCATTCTAAAGGAGTCATCCATTGCGATATTGGCGCTCACAACTTTCTGATCCAAAACGATGGTTCCATTGCTTTAGCAGACTTTTGTGGATCAATTCTTGATGGCTCAACAAGTCTTGCTGCCACCTCAGCCCGGTCGGTATTCAAGACCGCTCCCATTGGCGGATCGATTGTCAAACCAGACGGAGAAAGACGATATCTTCGCGCTGGGCACTGTTTTATACGAGATCAGCGTTGGACATCGACTATATGCTGATAGAAGTGACGGTGAGATTTGGGAGCTTTTTCAGAAACGAGAGTTTCCATGCCTCACCGGTCTTGCTAGAAGCTTACGCTCCGTGATTGAGAAGTGCTGGCGAGACCAGTACAATAGTACTGAGGAAGTCAAATCCGATTTAGGTAAAACCTCTTCCTCTGCGCCCTTAGAGAAAGGGGCTGGTAAAACGTATGTAGATATAGCTATTGACAGATTATAAATTTTGAAAGAAGCAAAGGATTGCTGCTTCGTTGAGACAGACGTGAAGAATCATGTGTTTACCAAAAGTGGTTCCCGGAAAGAGCACCTAGAATGTCCCAATGAGCTTCATTAACTCAAGACATACTCCGGTCAGATCCGTAGCTTAGAAGCTCGAGAGATGATGTCCAGGAGAGACGTTTCGAAAAAATGACAAGGTTATGCCCCAGTTTCACTCGGTATCGGAAGATCAAATCCAGTAACACATTCTTCGAGGAGCCGCAAAGCTTCTAAAGAGGGATCTTCACTTCCAAAACCAATATGCTTGTGACAGAACCTGGGATAATCGGTGATCAAGTATTTGCTGTGCCAAAATATTCCTACAAAGGTACATCGACCTGTATGCCCTTCTACGCCAACAATGCAATCCCTGTTGTACAATCCCTTCCAACAATTAACCTATCCGATCCACTCTGTTCAACTTTCTAGCTGTTGTAATCTGCCAGACATTAGCGCGAGCCATCTCCCTATCACCGACAATCGGGAACGTACCTGGCTTCTCGTCCGTTGTCCTCGTACAGGCAGACCCATGGCGTGTCTTCTACCCCTGTAACTTCCCATATCCCTCAAGCGACTGAGGTTCTCTCTCAATTGCCTCCTCAGCTCGTTCTCGATCTTCATGGTGGAGAGCTCGGCCGTGATGGCTAAGATGGTCTTGTTGGGCAAGGAACCGACCTTCGCACGGGGGAAGATGTGGAACTTGGCCATGATCCGGGAGGAGCTCTGGTGGCCAATGCCGTAGAAGGATTCAAGACATTTCTAGGAGAGATGTCAGCGGAAAGCGCCTGGGATGAGCGAGAGAGAGGACAGCCGTACTTTGAGGAGCTGGGACTCGTGGAACGTGTTTCCTAAGATGAAAACCTATACATAGATGTCAGCGCACAGATTAAAGCATAACACTATCTGCAGAACCCACCATCGTGCCAGAATTGAAGCAATTGCGCTGGTGGTGGACAGTACAATTGGATGTTGTCGTCAAAAATCTTCGATGTCGTCGGGAAGCTTTGGAGCCTCACCTGCGCACGTGACACATCGCTACCGTAATCGACACCTTTCCGAAACAGCTGCCCCCCTTATCCGTCCAGCTCGAAGGTCTCCCAATCCTTCGAAAACACCATCTACACCTCTCTCTACCCCCTCAATTTGCCGTCGAGATGTTCGCCATGCAGCGCCTCGTAGTCTCTGCACTACTGATTTTGACCGTGGTCTTCATGTACATGGCCCAGACGGCGGAAGCTGCCAAAGGCCCCAAGATCACCCACAAGGTCTACTTCGATGTCAGCCATGGCGATGAGCCCCTGGGTCGCATTGTGATGGGTCTCTATGGCAAGACTGTCCCCAAGACCGCCGAGAACTTCCGAGCTCTGGCTACTGGCGAGAAGGGCTTTGGATACGAGGATTCCACCTTCCACCGTGTCATCAAGAACTTCATGATCCAGGGAGGTGACTTCACCAGAGGTGATGGCACTGGCGGGAAGTCAAGTAGGTGATGTGGGAGTTGGGGAATGTATCAATGCTAATTCTTGATAGTCTACGGCGCCAAGTTCCCCGACGAGAACTTCAAATTGAAGCACTCCAAGAAGGGTCTCCTCAGCATGGCCAACGCAGGAAAGGACACCAATGGCTCTCAGTTCTTCATCACCACCTCTATTCCAAGGTATGAGACTCGCACCCTCTCTGATTTGCTCGATTCTGACTCGATTAGCCATCTTAACGGCAAGCACGTCGTATTCGGCGAAGTCCTCGAAGGATACGATATCGTGGAGAAGATCGAGAACGTGCCAAAGCAGCCCGGAGACAAGCCCATCACACCAGTCAGGATCACAAAGAGCGGGGAACTGCCAGTGCCAGAAGAAGGTATCCACGTGGACCTATAATGTACTTTCCTACCTGCGTTCTGCGCCTGTTTGGGGGACTCGCTGATCTCTGGCCCTTCTCACAGAGCCGCTATATGGTACAGCCGAATTCCAAAAAGGTATGGAAGAAGTCGATGATGCTCCAGCTCCTCCAGCTCCTACGGAACCCAACGCGGTGCCTGCGAAACCTGAATCCCATGAGTCGCCTGAGGACGAGCATTCTGAGTTAGACCATACTGAATTGGAGCACATTGCGGAAGGATATAGTGTCATGCAGAAAGGATTGTTATTTGCTGTCGTCTTGGGGTGCGTCGCCGTCTACATACGCATGAACAACAGAAAAGGCAAACGATCTCTCCTTCCAAAGACGGTCTGATTATGTAGAAATTCAAACATCATGCGTTTTGTTAGTCAACGCCTACGCATCCCAATGAATCAACTAATGGCTGAGAAGAGTGCTTTAGAAAGACGGATGTGAATTAACCAACTATGGCCAAAATCTCAATATGGCGATCCGAAGCTGGGCAATTTGTCCTCTACAGGCTTCACCCCCTCCCTCTGCATCTTTTCCGCAACCTTATCAACTTCTGCCCAAACCCTCAACACATTCCCGCCCACCACCATGCTCGCTTGCTCATCCGTAATTCCCTGCTTCAACATCTCTCCCACCAAGTCCGGGAACTTACTCACATCATCCAATCCCTCGGGTGTACTCGGGATCCCATCGAAGTCGCTTCCCAAGCCCACGTGCTCATAGCCCACCAAGTCCCCAATATACTTGATATGCTTAACCACCTGCTGCAACGTAGCATTCTCATGATCCGTATCAGGCAACCCCACGGGAGACTCCGGGTTCTCGACACAGCTGATGAAATCCGGCGCGAAGTTGACCAGCACCACGCTATTGGTCTTCTTCACCAGGTACAGGATTTCGTCTGGCACGTTGCGCGGATGCGGGCATACCGAGTACGCCGACGAATGCGAGTAGATGACGGGCGCGGCGGAGCCGGCCCAGCCCTCGGAGCCGCCCAGCACGTCCCGCATCACGGCTACGCTCACGTGCGATAGGTCGACGATCATGCCCATGCGGTTCATCTCCTGGATGAGCTGCTTGCCGGCAGGCGAGATGCCGCCCCAGTACGGAGGGGCCTTCTTGGTGCCGCCGGGGATCTCGAGGAGCGCGGCGTCGGCGTAGATGTTGTGGCAGTTGTGGGTTAGGGTGGCGTAGCGGACGCCTAGGGAGTGGAAGAGCCTGAGGTTGGAGAGGGAGTTGCCGATTTGGTGGAGGCCTTCGATAGCGAGGGGAGAGATTAGAAGGCCGGATTTGAAGGCTGAGAGGGCGGTGCTGGAGTTGGGTGGGAGGGAGAAGTGGGTGGGGTAGGCGGATTGGAGACGTGTTAGGACGTCTATTTGGGCGAGTGTGAACGCCACGGCTGGTGTGAAGTAAGTATATGAATGGGTGATATAGAGAATGATGGACAACGTGAAGGGGTATGCAGCCGGGATATATCGATTGAGAGTCTGAGCTCAGGAATCATGACTTACACTCAGCATAGTTCTCGTCAGAGAAGTCACTTCCATTCGCCGGACAAGGAACGTAAGCACTCCAGAAAGCCCCTCCATTTTTACCCGCTTTAAGTCGAGGGAGGTCGACTTCGCCAGGCATCCCACCTAGCTCAAACGGTGTTGTGAAGTTCTCCTCATAAATACGATTATTGTAGAGGAACCTGATCAAGATCGCAAGATCATTATGGCCATCTGATATGCGGTCAGGAGAAGGCTAACAGCAAGCATCGGGGCCAATTACCAATCAATGGAGTCTCTGACAATATCCTGTTGACTCTCTCTTCCAGGGTGTCTGGCCGCGGCTTTGAATCGCCCAGGAAGTGCTCGCGGAAGAAGGTTGAGAGTAAGATCAGACCCAGACCGACAACAAAGCATAACTTGAGCAACACAAAAAACAACATATCTAAACGTTTCCGGGCTTGTTGATTGACCCCTTTCTCAACCTCTTCCCTGGTGACATAGACATTCTCGATGCTTGGAGGTCGAGACCCTTGATCAACCTCAGGGGCGCCACTGTCTTTGGGCAATAGCGGATCCTGCTCTTTGGAATGGCGAGGCATGATGGACAACGTAAATGAGTTGTATGAAATAGACACAGTGTCAGCCCTTCCTGACAGTCCGCATCTAATATATAAACAAACAATACAATTGCTCGCTTTGCCTTGAAGGATGGGGGTTGTCGTCTTCGCCGCCGGCCGTCATATGATAACTTGATAAGAGCTAGAGGTCCCGTGCTCGGCTGTCACGTGATCCAATTTGCATGAAACGGTCTAGCCCCTTTCAGACTTCTCCAGGATGGAATTCGAACTCGGAGGAGCGTGACAGCCACGGGGGAACCCGAATTCGACGCCAGATCTCTGAATGCCTTCATCTTCACTCCTTTTCGGGTACTTCTGCGCAGACCCAAATTATACGACGTCTTTCCTCTACCTGATCAACTGTACGAATACAACAAAGAGCCTTCGACCATAATCAGGGTCCAGTTCGAACTGAATCAACCTCCACGTTTTTGATTGGCAAGCCCGCGCCGCGCGGACTTCCTGAGCTTCTTCCTGCGATCTGAGTACGATCCTTCGAACGCGGCATCTCTCTTTCAACCTGTACCACTTCGACAACCAGCCATGGCTCCTGGATTCGCGGACTCCTTCTGGTCAGGAGATTACGCAGGAGGTAAGCTGCGTGGCCCAGTTCAATCGATCCTTTCTAACTGTCCACAGGCCTCGGCGTACTCTTTGGCAAGCTTCAGCAAGGCGTCGCGGAAAATGAACAGGTTCTTACCATCGCGCGGATGCGAGCTGAAGCAGAAGACATATATGGGATGCGCTTGGGCGAGATTGGGGCTGCTACAGACAAGATCCAGGGTGGCTTCAATCGCGACGATGGTGCCAGTGTTCGAAAGGTTGAGCAGGTCAAGACTTGCAAATGGCCAGCAGCTGACGGGATTTAGGCATACGATGGAGTGCGAACAGAGATGGACGAGGCCGCGAAGAGCCACCGGAGAATCGCCCAAAGCATTCGAGACCTCGTCGTGACCCCTTTTACAAGATGGTGCGATGCGCATGCTGCCCGAGTTCAGAATTCGCAAGACGATCTGCAAGCACGGATAAAGGTTCACGACAAGCAAGCCGAGCTGGTAAAGAAACTGCGAAGCCAATACTTCAACAAATGCCGCCTGGTGGAAGATATCGAGGAGGAGAATAAGCTGGCATTTCAAAGTCCAGAAACGAGCCCAAAGCCAAAAATTCCAGAGATCAAAGTGCAGGATAAGGAAGAAGAGGAAGAGCCCCTGGAGATCGCCGATGAGGTCTACCAACCAGAGCAAGTCAAGAAGATCCTAACACACATCCTGAATACCGTCAAACTCGGCGAAACGAAGGTTCCTATACTCGGTACATATCAGAACACCACATCTGGAGCGGATATCGTGGACTACCTGCAAAAGCATATGGGAGCAACAAGCGTGAGCCACGCGGAGCGTATCGGGCAAGATCTGATCACCCATGGCTTTCTACGCCTCGTTGGCAATGTTGGCAGTATCTTCGCAAATAGCTCCAAGATGTTTTACCAATGGAAGACGAAGGCCTTCCAGTTGACTGGAATTCCAGAAAAGAAGCGGCCCATGACCCGCTCCTTTTCAGTCCAATCCACCGATACTGTAGATTCTCCGGTCATGGGAACAGTGAGCGAGTATCTGGCAGGATGGAATGTTTTAAACACCACACGTCCAAACGAGACGCCAAGTGATCGACTTCGCAGAGAAGCTGCAGAGGCCGATGAAAAATACAAGGTTGCTGTACGCAGGCTGGATGAGCTTCGCTGCCAACTCGAAGAAGCTATCTTTGAGCACCTGAAATTCCTGGAGCGATGCGAGCTTGACCGGTTGAAGGCAATCAAGACTATCATTCTAGATTTCTCGGGCACAATCAGTAATGTCATCCCAAGCCTGCAGTCCACCGTTGACAAGATGATGCTTTACCAAGAGACTGTACAGCCACTTGGGGACCTTCGGTATCTTCTGGAAAACTATCGTACTGGTGGCTTCATCCCCAAAGTCACTGTTTATGAAAACTACTACAACTCGGCCGATGAGCAGACTTTCGGTGTTGATCTCGAGGCACGAGCACGAGCGGATAGGAAGCGGGTGCCTGCAATCATCACCTCGATCCTCACCTTCTTGGACAATCGATACCCAGACCTCGAGGGCGATGAGGCTCGACGAGGCGTCTGGCTGGTTGAAGTTCCACTTCAGCAAACCCACCGCTTAAGATCTGTGCTCAATACCGGAAAACCTTTCTCCCTCGATATCCTGGATCAATTCGAAATCCCCATTATTGCTAGCGTCCTCAAATTGTACTTGTTAGAACTACCAGGTATGTGAAATCCTCTCCATCTTGTAGATTTACTGACACAGAGAAGACTCCTTGGTCTCGTCACACGTTTATGAAATTATGAAAACCATATACAACACCCCAGCTGCCGACTCGAGCGAGTCGACCCGCATCTCCGTCCTTCAGAACACCCTTAGTCAACTACGCCTGTCAAATATCGCAACATTAGATGCGCTGATGACACACTTTACCCGACTTATCGAGCTCACATCGGCCGACGATGCCTATGTTGCTGCTCTGGCTACCTCTCTCGCACCCTGCATATTGCGGCCAAAGACGGAGACCTCAATGACAATGGAAGAGAAATTCTCCTACCGCCTCATCCGCGATCTTCTCGCTCACAAAGAAGCCATATTCACGGAACTGAAACGAGCCGCAGCTTCGCTCAGTCACAGCGGTAGCGTCACGCAGCGACCCCGTGCCGTTAGCACCGACGAAAGCAACCGAAAAGCCAACATGGAAGCACGTTCTCGCGCAATCATTGCTGCGGGCGGTACACGAAGCAGAGCAACAAGCCCGCAGCCCACTCCTAGCCGTGGTGGCCACCGTCGAGATCGTAGCTCAGGGCCGGCAGAAACCAGATTCCCGATCGTAGCCTCGCCAACCACGTCAGACCAAACGAGACATACAAGAACCGCCACCAATCCGAGTACCAGACACAGTCTCGAGGTACCTGACACTCCACCCAAGATGGCTGTTGAAACATTCAATGGGACAGCATCGGCAACGGTGCCTATGAAATCCCTGACTAATGGCTCTGGGGGAAAGAGTATCACGAGTGCTACCTATATGCCCGGCATGGATGATGGAATCGACGGACCTGTGATTGAGGACGCTGGTGTAGAAAAGCGAAACAGTCTCGGGCGATCGGGAGCCACCAGCGGAAACAGATTCTCAGGCGGCAAGCCCGGCGCCCTGAGTCGGATGAGCCAGGACCAAGCCAAGCGGGATAGCGTGGGCAGCGCTCAGGGAAGTGATGATGGAGCAAAAGTGGGCGTGAGCCTGACGGATAAGCCGATGGATGACTGATTGACTGATTGATGTGCATTTGGGGATACGGGATTCTTGGGAGGGAAAAATCTTAAAAACAGCATGAGAGATGATGATGGAAATGCGAAAACTGGGATCAGTGGGCTTGTACGATATGAATAGGATGATAGGTGCTTACATGGAATATGAACGCGATGGTTGATACCCTTGCCTCGTTACTCAGGACCGGATCTGTTTTCTCGTTATTGTCTTTCCCTATTGTCTGTCGTCTTCTGGTAGTCGGTAGGTAGTGAGAGAAGTCCCCATACAGCTCTGCAGTTAGATAAATACCTATGCTCAGTATTTTCTGAGGTTATACCGCATAATTAGATCCTTGTTCTACGCAGGTACACAATTCTAAATCACAATCCCTAACTCTCCTAATATCATCCAAGACCTCCCCCGCATCCCCATACTGTTCTCTCCAACAACTTCTCAGTGATCCTCCCCAGCCCCTCCCCTCCAATTCTTATAAAGCCCGCCCATCTCATCCTCATTCTTTCCCGCATACTGTTCCCCACCAGTACGCATCTCATAAAAGATCGAATCTAACGCAAAATGTATCATCAATCGGGAGATATCGATGATCTGGACGAGCACACGATATATATATATCATAACCACCACTAAAATCCTTGCACCCCCTCATAAAGAACAGCTCTCGAAGTCCGCAAGTATATGAGATTTGAATCTTGCGTTACTAGGATGTTCCGCACGTTGAGATAGATCGCAGTGGATGGTTTTATGTTGATAGATGGATATAAGACACGGCTCTTCTGTGATCTGCAAGCACTGTGATCTTCTTCTTGACTCCATATTGTTGGCGTACTTATTTGTCTAAGATATCCCTTCTCATGATACTCGAGAATGAAGCCGGAGAGCTCTTTGGCCCGAGATATTTCATCCGGAGATGATGCGATCCTAGGATCTCGTAGGCGGTTGTTTCATATTGGATGGCGTTCGAGGACGGATTTGTCGACGCCGCCGAAAGGCACTTTTTGAACTATCTTAGATGAATGTCGGAGGATCATTCCGGTTAAACCACAGCCACGGTTCTTGGATCATCCATTATTGGGAGGGGGTTGAGGAGATGGAGAATGGAGGGTGGGTTGGGATGTGTTTCTATATAAAGTGCAGGATGCAGGGTTTCAGCCACTATTCTTGGGTACGCAAATAGATATCTTGAATTTACAGAAATATGTAATGATGACATCCCCTAGTAGATTCACTATCGTCAACCATCAAAGACCACTACTCAGGGCCTGAGATTGATTTGACAAAGCGGCTATCGTCGAGACTGAAAGTTGTCGCACGCAGGAGAAACTACGATTCAATCTCCATAGGCTCCATCACAACCCCCTCATCTATAAATCCCAAGCCATCCATACAACGTAATGTGTAATCCACCAAATAACTCTCGTCAACCATCCCCTCCACCCTCTTATAATGTCTATCGCTATAGACCTTTAGCGCATCGAAGACGTCCCCGACACTCTTCCCCTTCCTTCCCTTGATCTTCAGATTACACAGCCGCGTGGCGGGATAGCTCTTCATCACCACTGACAAGATCTTCTGGGCTACAGTCACCGTCTTATTATTCGTGTTCCAATCTCGGATACGGAGTAGGAGGGTGAAAAGCTGCTCATCGGATAGATTTGCAAGGACTTCGTCTACGGCTTTGGAGCCGCAGAGGCTGTCTGGCTCGGGAGTATTCTGCGTCACTACAGATGTAAAAAGTGAGAGCAAGCGTCCAGGATGGTTGAGTTGCAGCGCGAGGGTGATGGCTTGGCGGTATGAGCCCGCGTGGATATAATTTTGCAGCTCCTGCTCCTGCTCCACGAATTGCGTAGCGGCGGCGGCAGTTGCGGCTTGAGTTGAAGCTGTGGTGTCTTTCCAGAACGTGACGGTGGAGTCGCCGCTCCCTGATACAATCGTATTGGTGACAGGATGCACAGCCAGTGCCCATACTCGGTCTTCGTGGTTGTCGAGCGTCGTCTCGAGTTCTCCCGTGTTTGCGTCCCAGACTTTGACAAGCCCATCTCCACCTGCACTGGCAATCTGCACGTGTTTTCTACCTTTCTCTTCTCCGGGGAGGCGTAACCATAAGACTTTGAGAACACTGTTCGCGTGTCCCTCGAACGTACGTACGCAGCTGTAATCGGAAAGATTCCATATCTTGACCGTCTTGTCTCCGCTTCCTGTCACGATAAGACCTCTTCCAGCAGCAGGACCACTCTCACCGGTTATGGTTGGCGTATCCTTCGGTGCGAATTTGACAGACCAGACACCTCGCCTGTGACCTCGGAGAATCCCTTGCACTTCTCCTTCCTGGACTGACCAGATCTTCACTGTTTTGTCTTGGGAGGCGGAGGCAAAGAATTGGCCAGTGTGATGAATATCTATAGCGTTGATGTCTTTGTCGTGTGCTTTTCTGGTATACAGCGCTCTTGGTGCTTTACGGGTAACGCCATTTGGAATGTCCCATCGTTTTACTGTTTGGTCCTGGGATCCCGTCAAGACAAACTCAGGGGGGTGATCTTGAGGAGATTTGAAAGCGGCTGATGATTCAGGAGGCGCTACTTGTGGTAAAGCAATCGCACCTAAAGATTCCGCATGCCCACTAAAAGTAGTGTGGCAGGAGAAGGAGTTGTTCGCAGGATCGACCCTCCATAGCCTGGCAGTGTTATCCTTAGCCCCGGTAGCAATCCAGTAGCCTGACCAGTCGATAGAGAGACAAATAATGATGTCGTCGTGACCTTTCAGTTGGGCAACATCTGCACCAAAATACTTTCCATTATCAACTGAATCACCCTGGGCGAGAGATACGATCCGGATCTCTTCCGAGTTTGTCGCAAGGGCCAGCAGCGATCGGTCTGGAAGGAGGTAGCCAAGATCGATAATTTCATCGTGAGTTCCGGATATTCGTCTCAGTTGTTCCAAAGGAGCGATAGTAGCCGTGGAGTCGAGGTCTTTCAAGGAAGCAGTAGCATGGAGAACAATGGTATGATCCGTCTGCACAGACAGAATGAATCCTAGATCTCGAAAGAATATGGCGCTGACAATGGAGTCCGCTTCGTTCTTTGCTGCTTGCGGCTTTGTGACCTCTCTTCCATTGTCTGTTTGCCAAATTCGAATGTTTCCGTTTGCCCCACCCGTATACGACAACCTCCCCGCCTCAAGGAAACCAGCCGCTTCGACCTCCTCGAGTACAGGGACCACCTTCCTAACCTTCCATGTTTTCGCATCCCACCACATGATGGTTTTATCCCTGCTTGCTGTGAGCAGAGCATTCTCTTCCGGCGAATAATCTAAAGCTCGAACGTCTGAAACATGTGAATCCAGGACGGAGGCACAATTCCGGTTGTATAGATCCCATATTCGAACCTTGCCATCCTGACTTCCAGACGCAAGTCTAAAACCTCTTGTGGCTTCATTTTTAGAATCATCTTCTGCTTCATGCTTTGTTCGCTTCTTCCGATTCCTCGCTGAAATCCCGGTCTCCTCTTCCTTGTGGCTCGCGACCAGCTCGAAAAAGTGCAGAGCGGAGATGAGGACATTGGGCCCCCGGAATGTGTGAGTATTGTAGCCTCCTAATATATCCCAGACTTTAACTACTCCATCTGCAGCTCCTGTAGCCAACAGCGTGCTTGTCTGATCCACGGCAAGAATTACGACCGGAGTCGTGTGGGGCTTGAGCGTTCGCAGGAGTTCGCACTTGACATCGTCGGCGGAAGTTGGAGAGGGAGTGAGAGAATATATCCGCATCGATAGTGAGCGCGAGCATATGATGAGGTGAGAGGCAGACGGTGTTACTGTTCGAGAAATTAGCCATGCGCCGGGTACGGGTGGTCTGATCGAGCCTACGGGTCATTGTAGATATAAGCTCTCCATCCTGGACAGATATTAGTAGGCAGAACTTCCATTGACCAAGAAGACGACTTACCCCTTCAATTTTCGCAAGCTGCCTCCCGGTATTGAGATCCGTGAGCAAGGCATCTTCCCCTAATGTAGTCGCAAGAATACGGCCGTTTTGTTCGAGGGTGACACTGCCACCAGTATATATGGGTTGGATTGTATGTTCCACTTCGAAGGTGGTCTGGTATGGCGCTTTGCTAGCCATTGTAGAGGCGTGGAGGGAGCGCAGTAACGCTGGTCGAGGTATAAATATGAAGTCGCCGTTGATTGTTTTCTGCTCAGTTTTTAAAAAGATTTTGGGGGCATCGATAAGCTTAATCTTAGCGTTGTTGGTGCCTTAGGCACAACATCTCAAACTCGCATACATCACGGCCCGGCATATCATCTTCATCTAGACATCCTCTCTCCGTTTTCTTCCTCCTCAGGTATAACATCCTTAAGAGAAGCAAAAGACGACATCTGGATTCAGACAATAGAACACTGCCATTTTGCGGCCACTCTGGCTGGAATATTGGCAAAGCGAGGACAACATACCGACCATGATTAGGACACAACGCTGAAAAGAACATTTACCATGGGAAGACTTGAATCTCTAACCTCGTGGGCCCTTGTAAGTCTGCAATATTCCGTAGTCCGTCATATACAGTCTTGCCGCCCTCTGTTTCTGAGAGTGCTTCAAGCGCCGTCCTACAGATACAACCGGGAAAAGGCTTTGTTTCGTTGATGGCACGTGACAACCCCGACTTGATATCCTCCCTTCCATCGGCACAAGCATTCTCGGTGTGCTACATTTTCTGATCTTTATTAGGGACGGACGCCATATGAGGACGAAGTTATTGAATTCCCACATACAACAGGCAGGCCAGGTGCTCAGCAATACAATGAGCATGGACGCCCAAGAAATCCAGAGACTAAACGAAGGGAGCGGGACAGTGTACGTGCTGCAAATGAAGTCATGCAAGTCACGGGTGTTGTCGAGGACTCTCTTGTAGCTAAGGCAAGGGCCAAGGCATATAAGCAAGAGAAAAATGAAGATACCTTTACCGGCCTAAGGTTGATGGAGGTCGGTCGTTCGGCCCTTGTTGGTGGAGTATGGGGTGTACTTGGGCTGCGGAGGCGGATTCTGGTACAGCATTGCCCCCTCATTCTACTCACATGAATGATTGCTGATGTTTCACAGTTATATAGACCATATTCAGAAATGGGCTTTCTCGAGATCTTACGAAACGAATCTGAGGTCAAATCAATACCCAGCTTCTTCTTGGCTGGGATCCCAACTGTCATTGCTTATCACATTTCCGATTGGACTGGATTTGTTATTCAGTCTATTGTAGATAGTGTCTTCGATGAAGATGAAGATGAATACACACCTGGGCAGCTGTGGTTTAAGCACACAGGTCAAATATTGTGAGTACAGCCCTCCAATCATATGACGCGCCCTGACCCTCCAGACTTGACGTGGCTTTCTGCTATGTCACATTAAATTTCCGCATGTTTGCAATACTCCAGCAGCTGAACTTGATTCCTGGTTCACATCTGCTACCGAGCCTACGGTCCTTTATCCCATTCTCGGCAGCCTCGCCCCTTCAACTTCCTGCTCCTCCGTCTCTCGAGATCAGATCTATTCTCTCATGGGGATTTGCTCTGTTTAGATCAGCAACACCACTATTAGTTATATTGGCTCATGGCAAGCTCAAATTCTTTGTTGCGCGGTTGTTCTATCGGCCGATTTACAAATCTCTCCCTCGACCAACAGGCGATAGTATGTTCTCTGGATTGCCTATCTCTACCCCCTCGATCGGATTCGATACACCTGATATACCCTTCGAAGAAGAGCGTCCCCGGCGAGGAGAAGATACGCCAACCTTACGAGCCCTGGAAGGTCTCCCGGCCTTGGATCGAGAAGAGCGTGAGGAAGCACGCATGCGTCAATCCTTGATGGATCAAGATGACTCGAGTGAGGATGAGAATGATGAGGTTCAACAAACTACCTTGATTAGTTTTGATGTCGAAGCTGCTCATGCGACCGAAAACTCTATGGGCACCTGGTCAGCAGAATTACGAAGCGCGAACGAGCCCAAGTCGAAGATTATCCAGTACCGTGTCACTGGACTTACAATGCTTCCTACGATACTTGCAACGGAAGGATTGAGAGAGATATGCGCGGGGATTTTGGTCATACCACTTGAGGCTGTGATGGTACGAATTATAGGGAGAGCGTATCTGCAGAATTCGGGCCTGAGCTTGTCCTCATTCTACGAAGTCTTCGCCTTTAAGGATGCTATTCCAGCCTGGCGAAATCTAGTTGGGGCCTTTGCGATACAGGTCGTTGCTACTGGGGTTATATGGGCAGGGTTTACACTGGGGAGTCAACGGTGGGCCGGCAAGAGAAGATCGAATGCGGAGGATAGACGGGAGCCACCGCCTTAAGAACAGTCAAAACATGCCGTATTTAACTTCCAGCTTCAAACGTGTGAGGTATTCTTGTTCTAAGCAGCGAGTCTCGACGAGTTATGGAGAGCGCAGCAGGATCTGGACCACGGAGGGGGAAAGGTGGCCGGGGTGATACGTGAATAAATTAACAGAGGCAATGGCGCAGAAATGGATCTTATTTGCCGTGTCATTATTACCGGAGGGGGGGCTGGAAGGCACGAAGAAAACCCCCGCAAAATGCCACCGATACTAGTCATTCTAGGTTCGACCGACCGCCTTTTGCCTATTTGTTGATGGATCAATGTTGGAAAACTAACTCAAGAGAGTATGTTTCACTGGCGATCGCAGCACCTCCCCGCACCCTTGCGAAACTATATATATTCAAAGGTTCCCGTCAAGATGCAAAGATCGCAATTTGAAGTTGTATACATGCATCTCAATCAGTTTAAATCTTTTCCCTGAAAGTCTTTTTTTCTCAGTTCATTGTTCATCATGGCAGAAGCAGAATCAAAGGGAATTGGAGCTGATGCCGACGCTATCAGCTCTTCTCACCATAGCGAGACCATGCTCCCTACAAATGCAGAACCTGTCAACGAAAAGGACGTCGGGCTTTCACCAAAACATCCTATCTCCAACACCAACCGTCGGGTCTCGGAATGGGAAGCTCTTCAAATCGCGCAGGCGGGTGACCTCGACACAATTAACGCAGAGGTGGATGAGATTGAAGCGGACCTGCAACGGATGAACCTGAGATCTACCTGGTACAAGCCACTTTTGAATTTCAGAGACCCAAAGTTGTTCGGTTACCTCCTCGTCGGTAAGATATACGAATGTAGCTGGGGCACGATGATTTACTCGTAATAGCTTTCGCTTCAATGGGCGGCTTACTCTCTGGTATTGATCAGTCCTTGATCAGTGGTGCTAATCTCTATCTTCCCGGGTGTAAGTTGGTCCTCGTAATCTAATCGTATCATTTATTGACCCCATAGCTCTACACCTCGATACGAAGCAGGTCAGCCTGGTCAGTTCAGGAGTGCCTCTGGGAGCTGTTGGGGGTGCGCTGATGCTCGGCCCCCTCAATGAGTGGCTCGGTCGTCGGATGGCCATCATTGTCTCCCTGGTGCTCTATACCGTCGGCGCAGGCCTCGAAGCTGGAGCCATTAACTTCGGCATGATGGTTGCCGCGAGAGTAATTCTCGGTCTTGGGCTTGGTCTCGAGGGCGGAACCGTCCCTGTCTACGTCGCCGAATCAGTGTCCCGCAAATATCGAGGGAATCTCGTCTCCTTGTACCAGTTCATGATCGCTCTTGGAGAAGTGTTTGGCTATGTCGTAGCCGCTATTTTCGTTGATGTGAAATCTGGAAACTGGAGATATATGCTTGGGTCTTCTCTTGTCTTCTCGACCATCATGTTCGTCGGGATTATCTTCATGCCTGAATCCCCACGTTTCCTCATGCACAAAGGCAAGACCACTGAAGCCTGGTTCGTTTGGAAACGGATCCGCGGTGAAGATGAGGAGGCCAGGAAGGAATTCTTCGTCATGAAACATTCGGTCGATGAAGAATTCGCGCTCAAGCAAGAAGCAGGAAGAAATCGGCGTTTCATCTGGATGGACTTCTTGACCGTCCCTCGAGCCCGGCGCGCAATCATCTACGCTAATGTGATGGTCTTTCTCGGACAGTTTACGGGGATCAACGCTATCCAATATTACATGGCGACCCTCATGGCGCAAGTGGGCTTCGACGCCAAGAAATCCGTCTTCATGTCTCTTGTCGGCGGCGGCTCCCTGCTCCTCGGCACCATTCCCGCCATCTTGTACATGGAGAAATTCGGACGTCGTTTCTGGGCGTGCGCCATGCTGCCCGGCTTTTTCATCGGCCTCTTGATCATCGGCTGTAGCTATCTAATTGATCCGCACACCAACGTCGCCGGTGCACAGGGCGCCTACATCACCGGGCTTATCCTCTACGAGGGCTTCTTTGGCTCCTACGCCTGTCTCACCTGGGTCATCCCCTCCGAGGTCTACCCCACGTACCTGCGATCCTACGGCATGGAGACGTCCGACGCGATGCTCTTCCTCTGTTCCTTCCTAGTCACTTATTTCTTCTCACAGATGCAAAAAGCCATGTCGCAGATCGGCCTCACGCTCGGCTTCTACGGCGGGATTGCGGTCGTGGGATGGGTTTACCAGCTGCTGTTCATGCCGGAGACGAAGAACAAGACGTTGGAGGAGATAGATGTTCTTTTTAGTCAGCCGACAGGTGAGCTGGTTAGGGAGAATTGGAGGAGTGTTAAGGTTACTATTGCGGATTTTTTCTGTTTTAGGTGGGGGAAGGTCTTTAGTCCGGTTAGTGAGGGGGAACTTTTTAGGGGCGAGAACAATCGTATGAGTATGGAGAAGGGAGAGGAGAAGGATGAAAAGGTTCCAATGTCCCAATAGGAGTAGAGATGTGAGGACAACAATGCATTGGTTTGAAACATGGGCTGTCTCTAACACTTTTAAGAACGTACAAAAATAGTCTTCGAAGAGGAGCATGAAGATATTTCGGTGTCGGTAAATCATATGAATTCTACTCTAGCACATCAAGTCTATAGAAATCAGCATAGAACTCGTGGTATATGTAACAAGGGAAGGGAAAATCAATGGACAAGGATGATGAAGCGTGATATAAACACAAGAGCAAGATGACATCTAGTTATTAAACCTGGACATCTGCCCATCCCTGACGTTCAAAGCCAAATTGGAAATCGGTGTATAAAACATCCCCAATGAAAATCAACTTCCGCATACATCTTCATAGAAGTGACTGCAATGTCCGTAAATCAGAAAAGGAGAAGCATCAGAACTATTCTTATTCTAGCAAGAGAGGTAAAGCTACTGTGCCCAAATATCTAAGTAGCACAAAGCGAACTAAAACGTCAAATTACTCTCTATCGAAACCATCAAGTCCGCAGCTCTCCCAGCCACACTTTTACACTCATCACTAACTCCATCTTCTATGGAAACAGCCCGAAACCTCTCCCTCCAAAAGTGCCACCTGTGAAGAGAAAGCATTCCTTTGCCGTCATACAGCGGTCCCGAGTTCCAAGTTCGCAAGTCGTCGGACGAGACGTCGCCAGAGAATAAGATCTGCTTAAATAGACTCTGTCCGTTCCACAAGATCCACTGCGCTGCAGCCAATACATTACAGTCGCGAATAGCGTCTTCGTCCTGGTTTGTCTCGAGAGCATCACGAAGTGTCCATATAGCATATGTTGGATCCGTGTTCCAGACCCGGCATTCTTGGAGGTTGGCTAGAAATGCGTTGTAGTTCACCCATGCGTCTGGGCGCTCAGGCTCGGGACCTATAAGATGTTAGTTAAATGGATGGCAGATGCATAGTCTGACAATATTAGTGTGAAACTTTACCATTGTACCAATCCCTTTTACTTTCTCCAAGCCGTTGGTAACGATTATAAACATCCGCCTTGCCCTATAAATACATCAGTGAGGGGAGGATTGCAGACTTGAGAGATGTCTTTTACCTTCGAAGTCATCTTATCGTTCACCTTTGTCGAACGGCCGATGTATTCCAGAAGCCGAGCTAGTTTTAGTTGGGATGGATGATGGTATGGGATCTGCTCAGAAAGTTCAAAGCACACCTCACCGAAGGACCAAATCTCAGTTGACAAGGGAGCCTTTTCCGGCAGAAGGGCTAGAACTGACTCGGCAGCAGACTCAAGGGACAAGGTGGTGTCAGGCTGCAGAAGATCCCGCAAGATAACGAAGACTTTGTCGATGGAAAAGGCCGATGTCCCGGTAGCCTTGTATGCTGGGGTCCCGTGGCTGAACTTTGAATTCAGGGTGGAAATTATCGAGGAAGATTTCTTGGCCTCCTGGCCAGGAGTTCCCGTGAAGCCCTCTAGTTTGAGGTCAAGGGATGCCATGGCGAGAAATATTTGAGTGTGCTTGAGTAGGTGTAAGAGTATTCTGAGATAGAACCAAGTGTATGACTGCTGGAGAGAGATATCTAGGTTATCAGATCAGAGCTTCGATTTGGATTTGAGTTAAGAGTCTTGAGTTCGGGTTTTGGATTGGGATCTGGATGTAGATGTGTAGCTACAAAGGAAGAGAGAGAAGGAGGGGAGAAATAATTCAAATTTAGACTAAACTTTATGTACCTACTTCGAATGATTTACACTATCCTTAGGCTGCGCAGAAACCCATGGGTTCCTACCTTATGAAATGGGTCGGGTATCTACCCTATGGGGTAGATAGGTTATTATCCTAACTTTGGGTATCGGAATCCTACTCTTCTCACCGCGAGAGGATGGATTTAGATCCTCTCCTTGTTAGAGGTTCGTCAAAATCTAATGGAGGTGGCATGAAGGTGGCGGGCGTTCAAGATTATAAGTTTATAACATTTGCGGCTGAACACATCCATCCAAATTGAGTTCGTCCATTCACAACACCTCGTGTCGCAGTTGCCGCCGAGCTCCTTGAATGGCCTTCCCGAATCAAATAAGCGCCCAAGCCGCCCGTCCAACCAGGTTTAAAACCTTTGGCCGCCAGATATGAAATCCAAATGTTGGTTTTATGTTTCAGGATATGCGACCTTTCATCTATATTTGCTGCCCACAGTCGTACAACTTCGAGACGAGGGTTAGGTATACTCCATAGTGTTAAGTAACATAAAGAGTACAAAACGAGAGCGCGATGTGTTGACTAGGTGGAGAATCTCAAAAATCTTTACAAACCCTATCTTCTTAACCCTCAAGAATGCCAACCTTTAATGCATCTTGGTCCTTGGATATCAATCAACCCGGATCTTCTCCACTCCTTGCTTTACCTCCTTTAGTGGAACACTGCGTAGACCAGCTGTTTTCTCTTCCTTCTTACCCGGCTCTAACAACCACAACTCCCTCACGCCCAAACCCTCCAAAAATTCCACCGCTCTCCCAAAATTCGTACCTACATGTGCAACTCCATGACTATCATCACTCAACGTCAGCTTCCCCCCTTGGCCCAGGAACTCCTCACAGATCCACCTTCCCGGATACGGTTCCTTAAGACCCTTCCTCAACGCACTGGAATTAATCTCAAGGAGGCCACCCTGCTGCACAACCATAGCCAGATTCCTCTTCACTTTCTCCCAAACCCCTTTCCACTGCCTCAAATCCCGATCCGGCTCTTCGCTCAACAACCTAATGAGGTCAAAATGGCCTACGACTCTCGGTTTCAGCGCGCGCAGCATCTCGTACTGCTCATCGAAGTAATCCTCGAACAGCTTCTCCTCTGAGCCGCCGGAAATCTCGCGCGCCTTCGCGTAGAAGGCAGCATCGTAGTCGATCGGCACCTCATGCACGTGATGCACCGAGCCGATGAAGTAATCGACGCGCGGGTCCTGGGCCAGCTCGTGGATGAGCGGCGCGTAGGACGGCCGGATCCATTCCCCCTCGAACCCGATGAGGAGGGGGATCTGGGAGGCGTATTTGGTGCGCAGCCGCGAGGCTTCGGCTAGGAAGGCGGAGTGGCGCGGGAGGAGAGCGGAGATGCTGTCCCCGGCGGAGATCTGGCGGGGGTGTTAGAGCGGAGAGGAAAAAGGGGGGCGGGGGAGGAGGGGAGGGACGGACTTCTTCGGGGTAGAGATCGCTGTCGGAGAGGCGGGGCATGTGCTCAGTGAGGGCGAAGCTGATCATTCCCGAGGAGATGGCGGTCTGGACGATGGTCTCGAGCGAGTCTTTGGCATGGCCAGGACAGAATTGCCCGGAGTGACTGTGCATTGAGAAAGCCATGTTGGTGGTTTGGAGGATTGAGATGTAGAATCACCTGATTAATCGATATTGATTTGTAGATATACGGTTCTCCGCCACTACGGCAACCATTTCGTCTTGACACTCCTGTTGCCCATTGTACCCTGAAGCGCAAACACTATAAAACACCAAAGCCGCAAAGCGTAAAATGGAGAAAACACGTTTGTCCACATTTGGCATATAGGAAGCCGACCAGTGTTGCAGAAGTCAGAATAAGCTCAAGTCCTTATCATATCAGCAACCAATACGTGACCAGGAAGGGACGGGTAGAGTTTTAGTAATCACGGCCACTTATCCACACAGTCCGCACTCCCTCAACTCAATTCAAAGCCCAACGACAGGTAGGGTAGAGTGAACTTGTCACAGGGCTTGTTGAGGATACACCACGTTGCAACAAGCTGTGGCTTAGTGGATACAGCTTCTGGCAATCGCGAGTGGTACCCCCTTGCCTCTCCCTTATACAGCAAGTCTGTTGCAAATTATCATGTGCGCACTTCTCTGATGACTTTATTGAATGAAAGGATTGGAGACATCTACTGGGGTGCTCAGTAACAAGAAACATGACCTCCTCTTCTACTCCAAGGACAGTATTGTCCGGACTAAGGTCCTTTGTCGGAAAGCCCTCCTCTTGCAGCAGAAATTCACTATCTTTTGATATCGTTGCAAGGCAACAAGTCAAAGGCTCACGACAAAGCTTTCAAGCTTTTATATTTGGTTCAATTCAAGGATAAGGCGAGGGATAGTCAAGGTACAGCCTATTGCCTAAAGTGGCAGGGGAAAAGGTGACTTTTCTGAGTTATTTTAAAAGAGAGTTAAGTAGATTATCAACAAGGAAATGGTTGGTCAACATAAGGCTGGTTCTTGTAGTCAAGTGCTAATAGCTTTTCAAGGATATTTCAAAAGCTCATGTTAGTATACAAAGAAAAGAGTGACAAGGCTCGACAAACTCAATATCAGAGAACATGAAGAATATCTACCGGGTCGACTCTACGAGATCAGGTCGACGACTTATGTTTAGTAGCTTTCTTCCCGAGATCTCTAGTTGCTGTCCCACTCTCCATTTCCATTACAAGTTCGACACGTTCTTATCACCATCCCATCATCGCAGCCGCATCGAACGTCCCAACTTCCTTCTCCACGACAGTTGTCGCATTCTGGGTAAGCGTCCAGAACGCCGCTGCCGCCGCACTTTCCGCAGGTCTTGGTTTTTCAGCCAGTACCGCCGCATCTGGTGCATGTTGTTTTGGCTTCTCCTTGGCCGTTACAATTACCGCAGACAGGCATTTTGGCAGCGAAAATAGAGGCTAGATTATCAGTCAACGTATTGGATATTGGTAGTAAAGGAGAGATGTTAAGCTTACATTCTTGACTGATGTCTTGCAGGTGAATTCAAGTGTGCGCCTCTCTGAGAACTTTCAGTTATCGTCAGAGCTATTGTATAGCTTGTATGTATTTGAAGATGAGGCTGTAAGCCATGTACTATATAGCCTGTTGTGATGATGAGGCTCTTGAAGTGCCATCTGATCCGCTCAATCCGATACTGACCGAAAACACTCTGGTGCAGTTAGGCTGCGATGCTTTGTTTGGGCCGCAATGCTTTGCCTGAGGGGGTGATGATTCAGGCTATAGTGTTTTAGACTATAATTCCTCACCTATACGTGATGCGCCTACGAATCAGTGGTACTGTATGCGCGAGGCTGAGAGCCTTCTCAAAAATCCCCTACTGCGATCGTCGATCGATCTACTAATCCTATCTAGTAATCACGCCCCTGTCCTTCTCCATTCCTTGGCAAGTGCCAGAGTCGTGCACCTGATCGCGACACGGTGTAGACAAGGCTGGCGGAGATTTACCTTAGGTATGGCCAAAGTAAACAAGTACTAAGTTATCCCAACGGCGCAGAACAGTCTTTTAGACGAAAGGTTTAAAAGTATAATAGATACTGTAGTAAAACCTTGTAACACTTCCTAAGGACCGTGCATAAGTACAGCTATAAAGCATCATTATAGTACAATATCTCATTAGTACAAGCACTCCTTAGAACAAGAACCTTAAACCATACAACACCCCTAATTAAGCCCCCTTTTTTTTAAGCCCAACACATCTTGACTTCAACTTCTGTCAAGAAGTTAATTATCTAAACTAGGTAGTCTATAGAAGCTGTTATCATTCTTCACTACAGATTCCAATTCAACCATAATGAACCATTATCCGCACCCCCTCTTAAACATCTTAAGCTCTGCTCCAAAAAGCAGCAGTATTCTTCCTCGATCCCTCTTCGGTCTGTAAACCTAGTTATGTCCATCTATAATAAGCATGAGGATTATTGTGTACCTAGGTAGTATTACGCTCTTATATTACTATTACTACTTTGTATAACAAGATTGACACTGATACTTATCTATCCGTACCTTACTATCTCAGCGAGTATATAGGGTAATTAAAAATAAAAGGGTAATTGGAAATAAAAGGGTAATTGGAAATAAAAGGGTAATTGGAAATAAAAGGGTAATTGGAAATAAAAGGGTAATTGGAAATAAAAGGGTAATTGGAAATAAAAGGGTAATTAGAGATAAAAGTGTCGAGCTCTAAGAAAACATTTTGGCCCTGGTCTGCACGTCTGATTGAGTATCCATTGACTATACATAAGGCACGTGACACTATCCGTCAAGTATTAACGGGTGGGGTGGAGTTGATACGGAGTGCCTTTCAGTACAGCAGCAGACTGGGCCAGTGCAGGGTCACAGTTATAGCGGGTGGCGGGAACTTCAAACAATCGCATCATACACATATTCACATTGAGAATCACAATCACAAGCATGTATAGAGCCATATCCACAGGTATATAGGTGGAACAGACTTTTGGTATTGGAATTATCTGCAATCATCCCATATTCCCATCACTCCACGCGCGGTCGCGCTTTCTGCTAAGTTGTGCCAGCCTGAATGGACAGGAGCACTTCCGTATGCCATCAGCGTAAGCAAGCATATTGCTCTTCTTCGTTGAAGAGACCATGCCCGCCATTGTAATCGCCCATTCGCAAATGATGGAAATTGAAAAGCCTTGACCTCGTCCGCAAAGATCCTCATGCATCACATGTGCCGCAAGAGCCCCGCGGAAAGATCCCCACTACTTTTGTCTAAAGCAAGATGGAAAGGAAAAAAAAGCTGAAAACTGTACAACGATCTTCTAATGTGGGGTTCATTTTGACCCTCGAATGGGGAAAAACCGAAAGATTTTAGGAGAGCATAACCGTCATAATGCGTTCTGTGAAACCCAGGCTTTTCTCTTCCGCTTATGTCCCAGGAAAATGCATCATGACCGGTACGCCGCAGGTGGCATCTCATGCGTCTGCCTGATCGCCCGTGATCATCTATGGGTATCGAGACGAGGGGGACAGCCAGGGACAAAAGACAACGCTATCTATTCGTATGCAGGCCGATGATCGAAGAACCACGAGCTGAAGCTTTGCAGAAGGCAAGACGCCAGCTTCCGTCGTGGTGGGCCACCACCAGAAAAATCGCAAATGTCGTGAAAAGAGGCACTCGAAAGCGAATTACCGAACCGAATTAAGAAACCGAACTCGCAAGAAAGAAACGAAGATGTATCCACAGAGTCAGAATGTCTGTCGATATGTGCCCGACGACCATGTCCAGATATTTTAGATTCAACTTCCACGGAAGAGGATCAAAGGGACAGGGACGCCGCTGCATGATGATCTACCACCAGGATTGGCCGCTGCCACCTCCGGATGGGTTGCCATAGGATCCACCACCATAGCCGCCGCCGTAGGCAGCTGGGGGAGGTGGGCCACCATATCCACCGCCATACGCGGGAGCAGGGGGTCCGCCGAATCCACCGCCGTAGCTTGGACCGCCACCACCTCCGAACTTTCTGAAGTCACGGTTGGCACCAGCGCCACGGCCACGGCCACCGGAGCGTCCGCCTCCACGGCCGCCGCCAAATCCGGCACCCTCACGGGCAATGTTCTCGAGGAATGCGGGAACTTCCTGGTTGGCTTCCTTCAGAAGCTCAATGAGGTCCCGGACAACAGCTCGGTTGCCACGGTTGAAGAATGCAGTCGCGATACCAGTGTTACCGGCACGACCTGTACGACCGATTCGGTGCACGTAGTCATCGATATCCGTTGGAAGATCGTAGTTGACAACGTGCTTAACGTGCGGGATATCCAGACCTCTTGCCGCGACAGCGGTGGCGACGAGGATTGGGCAACGTCCATTTCGGAACATCTCAAGAGCACGCTCACGCTCACGCTGGGTGCGGTCACCGTGGATGGAGGTTGCAGGGAAGTTCTGGTTGATCAAGAAGTCTGACAGGGAATCTGCCATACGCTTCGTCTCGACGAAAATGAGGGTAAGTCCAGCACCGTGGGTGTGGAGGATGTCGAGCAGGACAGAGCGCTTGTCCATGTCCTCGACGTATTCAACCTTTTGGGTGATGTTCTCGGAGGTGGAACCAACACGTCCAACAGACAGGAAGATGTAGTCCTTCAAGAAATCTCTGGCGAGCATCTGAATGTCGCGGGGGAAGGTGGCGGAGAACATGAGAGTCTGACGGTTCTGGACGCCTGGCATATCCTCACCCTCAACAATTCTGCGGATTTGGGGCTCGAAACCCATGTCCAACATACGATCAGCCTCGTCGAGAACAAGGTACTTGATGTTGCACAGCGAGATACGGCCTCGCTCGATCAAGTCGACAAGACGACCTGGAGTGGCAACGAGAAGATCACAGCCACGCTCGATTTGACGAAGCTGAGAACCAATGTCTGCACCACCATAGACGACGCATGGTCGAACCCAGGATCGGTATGCGAACTTGCGAGACTCGTCGAAGATTTGAGAGACAAGTTCACGGGTTGGTGCAAGGATCAAGGAGGTGGGGTAAGCCTTGCGTTGACGTCCGAAGCTTCCTCCGGCGCCAGCAGGTGGAGCGGAAGGACCTGTCTGGAAAGCCTGGGACAGGATGGGGAACAAGAAACCACCAGTCTTTCCGGAACCAGTCTGGGCACAAGCCATCAAATCACGGCCGCCCATGACAATAGGGATGGAGTATTTCTGGACTGGTGTAGGGACCTTGTAGTGAGCGAGCTCGATGTTCTTCAACAGGTGGTCATCAAGAGGTGGGTTGGTGAACTTGAGGACAGGCTCGGGAACATCGTGTCCTGAGGCCTCGACGGGGATATCGTCGTACTTCTCGAAGTTGATACCGGTTTGTTGCTTGGATGGGTCATCTGGAACACCGAAGAGTTCGCGCTCGATGCGTGGGTTGGCAGGTCCGGCTATGTGTTTGCCATCTCTCCACTGTCCGTCGCCGCTACCTCGAGCAGAGGGCGCGCCACCGGAAGGGTTGCCATAGGCGTTCTTGTTGAAGGATGGAGCGGGGCCATCCCAGTTTCGGCCACCAGAAGGGCGAGGAGTGAAGTCGGGAGCGTTGGCCCAGTTTCCTGCAGGGCGGGGACCGTCGGGGTAGTTGCCCCTACTTGTTCAGATGAGTTAGCCTTCCATCAAATAAATCGTAAAACTGGTCGCGAGGGATGTGCGCGTGTTGCGGTGAGAGTACTTACGCAGCGGGAGAAGCCCAGGCACTGCCATTGATACCGCCGTTCATAGGAGGCGGGCCACCGTTGAGTCCTTGGGGGGCGCCACCCATCTTTCCTCGCATGTGAGGAGGAATGTACGAGCGCTGTTCGCCACCAGGGCCGTTAAGGCTGAGACCGCTCATGTTGAGTTGATCCGCCATGGTGAGTTTCGTTGGAAGGTGAGGTTCGGAGTGAGGCTGATGTGTAGAAGATCGGATCTTGGATTATCGACGTGGATCGCTGAGTGAGCGCGGGGTCGAAGTGTCCCTGGGCTCTCTGGGAAGATCGTAGGATCGAAAAAAGAGGGCCGAAAGACGTAAGAAGAATTCTATGAACCGAAACGCGATTCGAGACGATTAGGAGAAAGGCTGTGACGTCCTACCCCTAAGATTAAGGAAAGACGTATTCTGCGGCCGTTCTGCTGCACTGGAATCCTCAGAAAGACAAAAGCTTCCAAGGAAATTGAAAGGAGGGGGTAGAAGAGTGATATGAGGGGAGGGTAGATGTGGGAGGTGAAAGAGGTTGGAGGAGGGAAGAAGAAGTTCGGTGTTGAAGGCAAAAAAATAAACGATTTGGACAAAAACCCTTCGCAGCGTCTCGCTTCCGCTCGCTTCCAGAATAGGTTGGCGCTAGGCTGGATCGAGCGCTGGCCGCGGTTGGTCAGGGGCCCTGCGCTTATGTAATCCCAGGGTTTTCTTGCCACCGACTGGGCACGTGATATCGGATCGGGTGCGAGCGCCTTCGAGAAAGAACTACTGTTCAGTACAGTATCCGGGGACAGTCCCGTCTTTTGGTAGGTATTCACAGCGGCTGGGCCAGGTAGGAGAGTGGTGGCGAGTTACAGAGAGGGTGAGAGATGGGGAGACAACTAACCAGGTACAGGCTTGCTTTACAGCGTTGCAAACGACAAGGCCTTGGGAACGGAGGAGAGCTTCATACCTTGGGTTCATGGTCGTCGTCGTAGAGGCACGTAGGGGGCGTTCGTTCATGAGAATGGAGAAGGGCAAACAACGCTGGCACGACAGAGGCACTCTCTCCATTGCAACGCAGATCCAAACTACGTCCCATCCCCTATCAGGCTCACCAGAAAAGCACACATAACCAACCCCCCAAGGGAGGAGACATCACACGTTCCAACCTCACAAGCTGAAAGGCCCAGTGTTTGACCCCCGTGATCGCCATTTGATGCCATGCTATAATACACCATTCCATGAATTATCCTCCACAAAACCAAGAGATCCAAAGCCCCAAAACTCAATCAAGGACAAACAACCCGCGCATCATCGTTGTAATCCACCTCCCTGATTCCATCCTTCGTGATGACCTTGACCAACATGCCCTTGAAATCGATCGGTAACCGTCTCTTCAGTTCGTCCGTGCACATCCTCAAGATCTTGAGCCCTTGCTCGAAATTGATGTCTGGGTGGTGGTGTTTGTCGAGGATCGAGAGACAGTAGTATTGCGCGTACCCGTGGGCAGCATATGGGACGGGCGCCAGCGACGCAAGGTAGTCCAGCCAGTACAGCGAGGGCTTGTCGGTGATGGGGTCGACACCGCCGAGGAGGAGGTTGACATTGTAGGGTTTGCGGGAGCGGAGAGAAGAGGCGAGTTCACCGCGAACAAAGTGTGCGATGGCAGAGGGAGAGAGGTCGATGTTGTTCCGCATGGAGTAGAGCTGGGCATTGGCCTGGATATATTCTGCGAATTGGACTGGGGAAGGGGAAGTCAGAGAGGGAGCGTATTCGCAGAAAGGGTGCCCATACTTGTATCTCCGGCCTCTCCAGAGAAGGCCATGAGGGTATGCTGGTTCAATGCTCTCGTCTTGTCGTCTGACGCCTTGAGAATCGTTGCTCCTCTCATAGCGGCCTGGGAGGCTGCGATGATGGTGAAATCCTTGCCGGTGATACCAAGTAAGACTTCCCTAATGGACACCGCACGTTAGCATATGCCGTGCCGAGCTCCAGCATGAGGGAACGTACATGATGATGGTGTTTTGGGGTTGAAGTTGAGCTGGAAGAGTGCTGTCTTGGTCGTTTACTATGAAATACCATGAAGCTCTTCACACGCGTAGCTGTCGCTGCCTCGCCAGTTCCTGCCAGCATCTGATTGGTCGGCTGCTGAGAGGTCAACGGTGCTGACTCAGCAGCCTCCAGATCGAAGAAGAGCCGCTAGGCTGTCTCTGGTCTAGCCCTGACGACCCCCGGTCGAGAAATTCCAGCGGCAGAATAATTTTCGAGGGACGCTGATTTTTGACATTTTTTGGCAATTTTTGGGGGCATTTTCTGGGACAATTGGAAGAAATCTCTCGATTCCGGACAATCCCAGCAGCAATGTCCTCCTTCTTCACCATCCCCTCGGGGCAAAAGAAACGGAAGCGCACCGAGGCTTCAGACGTGCCCGCAAAGAGGTTCGCATCGGCGAAAACCCCCAGAGAACCCAAGAAGCCGCGGAGAGTCCAAAGGGACGAATCTATATCTGGCAGCGAGGATGAGAGCGACGAGGGCCCGCGAGATGCAACGGACGACGAAGAGCCAGACTTGACATCCAGCTCGGAAGGAGAAGAAGGGGATGAGGAGGAGACTGCGGCGGAAAGACGACTGCGGCTGGCAGAGCGCTACCTGGAAAATATCCGTGAAGAAGTGGATGAAATCGGGTTCGACGCCGAGGAGATCGACCGAGACCTCATTGCGGAACGGCTAAGAGAAGATGCTGCTGAGTCGAAGGGACTCGTGTACCGGAAGTTGGCCGACGAGTTATCTTTCCAAGATGCTTCACATAGCGTGTTCAGGAATAACAGCGAGGCTGTCACAAGCATTGCTACCTGCCCGCCGTTCGCATACACCGTTACCAAAGACCTGTGTTTGACAAAGTGGAGGTTACAGGACCTGCCAAAGGACCAATTCCCGCAGAAGAAGAAAAAATCAAAGAACCCACCTCCGCCGCCGAGGCGAAAACCGATCCAGCTCGCCTTCGTGCGAGGAGACAAGAGGAAGGCAAAGGACAACTCGTATCAAGGGCACGTAGACAGCATATTGGCTGTTGCAGCCTCTCAAGATGGCAAATTCGTCGTCACCGGAGGGAGGGATCGAAGAATAGTGGTGTGGGATGCGGAGACATTGAAGCCCTTACGGGTATTCTCTCAACATCGAGATGCCGTGACGGGGCTTGCCTTCCGACGAGGCACGAATCAGATGTATTCCAGCTCGAAGGACCGAACGGTCAAGATCTGGAGTTTGGACGAATTGGCATACGTCGAGACCCTATTTGGGCACCAGGATGATGTCGTTGATGTTGCTGCTTTGGCGCAGGAGAGATGTATCAGTGTAGGAGCACGCGACCGAACCGCACGGTTATGGAAAGTCGTCGAAGAGACCCAACTTGTGTTTCGCGGCGGTGGGGGGGACAAGAAATCAAAACAGGGAAAAGGCCTAAGGGTATTAGAGGGCAGCATGGATCGTGTGGCTATGATCGATGAGGAGATGTTCGTCACGGGGAGCGACAATGGAAGTCTATCACTATGGACCATAAACAAGAAGAAGCCCATCTTCACACTGCCACTGACGCATGGTCTCGATCCTCCTCTCGCGCCCGAAGCAGCATCCGCCGAAACGCACCCCGATCCCAGCAGTGTCCCGGAGCCGCAACCCCGCTGGATCACAGCCCTGGCCACGATTCCCTACTCAGATGTTATTCTGAGTGGCAGTTGGGATGGCCACGTCCGGGCGTGGAGACTCAGCGACGACAAGAAGAGAATCGAGGCCATTGGAACTCTCGGTTCCTCTGGAGGAATTGTCAATTCCTCGACGCTTGCCGAGTCCCCTGCTGTCGTCAATGGACACGTGGACGGGGAGAGTGAACCTGCTGCGGATGCCCCCCCTGCCGTGGTCCGCGGCGTCGTTAATGATATATCTGTGTTTGAGCGCGGGGAGCGCGGGAAGGATGGCGTGTGCGTTGTCGTGGCTGTTGGCAAGGAACATCGGATGGGCAGATGGCAGAGAGTCCAGGGGAAGAATGGCGCGGTTGTCTTCGAGATTCCGCGGGTCGAAAATACTGCTGCAAAAACAAATGGAACTGTGGAGGGAACCGGCGACGAGGCATGATTTGTGTGAGCATTGCATTGCATGGTATCATTGTGTGTCGATTAACGGCATCGCTACTCAAAATAGCTTTTTGAGCACCGTAAACTATATTATATCTCCAAACTTTTGGGATCGTCTCTTATCTTACATAATTTCGAATTATCTCGTGCTCTTTTTCTTCCCGTCCCTCCTCCTTTCCCACACTTGTAAGTAGCTCTCCCCCAGATACAACAACTCCTTCTGGGTCTTTTCTACAAACAAATCCTGCGTCTGAACCCACTCCTCCCGACTCCTATCCCGCATTTGCACCTTCCACGCATGCTTCTCCTCCTCGCCCTCCACGCTGTCCTCTCGGCCTCTCACCGCTTCGTGCACGATATTCGCGACTAGGTCATACCATATAGGTTCTCCCGGTCTGTGATATTGGGGGTTGGGTTCAACGTAAGGCGCCATGTCCAGATTTCGAGCATCAAAGGTTACAATGGTAGGATTGCGCTCCGAGACGAACTTATTTTTCGAAAAGCGTTTGATGTGGAACAAGAGGTATGGGGGCAGAGGATGCAGGAGTCGGTAGCGTTTGCGTGTGTTGAGTTGCTCTTGGGCTCTCAGGCCGTCGTACTTGGCCAATATATTCGTGAGTGGGATTTGGGGAATGATGTTCTTTTCCAGCTCGTCTTGGAATAGAGGCGCAGGCGGTAGGTCCAGTGTGAGCATGAGAAATCGATTCACGTCGACCTTTACTTCTGCGGCTTCTTCGAACCGTAATCGATCGCCGGCGTCAGCCTTTGCGGTGATTGCCTGGCTTTCTACTTTCAGTTTCCCCTGGAAAACCTGCTGGATAATGCTGCTTCCGGGTTTTGTCTTGCTGCCCCCTAGTGCTAGGTGTAGATTATTGAGGAACCATGAGAGAAATTCGACTGGGTCTGACTGCGCTGTCAGTGTGAACTTCTTGTTCGATCGCAGTGATATTTCTTGCAGCAGCTCGTGAGGAGAGACGTGAGATTTGAAGGCCCGAGGGTTCCAGATTTTGCGAACGAGAATGGAGAATCGTTTGACCAGCTCTGGCTTTGCGGAGAAGTCTTCCAGCATGAAGTAATTCCGTAGGGGCGGGATATGGGAGAGGGCTTGAACGACGACGTTGAAGTAGTCGTTGTCCTTGATGTTGTTCATGCCAATGAAACCCGGTATGTATTTCTTGCCGCTTAATGTCCATGCTGTCACCTCTTGCCGGTCCAGGGCCATCACTTGTTCCTTGGTATATCTGGGATCGGAAACAAACTTTATATCATCTAAGCTCTTGCTCTTGACCTCATATCCTTCCGGCAGCACGTAGACCTTTTGTGTCTGCATGTTGATATAGACATGGTGGTTGACTTCCAGCGCATGGAAGTAGGCGTGGGATTTTGGGCCTCGCCCCTGGAAGTACTTCCCACAGACGAGACAGGCGTAAACATTGATATTGGACAGGGAAATAGAACAGAGCTTCTCGAAATCGAAGTCCAGGACGTTGCGATCCACTGTATCGAGATATAGGTCATCGTAGCCTTCGAGGGGGGCCTCCTGCCTCGGCGCCCGAGTATTTACTTCTCGATCCTCCTCTTCTGACTCTTCATCTTGGGGAGGTTGATCCGTCTTCATGCGCTTGGGAGAGGGTTCCAACTCGTATTCCGAATTTGGCGTTGGAGTCCCAGGTTGTCGCTGGTCCTCTTCAGAAGAGAGGCTGGAGATAGTGGTAGACTCGGCGGACCGATCTTTGCGCTTGAGCGACGGCATGGCAGCGGGATGTTATTTGTAGTGTTCGTCAATGGCCAGCGCGATTGGGAGAGAATGGTTGACTTTCGCAAAGCGAACGCGCTTCACCACCATGGATCTCGACGAGAGTCGTGAGCATTCTGGCCTCGCTAACAGACTTTGTAGCCTTGCGCCAACGCGGACTCGGTTAGCACAGCTGGCACGTGATATCGCCATTGCTTGAAAGGAGATACCTCAGATAGAGGCCTTACCTTAGGTAGATAGGCAGGTGGTAAAGGGGCAGTTTTCTGGAATAACCAAAGTGTGGTTCAATGGTTCAATGTCCTAGAAGAAAGGTAGACTCTTGAAAAGCGATGTCTCAATGTGGTAAGGTTATCTTAGATATTCGCTAAAGCGGGTAAGTTTATTAGGTAAGCCTCGTTAATTCCATGGCCGATTTACTACCTCCACCCTTTAGTCAACTTACTTTCGTCTACCCCCCTTTTGCAACCCTTTTCCTTAAGCATAATTAGAGTTCAGCTGACTCGAGTAGACCCAAAAGACACCTGGGGTCTGGAGATAAGCGGATTATGTTGAGCTAGAGATGCTAACCCTATTACCTCTAGAGAGTTGCAGAAAGAGAGAATAAGCTTACCAGAAGTCCAGAGATCTTCAAGGTGTGTTGCTTGTTTGAAGGGTTTCTCAAGGCAACGCTATCAGCTCATTTTGAACTTTGACACAGTTATGTCATCTATCTGACCTACGCAACACATAAATGCATTGTTGTAGCGCATCTATGTTTAGCTATTGACGGATTCGATTCCGATACTTTGGGTAAGTCCTCAAATTATTGAATGAAAGATCCGGGGGGTTATCACTGCCTATTCCAGCGTACTTTGGCATCACCATAGCTAATCGGGGCTCAATCGCACCTCACGTCATTAGAAGCATTCCAGGCTTATTTGAGAGCATTATATTGAGCTATCACGCATTAGATTAAGTTATAGAGCCCCGAATTATGGGTTATCCTCCAACCTACCTTACCTTCCCAACTCTGTAATTCTGCCTAGCGCATGTGAGGATTTGAACCTCACTTCTGGGCAGCACGTCAATTGTCAAAGTTAGATAGAAGTTGGTTTAAAATGGTCATGATTTTATCCAAATACTTGAGTACCCAAGGTAGGTACTTGGCCGACTCTAGGGCACGGAAAGAACTGATACAAGATGTCTGGTAACATCGTCACTCTATTGATCTATACAACATAACTCTATAGGATATCTTGTCTAAATACTCTATCCAGTGCGATCTTACTCTATCTATAATCTTGCGTATATCAACTCAAAATCTATCCCCGCGAACCATCTCCCCAAACTTTCACTCCCTCTGAGTTCCCATTTCAGCAGCTGAAGTACCTGACTTATGCGACAACTGCGCATCGCTGCCCCTAAACTTCTCTACATCCACATTCTGATCCGTACCATTCCCAGGACTATCCGTGATCGGACCACCGTTAGCATCGATCAAGCCCGCCTTCTCCTTCTCCAGCTTCGCGCCCTTCCGAATCCTGCGTTCCGTCAGAACAGGATTCTCCTTCTTCTGATACGCCTCTTCGAAAATCGCGTCCAGCTTCTCAAGTGGATAACCCTTGGTCTCCACGAATGTGAACCAGATGACCGGGATGAAGGCGAAGTTGAAACACATGAAGACGAAGTATGTCTTCCACGCGATCTTGTTGATCATGATTGGGGCTAGTTGCACGACGGCGTAGTTGCCTAGCCAGTTGAAACTAGTACTTAGTCCGTTGGCCTGGGCTCTGATTCGGATAGGAGTGACTTCTGCGGGGTAGAGCCAGGTGACTCCTAACCAGCCGATGGCGAAGAAGCCGATGAAGACGAAGATGAAAACGGTGGCGGCGAAGGCGGGAGCTTTGTAGGTGTCGGTGGTTTGAGAAAGGCACGCGCCCTGTATCTCATTAGTTCAAGTCTTTCCGCGGGGGGGACGGTACTTACGATAATCAATGAACTGACTCCCATACCAACGGATCCGAGGATCATCATCTTGCGACGACCGAATCGATCAACGATAAAGAGCGCAAAAATGGCGGCAGCGAGGTACAGTGTTCCGTAACAAGCAGTGAGGAGGCGCGAAAGAGAAGGACTGAAGCCAAGCGAACTTTCGAAAACAGTTCTAAAACCGAGTTAGCAAAGAACATTTTCTCGACATGGAAGACCCTTACGTAGCATAGTAGGTGACTAAATTGGTCCCGCCAGCTTGTTGGAAGAATTGAGAGGTATAAGCTATGCTTACTCGCCATCTGTTCATCTCGGGCCCATTTCCATAGAACTCCTTCAGCGTGAGCTTCTTGCCTCGGGTGATTTCCGCGATCTGTTTGATGGACGCGACTTCGTCGTGAATTTCCGGGTCATCGGGACCGGCTCTCTTCAACCGACATAGAATCTCAATGGCCACGTCGTCTTTATCATGTTTCCTTGAGTTCAGTTAGCACGGGATCCAAAATCCGACCGATGCTGCAAGAATCACGTACAGTAACCAACGTGGGGACTCTGGAAGAGCCAAGACTCCAACGAAAAGGATGAAACCGAAGACTGCTTGGAATGCGATTGGGAAGCGCCATTGGAATGATCCGTATTGAGTAACGAAGAAGAATCCGTAGTTCAACCAGTACGATATCATAACTATGACAGTCAGCAAGTGTCACAAGTTCACTTCGAAGTTGATACATACTGCCAGCGGCAATCAAAGCCCCTTCGAACAGCACCAAGAACCCACGAATCTTGGGTGGGGCCATCTCACTCTGCCAGACCGGAATCGAAGAAGTGTTCATGCCGTTACCTACACCCGTCACGATGCGTCCAACAATCATCTGGGCTATTTCGAAGCTCGACGCTTGAATTGCCGTTCCAACCAACATGATTATAACGCCCAAGAGGACCGCACGTCTTCGACCGAGTGTGTCACCATACGCGATAATAAAGATCGATCCCATAAGACATCCAACTTCGTATATAGCGACGACAAGAGCCTGAACCGCGCCACTTTTGTTATCAGGTTCCATCCCCGGAAAGTAGGTGAGGAAGTTGTCTTCCGTGATGATTCCCGACATGATACCCTCTTGTCCAAACGTTAGCCATTGGACTGCCAGTCAGTGAAAGGATACCACGTACGATCATATCCGAACAGCAAGAAGCCACTGGCAGAAGCCGCACAGACGAGAGCCTCAAGGGCCCCGCCCGTCACCGAATTCCCCAGGAATCCAGTGTAGTTGAGCAAACCCATATTTACAAGAAAGATATAATGAAGTTGGCGTGAGAAGAGGGAAAAGGGGGGGAATCACAGTTAAGAGGGTGACCACGGCGCACTCGCACTCGCACTCGGCCTCCATCGGGGGCCCCGCGTGAGACCCATTGTTCTCCCCCAAGAATTATGGATCGTATCTCTGCCTCCCATCTACGGAGTGTTAGTGGAAGGGGAGGAGTGTATAGTAACTGTAGTTGGCGGAGCAGCCTGAGTAAAACCTGAATGCCCCAACTTGTACCGGGCGCGATGACGATAAGCACGAAAGTATTATGGATCTTAGCTTTGAAACCGCCTGGCCGTAACCCCTTTTCCGACAACAACGCATTCGCTTCCCCGTGCCTAGGGCCTAGGGCCTCCATAGTCAAGACAACTCATTGCCTATTGTAGGTATTCTTGTAGGAACTCCCGTCCTTGATACCGTACCGTACGTTCCGAGAGCTCTGAGTGATTTGCCGATTCACACCTGCTTGATTATTCATGAGATCTTATAAAGTTTATTATTAAGAGTTTATAATATACAAATGCTTGGATTTTTTGCATTTTCTGTTATAAAACATTTCGAACCTTTTAAACAGACGCTTCTATGATTCGCGGGATCTATTTTAGTGTTGAAATATACCTGAAATACCCAGAATAATACCTAATCGGTACTGCCGTCGCAGGGCTGCCGACGCACGGCTTTACTATTTTCCTTGGATGTTCCGTTCCGAAGTAGTCCCGTTCCGAAGTACTTCCGCTCCGTAGCAGTTCCACTCCGTAGTAAGGAAGTTCCACTCCGTGTGAGTAGTTCCGCTCCGCCATATACGGTTATTCCCCCAAGGTAAGGTATCCCGAGTTGTGGAGAAAAGAATCATCACTCCTTTCGTTAACCTTTGCCGTCTAATCAACTAGACGTTCCTGTATGCGAGAGCCATGGAAAGCCAATAGCAGGAGATCCAAATCATGTTCGCAGCACTGGGTAAGATCCTGAGTGATGTCCAATTCAGGTCACATGAGCAGAAGGTGAAAAAGTATCTCGACCAAGCCACAACAGGTCAGTCAGGAAAGACTTGAATATGCTGATCGTGAGACTTGTCTTGTTGACACGACGCTACTCAACCTAGACTCTGTTCTCGAAGATCTCAAGAAAGCACTCGCGCCGAGACTGGGGGTGGTCAAGGGTCTGTGGACGACATTCGACACCTATTGCGTCGAGGACTCCTCCCAGCAGCGATGTAAGTTCCACCCGCCACCAACTTGGGAGCCCGCTACAGTGACTGACGGGAAGCCCAGACTGGAACGAGGACAGTCTCAGGAAACATATAGCGATTATACATCCTGATGTCGCCATCTCTGAGGCCGCCATCCAACTGCTATGGAGATGTTTCCATTTCTACGCCTACCACCCGTTCCCAAGCGATGTCACTGACGGTAGAGTTGATTCGGACGCCTTCCAACGCGCCGTATCATTACTAGTCGTCCAGTGCACCGATATCTTGGGCACCCAGGACGGAGGAGATTATTTCTGGCGCCACGACGACGCTTTCTTCCGCAAAGCCAATTTTGAAAGAATCTTCAGAAGCATTGGCCTTCCAGAGGCTACAAGCAAACAGTCCACGCAACTGGATTATGACTCGACTTCTATGCTGGACGATGCTATGGACGTTTTGGCCATGACGCAGCCTCAAACGGTGAGCTTGGCTCCGTCGCCGGATCAGCTTAGACCTGCAGCACGAAGGCTCCTTGGTGAAGGTGCTACTCAGACGCGATATCGGGTGCCTCGCAAAGACTTGTCAACGTTCCTGAGCTTGCTACTACGGCTGAGGTTACGCAAAGCCAAGTGGGGAACACGCTTCCATCTTGGCTCCTTCGACAAATCTGATCCTGGTGACAAAGAATTGGCTGACATACTAGTGAATGGACTGCTTAAGGACCAGGAGGAGGAGAATCTTACGTCTAACGAAGTTCTCAGGGCAATGGATCTGCTGGTGAGTGTGAACCGACTGTAGGTATCTGAGGCTTCGGCACCTCTGATCTTCTACAGCCAAATTTGCAGCTACGATTCCACCAGCTTTGGGCGGTTCTATTTCAACCACTGATGACCACAGATGATCAAGTGCCATCTCAGCCACCTGAAGCTATACCTAGCCGTATTCTTGGCGCTATTTCGTTGTTCGTACCTCAACCTGTGGTCTCTAGCCGCTCTCAGACGACGATGCAGGACATGCGGATTGCTCTTGAAAAGTTAAGTCATCCGTCGCAGAGATCAGATGACATGACAATGACACGTCTCGTCAAGTCTCTTGTACAAGATCCACATCCTTATCTCCTACTGTTTACCGGCAAAGAAACTGTGACGAGACCAGGTACAGCAGTAGGAGCATACTTCCCTGGCCCGCTCTGGTTGAGAGCCAATGAAGGAGAGGAGAAGCGTGAATTTAAGGCTGGCACTTCATATCTCCTCTTTCAGCTCCAGCCACAATTCCGCCTTCTCCGATGGACCAGCCCTCAGATACCACTAACAAACATCATTGATACAGATGGCGACGCACCATCGATAGAAGCTGTTGCAGCAAGTGACGAAACGTCTTCGAAGTTCAGCAAGCCCTATAGGATCGGAGACCCAGAAAGGAAAGGCCCCGGCTTACACATTGATCCAGAGACGAAGTCGGCCACGTTGAGCAATTCTGCAGACGACGACAGCGGTGAGGGATTCTGGTACAAAGACGTGTACATAGACGGTGATGGCGATAGAACACTTAATAAGAACTGGGATGCGACAGTCAAGCTCGATCAGCTCGACATCTTCAGTGTGTCGGGCGGTATAGATGCAAATCTCGCTACTAGGAGGATCATTGGGGCAAAGGATCAGACTCAATACATGCAGGAGGCAACGGAACCGAAGATCAGAGGCGAGGAGCTGACAAAGAGGATCCAGGGCTTTGGCTCTACCTGATAACAGTAGAAGGTTAAAGGTATGGCTTTCTTACTACCCCTAGAAATCTGAGCTTTTGCGGCGTAAAATGTAAATTCCCCGCTGATATTACCCTGGTTCAGGGGTCTTGCACCGGCTAGTGCACTATGAAATATGTTCAGGGCACAGGACGGCGAGAAGATTCCTAGAGTCTGTCCACGTACGTCTGAGACGTCTGCGGTGGTAGGAGGCTGCCAGGCATGATGAGCGAGACCTTTTTTTATAAGCCGGAGTAGCGAGTACTGCTGTGCCTCGAGTACGGCCTCTTCCCCCCACCGGGACGCGACGTCTGACCCAAGGACCGTGCATTTCACAAGCCAGATTCAAGTCTTCAGTCCGTCCTACAGAAAGCAGCGCAGGTCGAGGTTGAAAGAAATGGCGCAATCTAAGGTATGGATAATGGGCTGTTTTGGTATGCCTTGTTGCAAGATATAGCTCAATGTTTGATGCGACCAACCCTTTCCTCAATTGACGTGAAGGCCCCAAGATATACTGTATCAATGAAATTCCAAAATACCTTATGAGTGAGGAGGAGCAAAGTAACATGTATGACTTTGTCCAACTTGAAGGTGCACGCTAGAGAGGGCACGTTGGATGTTTTCCAGGACGTGGGATTTATCTCTATATATACGCCAATTTAAGTTACCCTGTGTATACTGCATACTCTCGATTAGGGTTAAGATAATTCTGATATTTACAAAGAAAGATGCTTTCTCAGTGCAGTCTCTCTGAGGAGCTGGGTATTACCGAGATCGGGTTAGCGCCCATGCACACCAGATATAGGTAAGCAGTACTTACTGTCACATGACTGGTTGTCACCTGCAGACCGCCCGATTCTGCCGCTCTTCTCCGCCTTAGCCCTCGCCATGGAAAAGTTTACCCCTCCAAAACATCCCACATCCTCAAGTCAACCACAATGACTACACAATCAGTTGCTCCTCCTGTCCTTTCCACCCCCGAGACACATATCTTCGAAGATCCTACGCCTGTTGCGAATACGCAAAATGAACCGCGACTCTCCTATGACGAAGTATTCGACATCTACGAGGTTGCGAGGACGGCGAGGGAGATACACACCGGCGGATGGCGCAAGGTAGCATTGCAATTCCCCGATGACATGCTGCGGGATAGTCCTGTAGTCTTCGAGGCTCTGGAACAAGAATTAAAAAAGTTATCTTCAGGGGGTACAAAAGTCAGGGTAGAGGAGAAGCTGGAGCAAAATCTAACCAACCTCACGTCGGCGGATGCGCAATCCCTCGATCGAAGTCAGGAACGGCATAGACTGTATGTTTTGGCAGATACGTCTTACGGTGCTTGCTGTGTCGATGAGATAGCAGCAGAGCATGTGGATGCGGAGGTGGTGGTGCACTATGGGAGGAGCTGTCTGAGTCCCACTGCCCGGTTACCCGTTATTTATGTCTTCACTTCTCGGACACTGGACCTCGATCCTGTTGTTTCCGTATTCGAAAACACATACCCTGAGAAGCAGGAGAAGGTCATATTAGTTGCAGATATCATGTACCACAACCATATTGAACCAGTCGCCAAGAGGCTGCAGGAGGCGGGATACAAGAACATCCTCGCGCCGGACATCGTCCATGATCCTTCGTCCCTTATCCCGAATAGGAAGATCGATATAGGCGAGGCAGAAATGAAGGATTACTCGTTATTTCACATCTCAGAGCCCCTGCCGGCTTTACTCCTCACTCTCTCCTCGCGTGTTAGAGATTTCAACATCTATCCTACAACCCCTTCTTCGTCCCCGCAAAAAGCTCTCCAATCCAATACAGCAATGTCTCTACGCCGTAGATACGCACTCCTAACCTCGCTCTCTACCTGCTCTATCTTCGGGATCCTAATCAACACACTCTCAGTCAAGAACTACCTACAAACCGTCACGGACATCAAGGAGATGATAGAGAGAGCGGGGAAGAAGAGCTACACTTTCGTAGTGGGCAAGGTCAACGCGGCGAAAATTGCTAATTTCTCTGAGATCGGCGGGTGGGTGGTCATCGGCTGCTGGGAGAGCTCGTTAATTGAGAGCACCGAGTTTTATCGGCCGATTATCACGCCCTTTGAGCTGGGGCTCTGTCTGCTGCCGGATGAGAAGAGAGTGTGGAGTGGGGAGTGGAAGGGGGATTTCAATTCGTTGGATGCTGTGAGTTTGGAGGGTAGAGAAACGGAGAACGGGGCGGTTGGGGACGTCGAGGAACAGAAGGAAACAGGGGAAGATCTGGATAGCGAGGAGGAATCCGCGCCCCCGGAATTTGATCTGCGGACGGGACGATATGTCAGCCATTCACGCCCGATGCGTGATTCCCCCTCAGCCCTGTCAGCGGCGGCGAACAAAGAAGGCGAGGGAAGCAGCGCGGCATCAAAGGTATTGACGCGGAGAGCGAAAGGCGATCTAGCTCTTGTCAACGGGGCAGTGAGTCCCGGGGCACAGTATCTGAACACCCAGCGGACTTGGATGGGTTTAGGGAGTGACTTTCATGAGACCGAGGGCAGCGCGGCGGTGGAGGAGGGGAGGAGCGGCGTTGCGAGGGGGTATAGAGTTGGTGAGGCAGGGGAGGGTGAAAAGAGGTAGCGCAAATGAAATGATACCCTCCTATTCTATGTGCGTAGTGTACATGATTGCTATCAGATGTCTCGACTCGAAGCCACCGAGGAGTCTTATATGGCCACACCAGGATCTCTCGGCCTGGTCACTCAGGAACCTCCCCAGGAAATATATTTTGAAAGCTGGGCTATATCTCTCACTCTTGAAAAACAACATAAAGCAGGACGATATAATAGGACTGAGAGAGTTGGGGAAGAATCCAATCTTTCATTTCTAATGTCTTTACAGTAGTAACCTCAGCCCTACACGCCTATGGACGTCCAGCCCCTGGCGCCCCTTGCCGCCCCGCCCCACTCCGCTCGCCGCTCCCTAGCGGGAGGAAATCCCGCCAATAGATAAGCGGCGGAATGTCACCGATAAGCGGCGGGAAAAAGGGAAAAAAGGCATAAATCTACAAACTCCCAGGGTCAATCCCCCTCCTCATGCTCTCTCCCTCCCTCCAAGATCAACATTACCTCCTCTAGAACCTCCATTCTCCTATGCGGGCCCTTCTCCTCTCAACTCGCCCATTTCTACGGCCAATAACTGCAACTATCCGCAAAACGGCGTTTCCAATGGTCTCTTGTCTCTCTCCAACCCGCGAGCTCCGCACATTGGCACAATGCCCCCAGCTAGCCATCTCAGAAGCTGAAGATGACCCCGAGATCAGAGCCAAATACCGCCCTTTTTTGCTGGATGCGGAGGTCGAGGCCACGGATTGGATCTCTCAACTGGAATTAGAGACGGCCATTACCATGGCTGAGGAGAACTTGGCGCGGACCAAGTCAAGGCTAAAAGTTCTGGTGCTTTATGGAAGCTTACGCAAACGGTATGTATATATATATGCGCCTTTTACTATAGATTACAATAAAGGAATTATTCGTTTAACGTGTCTCCTAGCTCCTACTCCAAACTCATGGCCTTCGAGGCCTCCCGTATCCTTCACCGTCTTGGCTGCGACGTCCGAATCTTCAATCCGAGCGAACTCCCTATCCGCGACTCGGTCGAAGCCTCGCACCCCGCAGTTGAAGAACTCCGCGCTCTCTCTCTCTGGTCCGACGGGCACGTCTGGTGTTCACCCGAACAACACGGAAACCTCACCGCCGTCTTCAAAAACCAAATAGACTGGATTCCCCTATCCACCGGTTCGGTCCGCCCGACACAGGGTCGCACGCTATCTATAATCCAGGTCAATGGTGGGAGCCAGAGCTTCAATGCTGTCAATAGTTTGAGGATACTGGGGAGGTGGATGAGGATGTTCACTATCCCGAATCAGAGTAGCCTGCCAACCGCCTGGAAGCAATTCGAGGATGAGGGGGGAGATGGCAGTGGGAAGGCGAGGTTGTTGCCTAGTGGGAATAGGGATAGGTTGGTGGATTGCATGGAGGAGTTTGTCAAATATACGATTATTATGCGGCCACATTTCGAGCTGTTCGGGGATCGGTTCAGTGAGAGGAAGGAAGCGCTCGAGAAGAAGATGAGGAATCTGAGTGTTAAGAAAGATATTGTAGACAAAATATAGACCGCAAAGATAGAGATTTATAGAGTGGGAGGAGCTGAGGACGCGTGGTGTTTTGTGAGGATGCTGGAATGGTAAAACCCTCCCTCAGCCGCTCAATGCCTAACTGATTGCTTTGTAGATGTGTAACCGGTAGCAGTGCCTATCGACATGCACTGTCGACTAGAAAAAGGAGTGTATCCCCTTGAAGATGATAGGGTTGGGATCGAGGTATCAGTATATTCATGCTGAAAGTGATAGACCTCAATCATCAGCCAGTTGGTGCCCAAGGGTCCAAGGGATGCTGTGAAGCTGACCACGCAGCTCTGCTAGTCGCAGGATGGGCTTTCGAGGCTTCAACCTCCCCGATTCCAAGAAAGCTCGTTGGAAATTCCCCTAGAAGATGAGGCATTGTGTTAAAAGACCTATCGACTCCGGGTGCGTTATGGCCCAGGTCAATCAATAGGTATCAAATAGAGCGAATTAGGGAACGAACAAAGAGCCGATTTCAAGTGGATTAAACTACCTATTTATTCACAGCCCATCTAGAACTGGAATAAATTTTGTACTGCAGATGTCGTCTTCGTTTATCAATTCATTCAAGGTCGTCCCAAAGGAATTGTTCCGAGTGAACAATGGCCGCCTCATAAGGCTTCGAGAATGGTCGGTGAAGCCTGTCGCTGTCACTGTCGCTGTCACTATCGCTGTTACTGTCGCGATTGTTGTCGCGATTATTGTTACGAGTATTGTCGCGATCGTTGTCGCGAGTACCTAAGGTATTGTCCCGAGTATTGTCGTGAGTTTTGTCGCGATTAATTATTTTAAGTAAGAATAAAGAGAATTATATTAGTTAGAACGACAGTGACAGTAATAGCGACAGCGACAGCGACAGCGACAGCGACAGCGACAGCGACAGTAATAGCGACAGTGATAGCGAGAGTGTACGCTATAGACAGTACCTATAGCCTATAGGCAAGACAGTAGCTATAGGCACCCATTGCTTACCGTCCCAGTACTTATACGTGTTCCATATTAGGGGTCGCTACGTGGATTTCGACGGGAAAGTGTTTGGTGAAGTTTCTATTCAAACTGGAATTTTGAAATTCCGTGGATCAAAAACTATCAACTCTCGTCGTTTTCCCCCTGCGATACCACGAAAATGCAGACCAGGTTAGAGCGGGTCTGGTCAAGTGCGGTCAGAAGTTCGGCTCTTTGAAGAGCCTTCGGCATCTCCAATATAGTGGCACAGCGTTCCAAGTAGTTAAAGGAGAGCCAGTCGCAACATTCGTCTCGAGCAGAATCATGGTTGATGCGGCCCAGTTCTGAAAGATCAACCCCAACTACGCCAGGCCAAGCATTATCAAGGTAGCCAACAGCCGCTCGAGCGATTCCAATACCATCGATCTCTGGGACTTTCTCCAGGATCGTCCCCCTCCGCCCCCGGGGGCCAACGAAGTCAAGGTCAACCGTGTGGATCTTGATATGCAAGATGAGAACAACTTAATCCTTTGCAGTCCAACGGTTAGCTATTTATCTTTTGGCTCCCTCAGATATTGAGATATTGGGCCATGCTGAGTATGGGACGGCTCATCCAGGATAGATTCGGAACTACGCCTTCGTGCCCCCCGGCGTCAAACCCCCGTGAATCCCGAGTTAGCATTCGGTTAAACGCGGCTTTAGCATCCACTCCGGACAGTAGTCTCCGGCCCCGAGGCTGGTACAATTGCTGAAGCATAATATCACCCCGGTTGACAAGTATTATGAGAAGATCAAGGGCCAGCGGAAGTATGTCCATGAGCATTTGTCGTATTCGACGGACATGAAGACATAGAAGTCATACTGTACATCTAGAATGAATCAGGCGGCAACACATAGACTGCATATAAAGGTTTCGTAGGATATGTCACATTTTCGCATAGTCAAACATACAATATCACCTGACACTGATAAATAACTGGAGAATGATTTGATTGGAGCTTCACATGCCTGAATCTCACGGGATTGCTATTCTGCATCTGGTTTCTCGATCTTGAAACCCATTGCCTTCAACCACGGTGCCGAGTCCTAATGGTGTTAGAAAGGAAGCTCTTGATGGTCCATGCCAAACTCACATTCCAAATAGTATACAAGCTGCCCTTGGGGTCAACACTGGTATCTCCTTTAAAGACCAGATGAGAAATGAATTCTCCAGAGACCTCATTGCCATTCTTCAGCGTTGCCTTCAGCTTGCAAATCAGAAGCAAGTCACTAAAGTCCTTCTTGGAGGTAAAGACTCGGAGTAACTCGTGTCTTCGTTCTTCCATAACCGCCCAGCTCTTTATGCGGGCTGCAATAATCTCTACAGAACACATAAGCAGTTGCCCAACAGACGGCAGATCTGGCACTGCGTACGCTCAGTGCCTTTGGCCATTCCAGCTGCACCATGAACCTCTGCGTCTTCGGTATACAGTCGTGCGACTTTCTCGGGCACGTCCGGGTCTTTGGAGTCGAGCAGTGGAAATAGCGTCTCGAGCCACTTCTTCACCGGCGCTGGCGCAGGTATATCGGACGGCCATTCTGCATTACTTGTTCTACTCGTGTCCATATTGTCGTCTTGTCGTTGGCAGCTTGAAACTAGTTAACCCCGTGATCTGTCTGCTGGTTTAATGATGTATAAGTGAAGGTATATCGAGAAGCTGTGGCCCCAATCCCATGTTGGGGAAGTGATATATATATACACACATATACATATATAAATATACTCTACCTCGGGCCCGGACGCCGGTTCCCGAGGGAATACCGCACCTTAACATCAGTGGAGGTGGCGTTGTGGCTGACCGGCTGACTAATCGACTTCCCCACCCCCGGATTCCCCGTATTTCGTCGCTTTAGTGCATCGGGGGTGGGTTTAGTAAATCATACAACCGCGTAGTTCATTCAACCCCCGCCCTTTTCCTGTCTCCACACTCATACATCTTCCCAAGATGATGACCGTGATGCACTGTGATCCAAGTGAAGCTCAGAATCATGCCAGTCCGAAGAGGACGAAGAGGCCTGTTGCCTGCCATTATTGCCGGCTGAAGAAGGTTAGGTGTGAGTAGGGGACCCCCCACCGGCTGTCCTGTCCGGTAGAGAATTGATGCTTACGAGGATCCAGGCAACGGCGAACAGCCAACCTGTGGGAACTGTATAGTGAGCAGATCAGCTTTTTTCAATCCATATCAGTATCATATCCGACACTTACCATATAAAAACCAGGACCGCGGAGAAAAATGCGTCTACCCAGCCCTGAAGCGACGAAGCCGCCGAGAAAGCCACGAGAATAACAAGGTAATTATGGATAGAATTGCACGGATAGAGGCAATCCTCGAAGAGGCCTATACGCCCTCACAAGTCCGAAATGGTGAAGATGAGTCGCAGCATATACCGGCAGCTGAGGTGGTGCAGAAGACGTCTCCTTACGCACCAGATCAAGAACAACAACTACAACAACGGATACCACTCTCTCCCCCACAGACCGATTACTCTTATCAACTGCTTCAATGTACTCCTCCGCAAGATGCCCATACTACTGCATTGTCACACCGGCGGAGTAGCCACACACCAGCTGCTGGCCATGTTCTCGACTCGTCTAACCCATCGCCCACGTCCCCAAATTTGGGCACACACAAAGAGATGTCTCATAAGAGCCCACAAGTCTCTCAACTGGTTGACTCTCGCACAGCATATAGCGAGTCCTATCGTGACGTGAACGACGTCGATATTGACCCCCTGAGACCCGGACAGAAGACGCCGATGGATCAAATCATTGACAACATCCACTCCCCAGAGAGCCCTGACTGGGAGTACCATGGCCCTGCATCATTCCTATCTCTATGCTCGAAGGCCGGTATTGACTGGGTGGCGGAGAGGACCGGCTCAACAGAATTCGCTCAGATTGCTATGAATTTCAGGCGCTCGACTACGAAGCTACTCAAGCTCGACCACAGGCTCAGTACCGAGAGAGCGCCCGAGCCAGATCGGGAGACGGCCTTCAGATATGCAACGGAGTACTTTGAGAAGGCTCCTGATGCCCCCTTTGATATTATTGTCCGCTCCAGATTTGAAGCTCGTTTACGGACTCACTTTGATAGTGCTGGAACATCCGAGCAGGATGAAGACCCCGCTTGGTATGCGTTGCGAAATGTTGTATATGCTCAAGGTTGTCGATTAGAGCTTGGAAATAAGGGGTATTCATTTAATTACACGAAGCCTCAAATTGCAGGGTGGCAGTATTTCGAGAACTCCTTATCGAAGCACTCGGAACTTTGTTTCTCCAGGACTGGATTGATGGCCATCCAAGCCCTTCTTTGCATGGTATTTCAAAGTTGGCATACTTATCCTGGAGTTCATGGTTAATGATATACAGGCTTTTTATGCCGAAGCACTGAGTTGTCCTAAACTCGAGTACATGCTTGCCTCAACAGCATTGCGTTTGGCTCAGTCAAAAGGACTTCATCGACAGCCCGGCTCGACCTGGGGTATAAGCCCACAGGATACTGACCAGAGAAATTGGATTTTCTGGGTCCTCTATATCTTCGAAAAGCACATTTCTCAACGTTCGGGACGCCCATCAGTCAGTAAACCAATCTACTAGCGCTGACACAAGGTACTGACTGTCCCAGGCTATTGATGACGATGATATCAGTTGTCAGATCCCTACCAGGATTCCGTCCAACAACACCAATAAACTTGAGTTCTGCACTCTTTCAGCCAAACATGCTAAGATATCCTCCCTGATTGCAAAGCGATGTAGTAGTGTAGCGGCTTACCGTCAAACACCGGACGAGGTAGTCCGGACTGTTTGCGAGCTGGACCGGCAGCTTCGAGACTGGCGAGACCTTATCCCGCTAAGCATGAGACCTGGCACTGTGCTCGACCCTACCAATCTGCCAAGGGGCCTTCAGACCACCCACGCCATATATCTGCATTACTCCTACTTTGGGAGCCTGATTGGGATCCATTCCATATTTACCTATCCTTGGAGCGAGATGCTTGGGCGAGATAGAAGCCCTTCGCTCCGTGACCAAATTAACGCTAGCTCAGAAATCGTCGCGGAGGCCTCTCGAGGTATCATTTTGATGACCAGATATATCAATGACATATATGCTTGGACACCAACATGGTAAGCTGCCGTGTTGTTCATATGGTAAAAGAAGCTAATTGGTAACAGGCTCGGCTTTTACTACCCAATCCTGGGGCTCATAAATCTTTTTGTTCACGTGCTAAAGTACCCAACTGCTCCCACCGCACCATCCGACATTGCCCTCCTAGATGTAGTGTCGGGTCATCTCGCGCGTATAGAGTTTGCATCGTCAGGCCAGCTCAGCTTCTCCGTCGCTCGTGATCTCTCTGGCTTAGCACGGGTAGCTACCAAACGCGCAAAGCAAAACATGCTGAATGAAAATGAGAGGCAGGATTCAATAATCGTCGCAGATCCTGCCTATGAACAGATGCCCACAGATGATTTTGATTATGGGCTGGACAGTATAAATATGAATGACTTCGACATGGAAGACTGGAGTACCTTACTACCGTGTGACGATTTTCTACAAACGACATGAATCTCGAGACGGTATATGCATTGCGGAACAATGCAGCAGAATATAAGCTTTATTATATCACTATCTCCATACACAAGACAGAGTGATTCGTGCCGATATCTCTGTTGGAACAGCCACGGGACGGATACATCAGGCTTCAGTTATGGTAGCTACTCGGTAGCCGCCTACATCCCAGAGCAACAAATCATAGATATTTGCTTGCTGGATCCTTCGGGAAAAATGTAGGAAAGTTTCAGCTGTACATAGCAAACAAACTAGGTACCTAATCATCAACCACATGAAGAGCCGGCCGCCTTTGACATGCAATCTACGCTGAATACCGGCCCCATTTACCTATGAGCGACCATAAACACGCCCCCTGCCTGCATATTCTCTAGATACCCCGCGCTTTAGGTAATTTGAAAGTTCCGTTTCTCCGGATTTGTGGCTAGGGCACGTCTTCTGCAATTCGGGATCTCGGGGAAAGTCCTGCGAACCTCCGAGAGCCCTGTATCATATATAAATTGACCCATCCTCGATTACTTAACAGTGTAGCAAGCCTTACATTTCGAAGGAAGCAACATGTCTTCATTTCAACGTTTAGTGAGGTTCAAAGCTAGCGATGGACAAGTATACTTTGGGGAAGCGCCCGAAGGGTCTTCTCTACTAATTGGCCAGAAGAGCAAAATATACTCGTCAAATCCTTTGGAAGAAGGGGCTTCTCTATCTGGGGACGAGAAAGAGATTGCTGAAGTTCTGAGCCCGCTTCCTACAGTGCCAATTTTTTACGGGATTGGCTTAAATTATCGTCAACATGCCGCTGAGGGAGGGGTGAGTGCGACCTGACTTGGAGCTGGATCCTACTGACAGACTTTGATTTCTAGCAAGCCATCCCCAAGTATCCAATAGTTTTTACAAAGCCGCCTGGTAAGCCGCCGGAAATATTAATTATATATCTAAATGCTAATAGATGTAGATGCCCTCGCGGGCCCATATGAGGACATCCCAGTGACAAAGCCCCTGGCAGATATGATGGACTACGAGGCAAGTACGCAACCAGATGTCACAACAGTTTCTTACATTACATTAGGGCGAGCTCTGTGTAGTGATTGGCAAGCCTGTCAAAGACCTCCCAGAATCCGCAAACCCTTTAGATTACGTCCTTGGCTACACAGTAGGAAACGACGTCTCATCACGATGGTGGCAAATCCCCGAGCAATCCGCTGGTCAACACGGCTACGCAAAATCCTTTGACAAGTTCGCGCCCATCGGACCCATCCTCGTCTCTACGAAAGTCATCCCCGATCCGTCTCAGCTCACATTAACTACCAAAGTCAATGGCGAGCAAAGACAACAGACAAAGACCGACGATCTGATCTTTGACGTCCCGGAGATAATTAGGCATTTGAGTAGAGGCACAACCCTCCAACCTGGCACAGTCATCATGACTGGAACACCCAGCGGGGTTGCGTTCTTTTTGAAACCGCCACGTTTTTTGAGACATGGAGATGAGGTCGAGGTCGAGATTGACAGGATTGGAATCATCAAGAACAAGATGAAATTTGTGTAGTTGTAACCAGGCTCAACGCTCATTAGCTACATATCAGACATTCAACCCCGGCCTCTATGTCTCCTCTCCGTCATTATTGTTATTTGTGTAGAGAGCCGTATCACGTGTAAGAGTACAAATAGCAAGCCACCCATATAGCTTTACCCCGCGGGCCCGGAATTCCGGTGCCATATTTGGTCGGTCAACCCTGAAACTGTTCCGATTGGCTGTGCCTCATCTATAGAAATAACCTGGTTGAATCTTTGCCGTGAACAATGCCATCGTACGTCTTAGCAGACTTCAAGTATAAATAGATAGTACCAAGAGTATCTATTCCAAGTCCATTTTCAACCATACCTTTCGCAGATCGAAAAACACCAGCCCAATCGACACATAGCTACATTGACCGACATAATGGCGATTGACTTCAACCAACCTTGTACAAAGGTGATACCTCCTACTAAACTGGCGCACATCGTTCTTCGTACCGGTAAATTCGAGCAAATGGTCTCCTTCTACAAGACCTTTCTCGGTGCGGAGGCCACGTATGAAAACTCCTTCATTTCCTTCCTTACATATGACGAAGAGCACCACCGAATTGCTATTATCTCCGTACCGGGTACTGGTCTGAAGCAGCGGGAGTTAGCCGGCCTCGAACACATTGCATTCACCTTCGACTCGCTCGAGACTCTATGCCTTGCCTACCGCCAGCGCAAAGCAAAGGGTATTCTGCCGATCTGGTCAGTGAATCATGGTCCGACCACTAGTATCTACTATCAAGACCCCGACGGAAATCAGATCGAGACTCAGGTTGACAATTTTGATACTGTTGCGGCGGCGGACGAGTTTATGGCTAGCAAGGAATTCGCGGAGAACCCAATCGGTGTTGATTTTGATCCGGAGGACCTGATTAAGAAGTTGGAGCAGGAGCAGGACCAGACACTGTTGAAGAAAAGACCCAATATTGGCCCTCGAGCTCTCGATACTGTTCCCCCTCCTCCACCAATTTCCGTCTAGAGCTCTCCATGCGCTGCTGGTTCCGTGGCTAGGAGGTTCGGGGATCTTTGGGATATGGCTGAGTTGATATGGATGCCGTCACTATAGTGGAACCTTCATTAGTTTCATTATGAGTGATGAATTATTCGAGCTCTAGTAGCCAGTTGTCACCCAAAAGAATTGAGTGGTTCACATCTTCCGCACCTCCACATCTATGCATATCATTCAGTCCCTGGCCATTAGAAATTAGATGACTGGTGATAAGATGAGACAGCGAGTTCCTTGAATTCAATTACTAATTCATAACTTTGCTGATGGAATAATTCCATGGGCTAAGCCCGTGTCAATAATACCGGCAGCATCCTGTAGAAGCCCGCAAATCTCCAGCAGATTATTTTTGCTACCGGCAACAACCATCCGGGATATGACCGTATCTAAGAGATTACAGATAAATTGCCCCCCGCTAAATCTATGCTTAAACAAATATAGCAAGTTCAAGAGACTACCAATCTCTTGAAGTTCTGTGGCTGGGTCTTCTATGTCGGTTAAATTGCGTAGAAAGACCATTTTCACTGCGATCGGGAGCGTGATCCATGCCCCTCTTTTTAAAATCAGTGATGAGCCCCAGGAATAGACAGGAGGAGTTTCATACATTGCGCAAGGTATGTTGTCTGAGTCAACATTGTATGCTAACATCTCTGTACTCTTGGCTATCTGTGATGCTGCTTCTTTCACTTCCTTTAGCGCAATCGCTGGGATGCTGCTGTTGGACTGTCTAGGCGTCAAAGACATATATGGGAGATATAAAGCTGCGATGGCAGAGCTGTACCAAAACCATCAGACCGTGCAGTATCAGGGTTGAATGGATGCCCTACCTATAATAAATCTTTGTCATTTGAAGAGGCATACTGAAAGCAGCAGACACCTTCCGGCAGTTCTGGTTCAGTAATTTCTCGTGTCGATGGTTCCACGCATCGAGTTCAAGATGGAGTGAGGTAACCTCACAAATTTCCGGATCAGTGATATTGAATCCGCCTTTAACGACCTCTGCTGCATGTATCCTCTGTTCTTGAAATCTTAGTATCCGAGTAAGGATCTGACTCAGCTCGCATTGAGCAATGAAATTCTCAATGTAAAGTAACCTGCATGAGATGTCCAAAGGTCCTGCCTGAGCATCTTTCAATTCAAAATCGTGCGGGGTTGGCAAAGGCCTGCTCGGCGTCTCTTGGTAAAGCCTCTGGAAGCGACGTAGACCAAAAGCGAGAAGTCGGTCACGAAGCAAGCAGCACCACCAGATCAGCCTTCTCCGTCCGGGTGATACGAGACTTGTAGACTGAGGTTGATCCTCATGTAGTCCAGCAGCACGAGCATTCATGAGAGCTTGATCAGCCCAGTAGATGTTGGTGTATAGTTCTGAGCGGTATGGACTCCAGTATGTGAGTAGGATCGCAGCCCTGGTGAGAACAATTGGTGATGCATCTCCGCAGGCGTTGTATGTTGTCTAATATAATCAGCACACATCAAGCCTTTTGGGGTGAATAGTAATTGCCTACCTTGGCGGTCTCAAATAGTGATTTGTGGCATTGATATGTGGATTGGTATTGTGTGTCATGAATCTGGTGGCTATTAAGATGCTATATCCGGGTCCTTAGCTAAATTATTTCTTTGAGAAGGGCTCTCTATATGTACCAAAGAACCAGCGAACATTATGGCCTGAAATTCCAATAGGCTGATTGCCTTAAGGAAAGACATGCCATTACTTTCAAAGGTGTAAGACGCGAAGAATTCTACTTCATCGAAGACCGGACAAAGAGGATGGATATGCTTGAAATATAAACAGACAAGTTTGTCACGCAGTGGTTGTGAGGGTATGCGAGTCTCGGACAGGGACCTTGCTAAGTCAAACTCGATATCACGCCAATACTGCCAGAACCAATCTCTAGGCTCATCCAAAGTTCCAAGATGCTCGCTTTCAGAAGGGCTGGGAGCCCAAGTTACGAGAGCCTCATCTGGATCTTCCCCTGTTGAGCCTCTTGCAGCAATTGGGATGTCGTCTATGAAGGTGGATCTGATAAGACTATCCATTTTCGGTGCGAACGTTGTCCTGTCGGTGTGATCGTCGGGGAAAAAAGGAAGGGTTTCCTAAGGTAAGCGACAGAGGAGTAACATTCAGCAGAACATATGAATCATTCGGCATGTTATTTGTTAAACTTACGAGTGCTTTATCTACCCTTCAGCCTCATTGGGGGAACCTTGACCTTTGATGAGACTTTTCTGTTTTCTCTCGGTCCGGACGCTTTGGGTTAGATCACCCGTCCGGGCGTTGCGGCAACCACACTCTGGAATCTAACTCGAACAGAGCCATGGGTCTCAGCATGGGGGTTCTGTTTTGACAATCTATCTAGAGGACAAGTTTTCGTTCAAAAATCTCAGAACAGTGACTTGTGCGGGATTAGTCCTACTACCAAGATATCTATGGCTTGTTCTATCAGAAAGTATTCCCAACGAATGTGCCGTAGGTTTCTATGTCCAGTGGAACGGACAATACTGATTCCTGTAGGCTCTCTCTCACTTTTTGATATTGACCAAGAATTTGTCAATGGACATTGCTAGTTATTGGTGACTGTCCTTTACTTAAGGTACTTCGACTCATACTTCGAACGCTTCGGCCCTATGATCTGGTATCAGGGCGACTGTATTCAAGTATACAACTCTTTTCCAAAGAGTCAATGCATCTTTTTAGGTGCCCTTTAGTAAAGTCAACGCGTAGAGAGATAGTAAGAGGTGATATCAGGCTCCGTTGACATGCTTTATACTTAGGATACTTGCATCTTTGAAAGGCATATAAAAGAATCTGATGGGTACAATTGAAATCCTATTGTCTATTACTTTTTTGAGAAGGGGGGGGGGGTCCTTTACTTTGTATTTTGGTTGCTATTGTCTTTCTCCTAAGAGCATCTCGCTTACATGTAAAGATTCCAGATTTGCTTTAATTGCCTCTCCAACGGCAGGAAATCTTAATCCCAACGCGTCGGAGCTCTCCAACAACAGAATGCACCGCTTCTTCATCACCTCAGCCCTGGCCACGGAGGATATCTCATCAACCGGCACCCACCTCGTTCTTCGGCCCGGGCAATTAGCGGAGGCCAACGCCGAGGCGGAATCCGGGGTACAGGACGCCGGGCTTTATACGATGGCTTGCTATCGGGGTAAATCCCGGTGATCATCAGTCCAAGGGGTCCTCGGAGCCGCCGGATTTTCTTTTCTCCGAACCCGAGTGGTGTCAAATAGGCTTAGTCAATATGCACTACTACCCCACGCGTGCGGGGTACTCCACATGCGGGGTACTCCGCAGCCGCAGCCGGCTTCATGGGTCGCCGAACCCCGGACGCTAGGGTATCAGTCCGAGAAGCTTAGCGGGCTTTTCGTTTCCGGACGAGGTATCGAGGTATATATATACTTAGTCGGGCGTCTCATTCAAAAAGTACACCAGAGACTTGCTTAACACTCTGCTGAGAACTCAACATTGCTAACTTCAATTAAATTGAAACAATGTATCAGGTCATCTTGCCATTGCTGATCGGAGGAGGTGTTGTCTTCCTGTATGGCTTAGTTTCACTACTACGCATCGGGAGACGACCCAAAGATCTTCCCCCGGGTCCGCCAACCGTCCCTATCCTTGGAAACCTTCATCTTGTTAGTATCTATCTGGATATTTTGTAGCTCCTGAGTCCTGACTTACGTCGCAGATGCCAAGAGACAAACCTCATCTCCAATTCCAGAAATGGGCAGAAGAATATTGGTATGACTGATTCTCCGAACCCGATATGGCAAGTGCTCTGTTAACAAGTGGAAAAGTCCTATCTACTCGTTGATTCTGGGAACGAAAACCTATATTGTCTTATCGTCACCAACGACAGTCAAAGAGATACTCGACAAAAAAAGTGCCATATATTCGTCTAGACCAGATATGTTCCTTGGTCAAGAAGTTGTGAGCGATGATCAGAGATTCGTGACTATGGTAAGTACGCCGCGGAAGGTTACTTCTCTGCTCAGAGCTGACAATTGATCAGAAATACGGCCCAATGTGGCGGTCCATCCATAAGATGATGCACAACTCTTTAAACATCACAACTGCCGTGGCTTATATCCCATATCAAGACCTGGAGAATAAGGATATGATGGTCGGATTTCTTGATGATCCCGATGCTTTCATGCACCACGTGAGACGGTATACCAATTCCCTTACTACACAGATGGTTTTTGGGTTTAGGACAATTGCGAAGGACGACCCCCGACTACTGCGATTCTTCGAAGTACGTTTCCCAATAATAATCTAGTCATTTAACGTGCTGATTATTGCTCAAGAATTTTGAAGAATGGGCTAAGATTGTTGGAGCCGGCAGTGCTCTGGCTCTGGATCTGTTCCCTGTCCTTCGAGGCGTACGAAATTTCCTTCCATCATATAGAGAGGCGAAGAACCTCAATATGAAGGAGAGTGCTTTGTACATGGAACATTGGACTGCTACCAAAGCTAGGATATACGACGGAACTGCCCTTGTAAGTTTTTTCTGGTGTAGTGTTTATAAGACTGCCGTTCTAACACTTATTCTACAGCCTTGTTTTAGTTTCGATGTTCTGAAAGCACAGAAAGCAGAAGGCTTCTCAGACACACAAGCTGCATACATCACTGGGTCGCTACTTGAGGGAGGCTCCGACACCACTTCGGGCATATTAGTAGGTTTTATTCAGGCAATGATGATGTTCCCCGAAGTTCAGAAGACAGCCCAAGCACACATCGATCGAGTTGTTGGTCCAGACCGGCTCCCAACTCTGGATGATGCTAAAGACTTGCAATACATTCGAGCTTGCGTTAAGGAAAGTATCCGGTGGATGCCGACCGTACTTCTTGGTGTCCCACACTCCAACCTCCAGGAAGACTTCTATGAGGGGTACAGAATCCCCGAGGGTTCGACTATCATCAACAATGTCTGGTGAGTAACCGCTCTAATTGCCTCAAGGATCACTTATTGCGGGATAAATACTAATTCGAGTCGCTCTTCCCAGGACCATTAACATGGACCCGAAACGCAACCCTAACCCCCGCACCTTCGATCCTACTCGCTTTGAAAACGACTTTCAGAGCGAACACGAATCCGCAACGAACAAAGATCCCGATCAGCGCCAGAACTGGATTTTCGGAACTGGTCGACGTCTTTGCCAGGGTATGCATATTGCTGAGCGATCGCTCTTTATGGGCATGGCCCGAATGCTTTGGGCATTCAACTTTGATAGGGCTCTAGATGAGCATGGAGCTCCCATTCCCGTTGACATCAACGATTTGGTTGGTGGGGTGACGGTACAGCCTGCGGACTTTAAGGTCAAGATCACTCCTAGGTCACAGGAGAAGGCGGATATTATCAGGAAGGCGTGGAAGGAGTGTGAGGACACACTGCTGGACCCAGTGACAAAGCAGTGGATTAAGGTGCCACCGGGTATGAAATTTGCCACTTCTGTGCAAAAGGACCTGGGGCTCTAGATGTGTGATGGAGATGGATATTCACGACTCGTCATCCGGCCTTTCTGGGGGGTTTCTCTTTTTCGTCTTGTGTGAGCTTCAATCAAACAGTATTTTAGCCTTGAGAGGTTGTTATCAGCTAGGTATGTCTTGATGAGAATGATATATGAAGTGTTCTGCATGGACCACGGTCATGTACCCTAATGTAAATTTGTCGTCGGACAAACCGCTCATCATGAATTGATTCCCGAGAAAATACATGAGCAAAGTCTTACGGTCTTGCAAGTTGCAATACCTCAAATGCGTTGCTATTTACAGCTGTTTGCTTGAGCTGTCTCTTAATATATCATAGCACCTCCATCACCTCATTAGAGTTTGTAGGATTAGCCAACAATACTGGGCGGAGCTGGACTCAACCCGACCCTAGAGCCTCTAAAGCAGGGGCCGTTCTATGCGAGACGCATTTACCCCGGCGATGTGGGTTCCAAGGGAGGCTAAATGGTTCGTGGTTCGTGATTCGTGATTCGTGGTTCGTGGTTTGTAGGGTCGAGGTCTCTTATGCTTCACTTCGTACAGAGCCGCTGGCCCCGCATTCCCCCGCATTCTCGGCTCCGCAGCATTGCGGGGAAGCGAACGCCCGCGCTTACCTTGGCGACGGAGTTGGAGTTGTCTTTCTTGTCTCTCATCTCTCGTCTCGCGTCTCCGTCGTTTGCCCCCCCCGGTCTTCCATACCGCATCTTCTATGCCGATGCAGCCTACCCACAAATCCCACGCCGGCAGATGACGACTGCAGCAGTGTGTTTGAGCCGGAGCAGGAAGTAGGCCATTCCACAATTGCCATAATTACCAACGAAGCTAACATCCCCCGAAGTTGAGGAAGTTGAGCTGGGAGGACCGCGGTGAGTCGATGGTTTGTTTCCGGACGGTAGGTGGTGATATCCACCGACCACCATTGAATCCCCCATGATCCCCACCCCCCACCGCCACTCCCCCTTGGCGCAGGGTCTAGGAGGCCAAAGGAATATGACCGGCCTCGCTCATGCTCCTGACACCCCTCCCTCTCTATTTTTGTAGCTCGGAAGAATAGACACTATTGATTTTGACGCCAACATGGACACGTGGTGGCCCGTCCAGGTAAAGCCAACGAGTGTCTACCTGTTCTTTTTCTTGCCAGGCTTCAGGCTCTTTCATTTCGCGGCTACGCTGGATACCGGAGGGCTGTTGATGGGATTCAGTGCCAGCAACCACTTTTCTCTCAAAGAAGATGACTACCTTACTTGAAACGTATGCTCTGATTAATGCTCTTGTGACCGTGATAAAGTTTAAATGTACCGCTCCTCTTGGGGAGTTGAGTAAACTATACAGGCGCAAGAGATCCAGGTCAGTACCTGAGTACCTCTCCCGACACTCTAATACATCAACCCCTATATCTATATCTATGTCTATGTCTATAGCTTTGCCAGCCTCTCCACGTGAAAGAATTTCTCAAACCCTACCAAACACTCCGGATTCGCGAGTGCCCCCGTCGACTTCACCTTTCTGCCTGACACAATCTGCTTGACCGCAAACTCAACTTTTTTCCCATTGGTCGTATACGGGACATCATCCACCTGGAACACGTACTTGGGAACGTGACGGGGACTCAGAGCCTTTGAGATCGCATCGCGGATCTGGCTCGTGATAGCCGGGGTAAGGGTCTTGCCGGGGAGCATCTTCACGAAGAGCACGACGGTTTCGTCAATGTCTTGCGGGCGCCGCTGACCAACACAGACTGTGTCGGCAAAGTCGGGGAAGCGGGAAGAGTTGAGGACGTTGTAAATTTCTGCGGAGCCGAAGCGGACGCCGGAGGGGTTAAGAACACCGTCGCTGCAGTGTCTGCGTCAGCTGGCAGTAAGAGAGAGGTGTGGCAAAGTTGACATTTAGGATATTCTATCCAGAAAGAGACAGGGAAACTCACGATCGTCCTAGCATGATATAACCCCCGGTGCTTGGAACAACGCTCACGAAATCGCCCTGGTACCAGACGCGAGGGCCGAAGCGCTCGTAGTACGTGGAGCCGTACTTGACCATGTCGGCATCACCCCAGAAGCCGACGGGCTGGCTGGGGAACGGCGCACGGCAGACCAACTCGCCCGGCTGGCCAGACTGCTTGATCGAGACGGGTTGCTCTTCACCGGTGTCGAGGATGTCGATGGCCATGCCGAGGGCTTCGGTCTGGATCTCGCCAGCATAGAAGGGGTTGGTGGGATCGCCTATGACCACTGTAATTTTTTTGGAGCTTTGTTAGATTGATGGGGCATGGGAGAGAGGGGAGGCTTACGGGAACATGCGAGGTCAGTGCCTCCGCTGCAAGAGACCAAGTGCACGTCTGGGGGGAAGCCAACGTCGTAGAACCATTCCGCGACTTCTGCGGTGAGGACCGAGCCGGTGGATGTAACTACTCGTAGAGAGGACAGGTCAAATAGGTCACCTTAATGTTGTTAGAACTTCCATAAACAAATGCAGACGTTCTGGGGCGAAGTCTCCTTACGTGGTTTAACTCCCAAGGTCATCAAATCCGTCAAGTATCTGGCAGATGTGCCAAAAACACTTACTCTGCGAGCGAAAAGGTCAGCGCATACGTAACTAAACCCTCTTCTGTAATATGTCAACGATCTAAGTTGATTTTTTACGTACTTCAACTGAGAGGCCAGGCGTAGGAGGACAGTCGGATCTGGCTTAAAGGGCGAGCCATCATACACGAGCATCTTGGCTCCGTAGGACAGACCACAGAGGGCGAGAGCCCACATGATCCATCCTGTCTGGTTTTGACAAGAAGTCAGCATCTCGTCTGCAGATTCCGGTAGATTCGATCCCGTCCAGGTGAATAGGTGGCGTGGAGAACATACCGTTGTATATTGAAACACAGTATCTTCAGGACGGACGTCAATCGAGAGAACATAGTCCTTTTTCACTTGGAGTAGAAGACCCTAGCGTAAGATTATCAGGCCAACCGCTCAACACAGAACCGGATTTTACACTTACGCCTGCGGAGTGGACGATACACTTGGGCGGTCCTGTCTGCGAAATATGTCAACATGTCTCGACGGTAAGAGGTTTCGGATGCCACCTACCGTTCCTGAGGAAAACACAATAAACCCCGGGTGATGAAATGGTAATTGCTGGAACTCGAGCTTCCTGCCTGTAACCCCCTTCTTCAGAAAAGCGTCCCAGGTGACAAAATCATTCCCTAAATCCGTTTGGACGTCCGCGGACTCCACGATCAAGACGGTTCTCAGAAAGTCAGGCGTCGAAGCCATCTGCCGCGTCCACTCCCGATGCTTCGCCATTAAATCCCTTCTTTTGCCGTTATACACGACGGAGCTCTCGGCAAAGACGATCTTCGGCCTGATCTGCATCATGCGGTCCAATATCCCCTTCGTGCCCATATCCGGCGAGGACGTCGACCAGATCGCCCCAATTGAAAGGGCCGCAAGGCAGCACGTGATGGTTTCGGGCCTGTTGGAGATGATGGCAGCGACTCGGTCTCCCGTGCGGATGCCAGCGGAGATCATGGCGTCGGCCATCTTCTCAACGCTCGCCCAGAGTTCCGCGCAGGTGACATGGCGGAGGTTGGTGCCACCTTCAGAGCATGCGTGAAAGACGATCTGCTCGGGGGAGCGCGTGGTGCCGAAGAGGAGATGTTCAGCGAAGTTCATGCGGACTTGGGGAAACCAGCGCGGGGGCGGGAAGAGGAGACCGCCATGCTATACGGATTGCACCCAGAGATCAGTCGCTGCCACAAGCATGATTCCTCTGCATCAGAGGGAAGGCTTACCGCTTTCTCGACTGCTCGGGTGGGCGTGATGGAGGGCTTGAGGCGCAGATACTGGAACAAGGCCACCCAGAACTCGTCGGCGGTCTCGCGGGCGGTCGACCACGAGTGGAGGTCTCGGTATGTCTGTAGATTCAGTCCCCGGGTTGTGTTAACCCATTTACGGAATTGGGACATGTTTGTCTTGGAGGGATCTCGAGGCTCCCACAGCTTGCGTGCCATCGAGTTCCCTGCTGTAGCGACCATGGCGATGAGGTTGAGAATGAGGTTGAGAATGAGATTGAGATTGAGCTGAGATTGACCAGCAGTCTTCAGTAGAACACACAGATGAGGGAGATAAAGAGCAGAGACATAGAGACAGGGAGGGACAGAGAGAGAGAGGCTCTGCGAGTTCGAATTCCTAGGTCATCATGGGAGACGCTGCTCCGGCATTCAGATGCCCGAATTCGCCGGGAGAGAAAGGCATGGAGAGACTTTGGGGGTGATGGGTCGCGGAGGTTTCGTTAATCTGCCGAACAGGGACAGGGAGCAGTTCGCCCGACTGGAGTAAAGCAGAACCTACAGAGTTTGCGGGCGGAGAGACATGGGTTGCTATCGAAGCGGAGGCGGCGAACGATGTGGAATCCGTGGATGGGACGCCGCCAGCCGCGGATGTCATCTTAGTTGGGAGACGGTTTCCGGGATAGCCCGAATGCGTTTTACAGCTGCCCATCATAGCGGGCACTCAGGTGTAAAAGGATATACTCTGTATAGTAATCCTACCATTTGACGTGTATTGCGTAGCTGAAAAGCTGGTTCGTTACATATGAGTTATACCTTACTTATATACGGACAAGGAGTTCGGCTGCTCCCACGCCAGCATCCTGCGCGGCCCAATCTTCACCCGGTTCTTGCTTTTCTCCTTCTTTTTCACCTCTTATCAAGGTGTCATATATGCATACATGGCTTGTGTTCGCGGTTCAGGGGGCTTGCTGCTGCATTGTGGCCGAGAGACTTTATGGCTAGGTCCCCCGCATCAACGGCCGGAAAATGGCTTCGGAGTTCAACCTCCTCGATCCCCGAGTGGATGGCATCCTGAGTTGAGTTGAGTTTCGGGATTACGGTTAAGCTCGCCCTCCCCGCGTCCTATGGAGTATCCCTGTTCTAATTCTCGAGCGATCCTGGAAGTCTAGTCAGTACAGTGCACTGTCCTTCTGTCCTGTTGTAGCCCTCTCGTATGGTTCCTAACTTCCTATCGAGAGCCACCAATTACACTACATTTGGAAAGAGAAGACAAAGTGCTTGTACTCTTATACGATATGTCTATGAAGGCAATCATATCACAAGCACCGGGAGAGGCCTCCTTCGTGTCGGATGCGGCAAAACCGGTGCTCCGCGACGATTATATTCTTGTCAAAACCGCTGCTGTAGCTTTGAACCCCACGGACTGGAAACACATCGATTTCAGGGCATGCAAAGGGGCAATTGTAGGGTGCGACTATTCCGGCGTAGTTGAAGAGGTGGGCAAGGATGTAAACAAGCGGTTGAAGAAGGGCGACCGGGTAGCTGGCTTTACGCATGGTGGTGAGTCTACTAAGTCCTGCTTCTGTCGAAAAGAAGGGAAGACACGTACTGATTTCTAGGTGATTGGATCAGTTAACCACAGCAATCTAAATGATGGCGCCTTCGCCGAGTACATCGTTGCCAAAGGCGATCTCCAGCTTCATATACCGGATAGCCTCTCCTTTGAATCAGCGGCCACATTGGGCTTAGGCATCATAACAGCTGCACAAGCGCTATACCAGTCTCTGGAGCTGCCGCTGCCTGATGCCCCAGTTACAACGAAGAATCTCCCGGTGCTAGTCTATGGCGGAAGCACGGCAACCGGGACATTGGCAATTCAGTTCGCGAAGATGTAGGTTCTTTCCGTCTCTCCATCCGTCAACAAGGTCAAATTGCCCGTGTAAGTTTGACACATACTGATCGAGATACGCAGGTCGGGAGCAAAGGTGATCACAACATGCTCGCCCCGGAATTTTGAACTTGTCAAGACACTCGGCGCTGAGGCCGCCTTCGACTACGTACGGAGTTCTGTTTCTCTTGGATTCTTTTCTCCCTCCCTCTTTCTCTCGTAGTTCTAGGTCTTTTTTAAAGTAGATGGGAAAACAGCTAACATACTTCCCACTCAGAATGACCCCGAGTGTGGCCAGCGTATTCGCGACTACACAAACAACGCTCACCCACGTACTCGACTGCATCTCCCTCGACCCTTCTGTCAGCATTTGCACAAGTGCCTTAAGCACCTCGTCCCCCAGTATCTACGCCTGCATCTTGCCTATCACTCTCCCCGCAACAGTCTCCCCCGACTTAGTCCAGGTCCGGCCCTCCGTTGCCTTCACCGCGCTGGGCGAAAACTTCCGCCTCGGGACTGGGCCAGAGTTTCACGCTTCGGCTACAGATTTCCAATTTGCCGTAAAGGTTTTCGAGGTGTCGGAGCGACTGCTAAGAGAAGGGAAGCTAGAAGTGCATCCACCCAGTGTAAGACCGGGGGGTTTGCAGGCGGTGTTAGGAGGATTACAGGAGATGAGAGCCGGGAGGGTAAGTGGCGAGAAATTGGTGTACAGAGTGTCCTAAAGATAATAACGTAGCAAACAACTGTTTTAAAGAGCTGTCTTCGCCACAGAAGTAAATGAGTAAAGTATTTGTAAAACAATAAATGACTTAATTTACCAAATCTTAGAGAAACCCTTCTCTGTTTAACTTTCTAACAAATTACTCTAATTCAGTAAGAGGATCATAGGTACATGAAAAGGATTACTAGAGGGGAATAAAGTATTATATGTCCAAAACCGGTTTTAAATTTAAGCTTAAATTAAGGCTTAACCTAAGATATACCAGGATATATTCTGTGACTTTGACTAGCTAGCGCCCTTCCTTGTCTCTATATGTTGAGCGTTGGAAAGCATCTTTACGCCCTAACAAACTCATCTCCTCCATGACTGTTGATAAGCCGTCTGTGATATGGCCAAAGGGATCTCACACCCGACTCGGGGCTATCTGTTGCCTTCTCCTCACTATATCAGAGAAGATCGTCGCCTGTACGAAAATGAAATGAAGCCGGGCAGAACGCTCCGTATTGTCCGCACTCTATCCCGAAGTTTCTCTAATGCCACTTACCTAGTATACGCACTAGTACGCACCCTTCCGCGAACTCTGGAGTCTGGGGCCCCGGGTCCGAGATTGCTAATGCGGGGAATCCCTACTCAGTAATTTGAGCAAATCTGGGCAAGACGGGGAAGATGGGGAGCGTTAGTGCTTACACAGTCGTCTGCCAGTTGTCTGCAGATCAGTCACTGCGAGAGCGGTGTTTTCTTCCGGTGTTGGGAGGATAAATAGAAGGCACTTCCGGGGAAAGTCCTACGCTCAACTTTACACTTTATAACCCCTCGCCAGCTGGTATTGTTTGAACTTGTATTAGGGTGGATTTTGGACTTCAGAGATCAAGAAATATCTCAGTATGGATCCAAAGGTCTTGCAAGGCCAGGAACTGGAGCACAAGGAAGCCGTGGCCTTGGACAACCCAACAGAACCCGAAAGGCCCGGCTTACGAGTGTATCTGGCTGCTTCAGTATGTAGGCATTTTGTGAGTTACTAATCATGTGCTGACATGCTTTTAGGGGCCGGTGCTAGGTTGGATTGCTCAAATGGAAATTCAAACTCTGGCTGCGACCGTTCTCGCTGTCATAAATGCGGAGCTAGGTAGGTTGACCTGTCTTCCATGACAAGTCACGCTACAATACTAATTTATACATCAGGTCCAATAACAAATTATCCATGGATTTATGTTTCCTGGTTGGCCTGTATTGCCGTTCTGTCTGGTGTTCTTGGTACGTTACTCGCAACGGCACTATATATCCTTCAGACTTGCAGGACGCGGATCGCTGATGCTCTGAATAGGCTCATTCTCAGACGTTCTAGGAAGAAGATGGTTCTTCATCGTCGGGAACGTTTTTGCTCTGATCGGAGCAATCATTTGCGCCGCCACACACTCCGCGAACGTGGTCATTGTTGGAATGACTTTTGCAGGAGTGGGAGCTGCCAACCAGTACCTGGCACTGGCTGCTCTATCTGAGATGTTCCCCAAGAAGCACAGGGCCTATGTCCAAGGTAAGTGCCACCCACCCAACTGGCTCCCCGTTTCATAGGATACTAACAAACACAACTAGCAATTCTCCAAATGTCTCCGTTCCCATTCACCGCATGCGGCGCACTGATTGCGTCTAAAATGGCTATCGACACGTGGAGATGGGTATACTATCTGAATATTATTCTATCTGGGTTGGCTTTGATTGCAGTCGTTCTATTCTATTACCCTGTGAGTCTTCTTAATGCTATCTTAGACACCCTTAAATCTGAGACTAACTATCTTATGCTACAGCCGGTCCCGTATGCCGAGGTATCTAGGTGGAAACTCATCAAGAGTCATGACTGGTTTGGAGCTGGCCTCCTTGTAGTATGGGTCTTTTGGCCTTCGTTTTCGGTGCTTGACTGACATTTTGCAGCTTGGGGTGATGGGTCTTTACCTTGGCGCCGGCCCCGCAGCGTTCGGGCTCCATGGATGGGGTACCGCTGCAGTGTTGGTACCTATATGCGTCGGGATAGCAATCTTGATAGCAATGGGATTTTGGAGTAAGCAACAACCAGCAAATTATCTCCCTCTTTAGGCGAAATTACAGTTCTAATTTCTAACCTGGGTCCGTGATCTAACAGATGGTCACGCATCAAATCCACTGCTACCTACAAAAATGTTCAATAACGTTAGAGGGCAAGTAATCTGTTCCTACCTGCAGATTGACGACTAATAGAGTTACACAGCGTAAACTTACTCCTCTTTTCTATTGGTGCTATTACCATGCCACTTGAAGTCGTTACGTTTGTCTGGTCATCTCAGACCCAAGCTATTTATACCACAGATGCAACAAAGATTGGGCTCTATAACTTTCCCACTGGTTTTGGGGCAGAGGTAGGATTCTTGATCGCAGCTATAACTATCAAAAGAGGTCGCACGAATCTTCAGCTGGCAGTTGCCTGTCTGATCCTTGCTATCTTCGTCGGCCTGCAGGCAACATTGACCCCAAATGGCATTCGACCTGGCCTGGCTTATCTGTCTATTGGAGGCGTCGCCCTGGGCTTCATCCAGGTTATCGTTGTGGTGATGATCCAATTTGGAATTGGCAATGAGCACATTGGAGCTGTAACAGGGCTATTCATTCTGGTGCGTTGGATTGGAGCCGCAATTGGAAGTAAGCCCTCCAGTCTTCGTTACTCAAGCTAGAGCAAGCCGCTTACAGAAGCTACAGTTGCCCTTGCTCTCACCATCGTTCGCTCCAAGGTAGGGTCGACCTGGCCTATGGCGGTTGCGGAGGCTGTCTTCCCCTTGGGGTTGCCCCAAACCTCACTGCCCCTGCTGCTGGGAGCGCTGGCAACGGGAAGCCCTGCTGCTGTTATGCAGGTACCTGGCATCACCCCTGCTATTGTTGAAGCAGCTACGGTGGTGACAAAGGAGGTATACGCCGCTGCGTACCGGTTAGTACTCAATTTCTTCGATCTCTATGCCTCGTGATTCAAAAGCTGAAACTGGCCAGTCTTATTTACTATCCATCCTTGGCCTTGGGACTATTTGCCGTTGTTGTTTCAGCCTTTACAGTCGATATCGCGCCACTGATGGAAAGTGACGAAGCCCTTCCCATGGGCATACCACGATTCCTTATGCTTGCAGCATCCCGCAGAGATGCTGAAAAGGGTTCCGGTATAAACGAGGAAAAGAACTAGGGCTCAGTCATCCAGACAGGAACCGTCGAATACCGACATGCGACTTTCTAGTTAGTACGGAACCATGAGTCCATGACCTGAATTGGTGTTGGACGTGGCAGCTAATTTTATGGCCTGTACTTGGCTAAAGAGCAGCGTCACCATCAGCATGGAAGGATTTCGATTAATCAAACCATAGTTCTTAATCTTCAAAACCGGGTTTTGCTGTTTCAATTGTCAGTTGGGATTTCCTTCAGCTTCTCACAGGCCAAATCAGTGAAATTAGGTTAGTGTGATATATATACCCTGAATAATGGGGATAGCCCCTTCAATATAAAACCTTTGATTTTGCTCTTAAATATATATCCGGTGTCTTAGTTATAGGCTCTAGGGTTCACGCAAAGTAGGCATAGAAACTTGGTATAGAGACAATACAGAATTAATAATTAAGCTATGTAGATAGACTACAGAGAAATAAGACTTCTATGAGACCTAAATCCTTGAAATTTATGTTAGGTATCGACACCGTTCGTAATGCTATTACCGTGATCACACAGTGCAAAGTATATAAAGTGCTCTGCTAAGGTAGGTAAGGCTAATTTGTAGCTCTAGCCTCTGGTGGTTGGTAGCCTTGTTGAGGCTGGGAAGATAGCCTTATGTAGTCACGCAATGTAACCTGTTAATACTATTCCTCTATTCCTGATATGTACTTAATAGCACTCATTGAAGAAATAAACTAAAGTCTGAAGTACCTTTTAAATTCTTAATATATACTTTTCTTTAAGAGGAGAAGGGAAGAGGGGGGGGGGGGATCGCTAGCGCTAGCCAGGTCCCCAGGTACCCCAGATCAAGCCAAGCACGGCTAGATCGCGGCATTTGTATTTTTCCGGGACCGAGATAACTTCTACGCCAGAACGGTATATCAATCAATCAATCAATCTACGCCATACAGCTTGCCCATGTATGTTCATCTCTATCTCTGAAAGTCTCCCATCCGGGCAAGCTCAAACTCTTTCTCCTGCACCGTAGTGCCAATCGTCGCCGAGAATCCACCATTTGGAAGGCCGCCGCTCCCTTGGACGACATCCCCGCCAGCCTTGCGATGCCCTGTCGCAACCTCAACTACCCTTCTCGCCGTCGCCTGGTCTATATTCTCACCTCTCCACGATACATGGCCATCTGGCCGCACCAGGACCAGCGGTCTCTCCCAGATCTTCCGCGCATGATCCTCATTCACGAGCTTCAGATGCTTCAGCGGGACTTTGAGCGCCTGAGCCTCCGTGACGATAAAGCTCGCACCGAGATCTGCACGGCCATCTGAGAATTCCACGAGTGTGTATCCACTGCCGTAGTGATCGAAGATGGCCGAGCCATCATTGAGGAAAACATGCGGGGCGCGCCCGCCAGGCCAGGTGGTTGGTATGTACCGCGAGGGCGTCCACTCGGGCTCTTTGCCCTGCTGCTCGGGATTTATGATGACAGACTCATAGCGATAGCCCATCTCGGCGCCGATGTCTCTATTCTCGCCATCGTTCGCCTGGTAGTGGTCATGAATGCGCTGGCGGAGAGCCCGGCCCTCCTCTGTGTCATGATCCACCGCGGCCGGATTTGGCTGCAGAAGTTCCGCATTGGCCGTGTGCACCTTCATATGGACACCGGATCGCTCGACGAGCTTGACCGCCACAGGACGGCGCTCTTGCTCGTAGGAGTCGAGCAGTCCAGGCCCCCCAAAGCCGTTGATCGTGGCGGCGAGCTTCCAGCCTAAGTCGAACGCGTCGCCGAGACCCATGTTCATTCCATATCCACCAGTGGGGATGTTCTGGTGGCAGGCATCGCCGGCAAGGAAGATGCGGCCAGAAGCACTGCCGTATTTACGCGCTATGGCGAGGTAGGGGCGGAAGGTAGACCGGACGAGAATCTCGTCTATGTGGACTGGGTATGGGCTGCCCATCCCCCCGAGAACCCTGGCGACTGCTTCGGCAGAGTCTATAGTTGTGTGGTCGGCATCCAGAGGCATCGCGAGATGGGTTGTCCATGTGTCTACTTCGTTTTGAGCAATGATAGCGCCGCCAAGCCCGTTCTCTGCTGCGGTGAAGAAGATATGCCAGAACTGGCCTTGCGCGTGTAAGCGAGCCAGATCAGTGGATTTGAAGTGCACCAGAAGCACGTATCCGGGGCTGACAAGGAGCATTAGCTTTCTCTGCCGGAGATTTGTGGGTTACGAGAGCTACGTACGTAGGCCCACCTTCTATTGGGATCTCCAGGCTTCTCCGGACCTTACTCGACGCCCCGTCACATCCAATAACATATTTTGAGATATAGACTCGTTTTCTCCCCGTCGCAACTTCCGTTGCATACGTCCGCACTCGATCTTGCGTCTCCTCAATTGACTCCACCTTCCATCCGAACAACGGGTCGATCAGAGGGTCAGCGTCGCACCTTTCCTTTATCCAAGCTTCAAAAGTGGCCTGTGATATCCGCTGCCATGGCTCGAGTGGCATCGTTCCATCATTATGGCGTTTGATTTTCTCCCGGTACTCGTCGACGCTCGGGTGGTTCCAGGCCGTGATGGCTTTCGGCTGGTGGAGGCCCGATGATATTAACACCGGTGCTGCAATGTTACTGGGAACACCTGTGTTGGAATTTCTTGGTCAGCGAGGTCTGCCCGTTGCAGCAATGTGGGTGGGTAGTCTTGCCTTTAGCCCGCAAACTATCTGCGAGGCCTAATCGCCGAAACTGCTCCATGCTGCGCGCGTTGGTGAGGTCCATCTTTGGCCACCTGAGATCTAAGGTTTCAGCATCTGAGGAACGAATGAGGGTTGAGAAGCCCACGTACCTTGTCGTGGTCATGTTTCTCTCCAGTAATACCGACTTGACACCGTAGTGGGACAGTACTGTTGCAAGCAATAATCCTACCGGTCCCGCTCCAGCGATCAGTACGGTATCCTCTGGGAGCACCACCTCCTCGTCTCCCGTAACTTTGAATCCATTCATGGTTGCAGCTTCTTTGGCGGAGTTGACAGGATCATCCTTCGCGGCAGGAGTCTCAGCTAAGTGGCTGTCCGCCTTCGTCTTCTCCTGCTGATTCTTGTCCCTTGACCTGGATGAGAGGATAACCCAGAGCCGCTGTATAAGCGATCGTGACATTGCCTCTGGAATATAGGATAATCACGCTCGTTCTTCTTTGAGGAGGGCTCTGTGAGAAAAGATTACAGGCTGTGAGAAGATCTGGTGTCAGAGAGACCTACTTCCTTGGTTGTATGAAGCAGACCGAGTGTCGAATCTAACCAAGCGGCGATGCTCGTGATCTGTTTGGTGGGGTATCACCACCGGGCAGCCGGGGTTCGCAGCCCGGGTCCGGAGCTGGGAGCGCCGGCGGGGAGGATTCCGGGGGATAAGGGACAGGGGCAGGTCGAAGCGGGGGCGGGGCAGCGGGGGCGGGGGCGGAGACGGCGATCTGCGATGCGCACACAGCAGGGGCCCCGCCCCGCCCGCACTAGATCTTTGTCGTCCAGCGAGCGATTGGTCAATTGATTAATCAATTCATTCATAAGCCGCTCTAAGCCGAAGGCCTATTCAGTCGCTAGCCAGGCCTGAATAAGGGCCAGGCCATGGCCATTGGGTTGCTGGATGTCTAACCAAAAGCGTTCGGGCCGGGGACTCCGTGCGAGTCTAATTGCGAGGGGAGACAGTTCGCCCGGAGTCTTGGCCGTGGGGCTCTTGTTGGATAATTGACATAGTCCTCTATCGTAGCATTAACCCACAGTTCCTGGCTAAGACACTATCATGATACAGATCCTTGTTTACGGGTCCGGAGAGTAGCCGTGGTCGATAATATTTCGGGTGGGCCACTGTCTATTTATTCTACTTATTCTGTTTCCCTAACAGTTTCAAGATTGTCTTCCCCATCACGTCACAATTCTTGTTTTTATTCTTTACTATGGCTGCTGCTCAGGCGTCTCCAGCCCAGATTCCTCTGGGGGCCTACATCTTTCGCCGTCTCCGCAGCATTGGGGTCCATCATATATTTGGTTGTCCTGGTGACTTCAATCTTAACCTTCTAGACCATCTATACACCGTTGAGGATATCAACTGGATTGGGACTTGCAATGAGCTAAACGGTGCATATGCTGCCGATGGCTACGCCCGTGTTCGTGGAATTCCAGGTGTGCTTGTGACAACCTATGGAGTTGGCGAGCTCTCAGCTATAAATGGTATTTCCGGGGCTTATAGCGAGCACGTACCAATAATTCATATTGTCGGAACTACTTCCCGGCTTGCTCAGAAAGACCACACAATGATTCATCATACCTTGGGGGAACAATGGGACCATGACACGTTTCAGCAAATGTCGAAGCCCGTCAGATCAGCCGCGGCGAATCTGGTGAACGATGCATCCTTTGCAGAAGATGTGGATAAGGTGATCGAGGTTTGTGTCAAAACCCGGAAACCTGTGTACATCTTTGTCCCAATGGATACTCCCGATATTTTGATCAGTTCCGAACGTCTTGATACACCTCTCGATCTTGAAATTACCAATCCTGGAAAGGAGGATATCGAGGCAGAAATTGTGGAGCTTATTCTCAACAGGATGCAAACGGCAGAGAAACCCAGTGTCCTGGTGGACGTTTTTGCTCACAGATATGGGCTTGCAAAAGTGATCACAGAGCTTTTGGATTTCACTGCTTTCCCTGTGAGTGACGCCTGTGACGCGCGAGAGAGCCAGGTACTGATTCTCTCCTAGGGATTCGTGACGCCTCTTTCGAAATCAATTCTCGATGAAACCGGTCCCCATTACAACGGACTTTACAATGGTAAACTAACACCATCGAAGCAAGTCAAGGATCGAGTGGAAAATGCAGACTTTCTCCTACACATAGGACCCTTGCCTTCGGACTCTAATACTGGTGGATGGTCTCAGAACTTCAATGAAAAGGGGCGAATAATTCTGCATCCCGATTATATATCTATTTGGGGACGAAGATGGGATGGAGTCAACTTTGTCCCAATCGTGAAAAAGTTACTAGCAGCTGCCAGAGCTAGGAAGACCGAATTCACGAAGAGCGGTTCCCAATTTTTGGTAAGGGCCTCGACAGATATTATGCATTTTGGCCGTTGACTTAAAATTCAATATAGCTGAACAATATTCCATCGTCAATTCAGAAGAATGGCATTGTGAATGGAAACTCAAAATTGGCTCTGCGTGGCCCGTTGGAGCAGCATCACGTCTGGAAGCAATTCTCTCCATTCCTCCGAAAGGGTGATTGTGTTATTGCAGAAGTTGGATCCGCACAGTACGGTACGCTGGATCTCGAGCTGCCGACCGAAGCTGTTTTCTTTACACAGCTCTACTACAGCTGTATTGGATTTACCGTTGGTGCTTTACTGGGAGCTCTTGTTGCGCGGAGAGAGCAGGGAAATAATGGACGAGTAATCCTCTTTGTCGGGGATGGGAGCTTACACATGACGGTTCAGGTAACTCACCATTCAAAAATTTATAGATGAGATGCTCACTTGAACCCCGATGAAGGAAATAAGCACTATTATTCGAAACAGGTTCAAGCCCACCATTGTTCTTATCAACAATCAGGGCTACACGATCGAACGTGTCATCCACGGTCCGGCGCAGCAATATAATGATATTTCCGAAAGCTGGGATTATCAACAAATGCTTCACTTTTTCGGCGCACCTAAAGCATCCAAGTCATATAGAGCAGGCACTTATGAGGAGCTGGAAAGTGTACTCAGGGACCCGGAATTCAATTCTAACCAGCACATTCAGCTTCTAGAAATCTTTATGGACAAATTCGATTCTCCTTGGATGTTGACTGAACAGGTCAACATTATGCAAGAGAAATCATCACTTGCACTGCGAAAGTGGGATGAGGAGTGTGGAAGAAAAAGACTGGTGCTGGACTCAAATCTTTTTCGAAGTCAGTACGTGCTGAGCCAAAGTGCAAGCCAGCAGGCTGCAGCCAAGTCGGCGGAGCTGAGACAGTTGGAAAATGGGTTGGAATGATGGAACTTAGATTGCCCTGTATTCGAATAGAGACATACAGATAGATTTATTTAACTTTGAAATACTGGCACTGTGGGAAAAGAGTAGACTTACTAGCCCGAATGAGTGACATTATATAACATTGGCATTGATTTTGCTCAATAAGATAAAATCCCGGAAGAGACGTTGACATTTGCCAATAAATCGAGGAGATCCGACTTCCATGCCAGAATCTTCCTCGGATGAGAGAGTTCCAGAGGATGTATCATCATAGAGACGATGGAAACATGGCGACCAAATGCAACGAGGCGATCAAGAAGTAAGTAGACAGCACCACCATATAAGTTTTCTCTCCCAGGTGTAAGCACTCCTGGATTATGATCTAGTTCACGAATGCCGGCTGCTTTGGCTTTTGTAAACGCCTGGTCAACCCAGTAGCTTTCTATGTCCATACCTTTTTACATCAGTTAGAGAACTCGAAGACTCCACGCATTTAATATCGCTCAACCTGAAATATCTTTGAAGTCAAAAATGAGTGGTTGACTACATGTACATGTAGGTTCCTCGAGAAATAACCCCACCGAACCCCCACTATCTAAGTCCCTCTTTGATTAAGGATGATTAGGAATAAAGTAAGTTGTATAAACAAGGCTTTTGTCAATTTGTAATGCAACCCAATGCGGCTACACTTTATGCCACTCTCCTAGTGTCTGGAAGACGTAAGTATTTCCTTCAATTTCCGAAGTGTGCCTTCAGCCCTCTCAAGAAAAAATCCCGCCAATGTCTCTCTAGCTTCCTCCTCAGTCTCTCCATCTCCTGCCATCTCCGCAATTGCCAAATACTGCTTTCTCTCCTCGTCATGCTCTCCGATGCTGATAACTATGCCTGCATACTTGATCAAGAAGGCATTGGCAATAAGTCGGCACATGCGGCCGTTTCCATCTTTGAAGGGGTGTATAGTGACGAAGTCTTGACAGATGTCAGCTGCAAGATAGAAGGGGTCCAGATTCTTGTTAATTTCTCTATCTCGAATATCGCCGTTAAAATCGGCAATCAAACGCTGCATAGCGGCAGGAACGTTCTCTGGTGCGGTGAAAAGTGTACTTCCTGCCATAGCCATGGTATTTCGATAGACCCCAGCATAGTTCCCATCGTTGTCACTGCCTCCCCCAAGAGGTATCCCTTGACATAGGATGCGGTGAGTGTCGCAGATTAGCTTTTCTGTGAGAGGCTCATCACTGTTGAGAGCTGCGTCGGTGATATGCATTAGTGCTTGGGCATGCTGAATGACTTCTCTTCTTGATTGGACGACATGCTTGAGATCAGGATTCTCAACTCCATGCTGAACTAGGAGTTTGAGTTGCGCTTCGTATTCTGGTGATTTTGGATCGACGTCTCCGGCATCAATTTCCTTCCCCTCGAATATCTGACGACACAATTTGATGGTTTCTTCGAGTCCCATTCCAGCTTTTTCCTGCATATTAGACCCAAAGATCATGTGAACCATTTTATCAGCCATGAAGTCGATATAAAAATCCACCAGCGTTTCTCTATCCTCAGTTCCAAGCACTTCCCGGATCTCCTGGATGATTGATGAGCTTCTCCGAAATAAAATGTTCACATCTTCTTGCTCTGCAGCGTAGGATCTGTAGTTTTCACTTGCATTCAATTCAAAGAAACATTCTTCGACATCGTCCTTTGAAAGTCCACGGAGGGTTCTCCAGTTTGGAAAGCCAGCATTAATGACGCTATTCTTTATGATGTTGAGGAGACTCCTAAATTTCTCTGGTGAGGTTGGTTGACTGCAGGACACGTTGAAACTTTCAGAGAACCCTCCAAGGGAATTTCTCCGGTGAGGTTGGTGAGCCATGGTGTTGCTGTTTTGCGTTAGTTGAGTGGTTGTGTTTAAAGAAGAGAAACTTAGTGGACAGAAATTTATTTGAAGACAATATATTGTGGTTCAGGACACCCAGTACCATAGTAGTACGTTTTAATGTTTGTTTAAGCTTAATGTTGTTCTAGGCGAGGTACCTCTAGAGACACGTGCAAAGATACCTTGTTAGAAATAACCATATTTAGGGTTTCTGATGAATCAGATCAGCCTGAACTTAAATGATGAGTCAAAGGCCGTCTATACTAACTTGGTACTGCATGACGTAGTGTTTAGGTTTCTTCCGCTATAAATGCTTTTGTTCTGGATTCTAATGTATCAAACCGGAGTGCCCCTATTTCCCCATGGAAAGCAACAATCTTCTGATTCTTCTCATCTCAAGATGGCTGGTTAGAGTAATAAGTATACGTCCTACATGTTCATTGCATCACTGAAACCTCCTAAAAAAGACAAATCTAACACGGATGGATTAAGTTTGTTTGTAGGCACAAAGAGGGCATTAAATCTCTCTCTGCAATCTAGCAACGAAACTCTTTACTCTTTGGATTGTACAACCGGTAAGACTATCCTTAGGTGCAACATTGCAACAGCTTATATCCTGGAAAGTTATTGAAGTTGTTGAAAGCTGTGCCTCATTCTAATCAGAGCTACTTGGATGTAAGCGAAGTACGAGTATAATCATTGCGATGCTCACAATATATGCTCTGAGTGTAGAAGCAGGTTGCAACTGATAGGGGAAGTATCCCATTCGAAGAACCGTGCAATAGACTTGCAGCTATGATAGAAGGGCCGATCAATACGCGTATCCTTGAGCAATCCAGTAAAAGAATTCTCAGTCCAATCTGCATAGGAGTTAGTTCAAGGTTCTGGTTTGAGTATAGGAGAGCGTTGTGGTCCAACAGTGAGCTGGCTTAACAGTGAGCTGGCTTGTTCTTGATGGCGAAATTCTTAAACACCGCGTGGAAAGCGCACTGTTCTTCTTCACTCAAACACATTTGCAAAGTTGCTAATCTATGGAATATGCTTCTGCCTAACTATCATGTATAAGGCTTTGAATAAGATAGATCACCTTTGGTATCTACTGGTTTCATGAATTCGGCTTTTGCGGCAGCGTTGCTCGCTGCAGCAGATTGATTTTAGCCCATTATAAAAGAACTTTTCTGGAAACAGTCGCCGTTCCTAGAGAGATTGATGTCGCATTTGCAGAGCAATATACGTGGCTAGCAATCTGGTAAATATACCGCGGACTGTGACCTTGTATCAAAGATATATTTATATTTTTGATTCGAGTTAAGAGACTCGTGGTGTAACTGGTTTAGAACAGCCCAGACACAGTGAATATATCTACTGCCTGATACAGTACATAAGAGATTCCCCAGGCTCCTTGTCTCGTCGAACAGTATGTACAAGTGGCAATATGTGCGGGGGAAAATAGTGAAACGAATCGCGATCGAAAGAGGGACGATCTAGCTGTGGATATAACGCGTTATCAAAGAATTCAAAAAGTGAAGCATCCTCGGTGATTCTCGGTACCAACGTTGGTGGCGCCTGTGGTGGAGCGTGGTAGGGGGCAGCAATGCAGAACCCCTGAATACTGGGCCCACCCAACACTCCCTTACTTCAGACGAGTCTCGATCACAGTTTGGCTGCCAGACTTCGATGTCCAAATCTTGACAAGCTCCAATCCAGCTGAAGCCAACAAGTCCGAGAACTCCTTCTTCGACCTCTCCTTGCCGCCAATTATAAGCATGCAAAGATCCATCCAGTACACAGTCTTGTCGACCCCTTCGGGCTTCTCGGGTACCACCATCTCGCCAATTAGAAGACGCGAGTCGGGTGCCATTGCATCGGCAATGTTTTTTAGAATCACCTGGCATTCCTTGTCTTGCCAGTTATGCAGAATGCGGCGGAGATAGTAGACGTGTGCGTCTAGTGCAGCGATTAGTACACCCGCCTATGGTGGTCCGATCAAGCATGTAGAGCTAGGCAGGGATAGTCTTACTCTTGACGGGCTGGGGTTCAAAGAAATTAATGACCATCTTCTCGACACCCGGTAACTGCTCCTCTGGAATTGCATCTAAAACTGGTTTCCTATCCTGCAATATCATTCTCCCCACGTCGGCAGTCCCATTCGCCTCGATCTCCTTCTTGATTTGCAGCAAGCTTTGTCCTCTTCCACCCGCGACGTCCACAATAAATGGCCGTTGGGGATCACTCCTATCCATCGAACTAGCCAGCGAGGAGAATGGAAACATTCCCAGTACTGGAAGGGCAGCTTCCTGTGTGGTCATCGCTTTGTCAAACCTGGCCAAGCGATCGGGATATTCGAGAAGGACTTCGTAGAAAACCTTCCCCTCCCTGTTACTAGCCCATGAATACGGCGACTGCTTTGGGTTCAGAATCGAAGACGAGTCGTGGGTAGCCAGGTATTCTGGAAGTCTCTGTGCGACGGGAGATACCTCATCGACGCTATTTATGGTTGATGGACGTTAGACAAGTTTCGACTCCGACATATACCTCGCAGAAGAGACACGGGTGACTGGCAGTACGGACATACCAGAGCTCAAAGAACTCGACTTCCGCCCCATCGAGATAGGCCAGGGAAAAGCGGGTGTGGGCATAGACGTCCTCGCCGACTGGATCTATGATTCCGGTAGCAGTGAGGACCCTCATCAATCGAACTAGCGGAAGACGCAGTATTTAGCTGACCACTCTGCCCAAGTCCTTAAGTGTGATAATGGCACATTGCCCAGAGGCCCGCACGGAGAGACATACTCAAGACCTCCTCATTCATTCCGCTGCCAGAGGCCAGCTCCTTGGCGGTGATGCTTCCATTGCGTGGGATCTTCGCCAGCACTCCCATCTGAAGCAGCGCTCGTACCGCCGCGGTCTGGGTGTACTGCACACGAAGAACCGGTGAGACAAGGAACAAGACCGCATGCATACAGGAAAGATGACTTGCCGCCGCATCTTACATTCGTAATCTGTCGAAACATTGCTTCTGCTGGATCCTCCAATTGGTAGTGCAAGGCCTCTATACGGCCTAATAGATCAAGGCGGGCAGGACGATCCGACTGGTCGGCATCGTAGGACTTGGCGGCCGCGAGTAGGGCCTCGATGTCAGAGATCAGCTGTGCGTTTCCGGGCATCTGTAGCGGTGTCTCGAGGTCAAGTGTGGCACTGTGACAAGATGGACAATTGGGGGGGTCGTGGAGTCGTCGAGTCGTGAAATCGTGAAATCGTGGAGTCGTGGAGTCGTGGAGTCGTAACAACGGCGGATACTCCATCGTACTTCGTAAAGCCAGGAAACGGTCTCTGGCTGCTCTGCGTCCGCTGATTGGCCAGAAGGAGGCGCTGTGCCGCACCGTCCCGCCCGCGCCGTCGGAAGCTACGGAGCTTACCTAAGGCACGAGCTACGTGCCGATTGCCGACTGCCGACAGGCCCGTTATCCGCACCATCGGCCCGCACATTAACCCACTCCGCCGCACCACGTGCTCGGCCTGGCTTTCTCCAGCCACTCAGCGGCCCGATCGACCATCCCGCCAAGACCTCTATGGGGCGCCCTATCGCCAAGCTTTACCGCTGCTCCCGGTCCTCCCCCTCCGCCTCCCCCTCCCCCTCCCCCCCTATCCTCCCTCCGCCCTCTCCATTTTCCCGCCCTCCATCCCGACGCTCCACCGTCCACCACATCCATCTATCATTGTTCGCTACACATCCCTCTCGCCACGCACACTCCGCACTGTAAACCCCAGATCTGCTCGCCCTCGGCATGGATGAGATCGAGGCAGATTCATTCGGTGTAATCCATCCCTGAAACCCCCCCCCCCAGGAAAATCGCTGCTGAGACAGTTGGCATAGTTCAGCGACGACTCCGCAGACAGCCCGACATCGTATGTTTATCAAACCCCCCTTTCCCCCCGCCCTCTTTTAATCGTCTGAGTCCTGGGTATAACTAGTAGCAGCAGCTCCGACGAGTCAACTTCATCTATAACTTCAAGCATTGCACGAGGAATAAACGAGTACGGAAGAAAATATGCCTCGTACAAGAATGCAGGTGACAGATGGCCCAAGAAGACTATTCGTGTTCCGTTGGCTGATTGCCCGCAGAGTACGGCTTACCTATCGACGAAGAAGAGCTGGACAGGATCGACCTGAAGCATCGGCTATATACGATGCTGCTGGATGAGCAGCTCTTCCTGGCTCCAATAGACCCTAATCCCCAGCGCATATTAGACCTGGGGACAGGCAGCGGTAACTTACTCATCACCAGGCTCAAGTTGATCGCTTGCTAATTCTAATTGTTTAGGAATATGGGCGCTGGATATGGCAGACAAGTATCCCTCAGCCGAAGTATTAGGCATAGACATAGCTCCAATCCAGCCGGAATGGTACGCCTGAACCCTACACCAGGTTCTGGTCTCTGAACTTAAAAGGCACCAGGGTTGCTCCTAACTGTCGCTTCGAGATCGATGACGTTGAAGAGACATGGACGCTTAAGGAGGATAGTTACGATTTTATTCACGCCCGCGACTTCCTTTTCTCCATTCACGACTGGCCAAGACTCATCGAACAATGCTACAGGTGCGTTTCTTGATCCCTATCTGATGAACCCCTTTTGACCTTACTAGGCATACCAAGCCAGGTGGCTACCTCGAACTCCAATGCCTCCTGCCCGAACCCCACTGTGATGACAACAGTGCCCCACCAGACAGCGGCGTTGTAAAATTCAGCGAGAAGATGTGTGAAGCGTCTGCAATTTGCGGCTATTCACTTCGGGAGCCAAACAATTTCAAAACCTACCTTGTAGACGCAGGTTTTGAGGACACAGTTGAGGTCCGATATAAGATCCCAACGGCGCCGTGGCCTAAAGACCAACGAATGAAACTCATTGGTGCATTCGAAATGCAAAGTCTTCTTCAGGGAGCTTCGGCATTCTCTCTTAGGACGTTCTCAAAGGCGTATGGCTGGTCGCAGGCGGATACGGAGCTTTTCCTTACGGATTTGAGAAACGATATTAGGCAGTTGAAGTATCACACCTACTACTTCTTGTAAGATTTCTAATCCGAGAGTCATACTAGTACAGTGCTAATAGATTTGACTCTAGTGTTGTGGTATATGGACGGAAGCCGGAAAAGCGCTAGGATATAAATAGCCCTGGCGCAAATTGAAGGAATTAAATGGTGTAAATGACAGGACTGATGACCTCTAATGAGTATCTTTCTTTGTTTCTGTGCTATTATACAAGGAGTTAGGGAGTTAATTTTCTCTATCGCTGATGGAAACGTTGGCTGTAGATTGCGTAAACAGATCTCGATGCTTTAGTGAACGTAAAAATTAGGGGGGCAAAGAGAAATCAAAATTACCAAATATTGGAAGTTAGCTAGTAAGATAGAACCTGCTGAAAGACTAACAGCGACTACTTGATAGAGCCCCGTCATATGACCGACCTTGTAATCTTACCAGCAAAGATACCTTCAGGGGACAGTGTAGAGTCATAGGATGAGCATGGCCCCGTAGCTTTAAGCTGGTCAGTCAGATGGTTAAATCTGGTCATGAGCGTTGATTTCCAACGCGAGGCTGAAAAGTTAATTTCAGATATCAGGAACGTGAGTGTAGGAGGAAGCCTTCGAGAGAGTTCGAAATTTCAAGGCAGTGAGGTTTGGCCGTCTGATGTGGCTGACTGCTAAACCTTGCTACTGCAGTTTAAAGCTAACACATAATGAATCAAAATGACCAGCCTATAAATCTAGATTGTGTAGGATAGAAGACACATTGGACGGCTGGGCGTAGCAAGGTTGAGGCTGTCATATAAACAAAATATACGGACTCAAGAGGAGGGGAGGAGGCGCCTCCACCGACAGTACATCTTTCCACGGCCCTGATCAACGCTGCTTGAACGGTCAAGCTTCTCCTAGAGAAGATGTTATCCGCCAGCAGGTCTGGATTGGGAGGTTCGTCGATTTCCTCACAACGGATTACTTAACAAAGGCTGGTTTTGATACCCCCGTGCAATTCTATGATCCCATGATTACCAGCTGATCTCAAGTTCGGAGATCAATATCGACCGGACTAGACGAAGTGAAACTTGGCAGTCTGGATGCTGAAGCTACACAATCAGAATTTTTATTGTCGGATACACAACCGGAGGTTAGAATCGCAGGAGCAGAGCATCAAGTCAGAACTGTTGTAGATGTAGAACTTGGAACCGCACAATCAGTGGTGCAATTGCCAGGTGCTCAACCAGATGCAACAACCGCAGGAGCGGGCTCCCCAGAACGGCGACAAGCAAACGCTGGGGCTGCACAATTAGATACGTTGGCACAAGTTAACCAAGACCATATTCCTTTTATCCCAGCGGTATGTGCGGATCCCCAGGGCGACGTGTGGCACTTTGAAATTTGAAAGTCCTCGAGTCTTGTCGAGTTCCAAAAAGTACTCTCGACAGCTTGGAATTTGCTAATGAGAACGACAACACAAGTGCCGGCTGAGACAGAATAAATGTGCCGACCTCGTCTTACCCAATGAGTGTACCTGGATAAGACATGAGACGGAAGGGCACTCGCCACAAATCCCCCTGCTCTGCAGTATATCTCAGACTCGATGACCTCGCACAGAACATTTTACTCCACTGCCATAGTACACACTGCAGACAACATTCCGACTTCGGAGCTTTGACCAAAGAGCAAAGAGCAAAGCACTATACCGACAAACACAGCAGAGACAGACGAAAATGACGGTGAGCGCGCCTCTTATCTAACAGGGATCGACGGTGCACATCAGATGCGCTGTTAAGTAACGGTGTACAATGAGTAAGGATTGACTAGTAACTTAGTAACCGTTATTGCGACCCTGAGCCTGGCCCTTGAGAGTTGAGACTTGAATTGAGCATGGAGCTTCTCTCGGGATATCAGATATCTCTACGATGTAGAGTCTGGTGGTGTCGGGGAATCCTTTGATCGTTGGGGTTGACAAAGCGATATATATATACATGATTAAATTAACCGAGGTCCAAGCCCTAACATGTCCAGCTTCTCGAGATCTTCACTCTTTTATCGAGCACGTTCCTCCGTTTTGACAAGCATTTGGAATGTCAAGATCCAGGCGGACGGACGACCGCAGGGATACGGCAGCGGAATGTACATCGTTCAATCCCGGCTGGTAACGAGCATGTCTCCTTTCTTCTGTTCATTTACCGGTGCTGCTGCTTCTGCGACCGCTCGGATTCGAGGAAAACGATGGCATCACAGCAATCATCCAACGCTGACTCCCCGAGCCTGATTCCGCTTCTCTCTACGATAGAAGATGGAAAGGCTGCCCAAGCCTCCTCCATCAATGTCAACTAATGACCCGGCACGTCTATTGGCCATTGAGCTCCCCGGCAGTCAGCTGGACTTTCATGATGATGCATCTCAGCCCAACTGCCCAGAGATCCTACCAAGTCCCATCTGGCAACTCGTAAGGCCCTACTCTTACTACAATGGATTGTTCGTTCTAACCCTGGTTCAGGCGCCCAAGAAGAAGTATGTGTATATCTGGCAATGCGTGAGTGGATTGCTCGAACAGAAAAGCTCGATTGAGGCCTAACGAAGACGCCCGAGTAGTGTGGATGCGGTCATTCAGGAATAAATATAATGGTCACGGCGTGTTCTGCCTGCGGGGCTGCGAGGTGCGCGTACTGCCGAACAACGAAGGTTCAAGTGCGGTAGGCTGGTTGGATTGGATAGACAACGTGGTTTACTGTGGTTGATGGTTGTAGATGAAACGAGGCAATGAGGCAATGGGAGGCTCGCAAGGCCAAAGAGAAATCGGAAAACGGTGTTTCAGCTTCTGCTCTGCCGTTATAATCAATTGTTTCCGTCACCAAGGTTCTAAACTTCGATAATGGGACCCTACGTCCTCCTAATAAGCAAGATCTTCTGGTTCAAATACTCCGCCCTTACCATACCTCCTCTGCTACTATCGACTACGAACGTGAGACTTGCCTCAGCTTCGCAACATAGCCATCGATTGCGTGGTACAGGACATACTGTGCGCCGTCTTGACAGATAGGTCACAAGTGCAACTGAATTGCATGGGGTTCCGTGTTCTTCGCCCTGTACCACAAAAAACAGCCATGAGCGGTGAAAGGGGAGGAGGCCATCCTTCCAACTACTACGCTAAAGAATGGGACCCGGTGTTCTCAAGAGACCGAAATTTCATAGAGGACAGGTCCTATGTTGACTATAAAAGAGGCATCGATGCAGACGGCGACGAGTTTGGCATCTTCTTCCAAGACTCTGAAGATTCTGTGCCCTCGTGCAAGGTCGAAGAAGTAAAAGAATTCTGTCAAGCTGCCCGTCTAGTTGATCTCAAATCACGTGCGGGCACGGCAGGACAACGGCGAGCTGCATGGCTCGATGACAGGAGTTCTGCCCGCCTGATGACCAGTCGCGCAAGGGAGTACGAAAATCTGCTCACTGCAGCCGCACTCTATGAACACTTGAAAGAACCGGTATGGGTGGAACCACGATTTTCCTCTTTGAAAAGACTCCGAGGCTGACCGAACTCGTCGTATCAGCGATTTAACAATTCAGACAAACCCGACGCGGACAGACGCCTGATGTAAGAGTAACTCCTTCTTTGGCTTGATGACCAACCCCCACTGAATATTTTCTGCAGTTACATTGCAGATTTAGATCCCTACTATATTCTTGCTCTTACAGAGACAGCGTCATTTCATCAAGTCTCAGTGCTGAGAGATGCTATTTGGAAATACTTAGCATGTCAAACATCAATTAGGGTTAAGATTCCCGTAGGTACTCATAGTATTGGCCTGTTGGGTTGATACACTAATATTGGTCGCTGAATATATGCTTACATTCTACTCTAGTATAGGGGATATCCCATCTTCCAGATGGAGTTCCATATCTCCTACTTTGCATTGAGAGCATCATCACCTAAGGACCCTTCTCGGATAATAGGAAACATCAATCCACCAAGACAATGGACAGATCTGTCGTTTCTAAAAATACAGCCTCCCAAGTCACAAGATCAGAGGGAGTACGGCATGCATGAAGCGCAGATCTCGGTCGTTATATGTGGCTCAGACAATTGGCGGTGGGCTGGATATGCTTTTATTGACACTAGCTTCGAGGGTGAGGACTTGGGAGATGGCATCTTTTCCTACGAAGATGTTCACGAGGATCCAATCGCCTCGAATAGTGAACTCCACGCAAACCTCCCGATCTGGGATCCGAGGGAATACTTTCTAACAATACTTGAAATCCGAATGACTCAAGTGAGAAAGGAGTTGGAATATCTGGTTCGAACGGTAGAGCGCAGCGTCAAACAGAATGTATGTTGGCTTTTCCTCTCTCCACACACACTGGAGTTGATAGCAAAGTTTGGGACCACTAACAAGCAGATCAGAGAAATTGGGACTCTTCTACTTTATCGCAGCACCCCAGAACCGCAGGAGACCGAGCCGAAGATATTAAAAAGACTTTCGACTGGACTCAGCAGATTATAGAGCTCCTGAGCCGGGTGTTGGGTGTTCTTTCCGGAGATATTAAGTGTTGGGAGAGATTCAAGTCGCCTAATGGGGATATTGGCTACTTTTCCGACATAGACTCCTCCCCTGACGCCTCACATCGTCGTCGTACTCGCCTGTCGCTTCGTGCCATCAATGAGACATTTGAGACACTAGAAGGTCTTCAACAGAAATTGCTTCTCCTGGACAAGTCTTGCCGCAATTCTGCCCAAGACGTGAGTAGAAATTGTTTTCTTTTGTTCACAATCACTCTTTCTCCAGGAAAATAGCCTGCTAACAGATACAGCTCCAACTTCGATTGACTCTCGAATCCAATGAAGTGGCACAGCAAAATGGAGTCACCACGGAACTAACAGTTTCGGTTCGTTCATTGCGAATGCTGGCTCTTTCGATGGCTAACTTCCTTCAGATCCTCTCTCCTGTTGCGCTCACTATCGCGTATTTCTCCATGCCACAGGCGGTCATACCTTTCAAGCTGGATTCGAAATCCTTCATTGTCACCACTTTCACAATTATGGTCGTAGTAAGGCTATTGTTTGTCGTTATACGTGCCCTGCTACGCCAACCTTGGTGGTGGAAGAAAATCACCGCCTGGATGAAGAAATTACAGTTGGACGAAATGGCCCACAGCAGGCTTGCGCTAAGAAGGGGTCGCATTTATCCCGACAGAAGCACGGATGACATAGAAATGGACACTCTGGGGGTGTAGAGGGCATTTTGAGCCGCACTTGTCAATATCTCGCTGTCACTCGACAGGCATGCTCAGTCATGCGAGATATGGTTGGTTGGCTGAATAAGTCCCCGGTGGCGCAGAGAGCGAAAACCGTAACCCATTTCTTGGAATTTCTCGGTCGGTCCTGGAAACTCATCAGACGCAATAAGAATGTCGACCTGTCCAACCAAGTCTGTTAAATCCGAACGACGCATCAGAAGGTGGAACAGCTTCCACACTCATTGGAAGCTGCTTATTCGCCTGCACAAGAACATACCAATCCGCGTCAACCACGAGGCTGGATGCCCAAACTACATGGGGCCTGACATCTGAACTCCATTGAAAATCGTCAGCAGACAGTCATTTGGGAAATCGTCGCTCACTCAATGAAAGGATCTCCGGGATGAAGGGATCTCCGATACTTGTTAAGTGCGTGGCATCTCTCCACCACTGACGGCACAATACTAGATGAAGTTTCTGTCATTTCACCAACCGTCCTCATCATTCAAACCCCAGACAGCCGCAGCCTCATTCGCATGACCCCCAATAACTAGGTGAACTTTCAAAACTTGAACACCACAACACCACCAACAGCAAGTAGTCACATTGAAAGCATGGCGACCCTAACTATTGCTGGCCTTGAGGAACTTCTTGGTGGATTGGGGTTGAAGATTCCCATCCCTCATTTTCCGGCAGCTGACGTACTGAATAAACCTCTGGACATCGTCCGCTCCTACCTCGCAGATATTCTCTGCAGCCTAGTCGAGTGCGATCCAGTGAACGCCTACAACTCTATTCAATGGCCCGGTGACATTTTTAATGGAGATTTGGCGGTCGTATTGCCAAAGCTAAGCCACGGCGCCAACCCCAACGACCTCGCGCTTGATCTCACGCGAAAGGTTTGACACTTCCTCTCATATTATGAACTCTCATAGTCACGAACAGTCAAACAGGTCTGACAAACTATATTAGTTCCCAGCGTGCCCGCTTTTCCTCCTCCCCTTTTCAGAGGGCGTCCACCTCCGTATCATGTTTAAGCCGGAGACGCTTCCGCGTCTCTTATTTCCTTACATCAATGATCGCAAGGACTCGTATGGCCGAGGTGTCTCTCTTGGGCTTCACGATCCCTCTTCACCCGACTTGGGTTGCAAGAAGGTGGTGGTCGAGTTTTCGTCCCCTAACATCGCCAGCGAGTTTCAGGGTAAGCATCTCCGGAGTACCATCCTCGGTGCCTACATTGGGAACCTATATGAATCAATGGGTTGGGATGTTATCAAGATCAACTATCTGGGCGACTGGGGCAAGCCGATCGGGTTGTTGGGCGTGGGGTGGGAGAAATTTGGCTCTGAAGACCAGTTCCAGACTGACCCCGCTGGACATCTCCTGGATGTCTATAAAAACATAAACGACCTGTTTATACCCGAGCAAGTGGCCAGCAAAAAGGCCCGGGATGAAGGAAGAGATTCTGCGGAGATTGAGGCCCAAGGACTGTTCGCAGAACGGAACGCATTTTTCAAGAGGATGGAAGATGGCGACGAGGAGGCTGTTGCACTATGGAAGCGCGTCCGTGACGTCAATATTGAGAACTATACCAATCTCTATGCTCGTTTGAACGTCAATTTTGACGAGTACTCTGGAGAATCGCAAGTCAATCCGAAGACTATGGCCGAAATTGAGGAAATGCTGAAGAACAAAGGACTATGTGAGGAAAGCGGAGGATCCTGGATCATTGATTTCAAGAAACACACAGTGAAAGCTGGCGTGGGGATTATTCGAGACCGCACGGGAAGCAGCACTTACCTGCTCCGAGATCTCGCCGCTGTTGTGGACCGTGACAGGAAGTACTCGTTTGACAAAATGATATATGTCGTTGCCGCAGATCAGCATACTACCCACTTTTCGAGACTCTTCAAGATCTTGGAACTCTTGGACATGTCCCATCTGGCCAGCAAATTGCAGCATGTCCACTTCAGCGAGGTCTCCCAAATGTCGAAGAAGTTGAGCCACGGGCATATGCTAGGCGAGATTCTCGATCAATACCAAAGCGCAATGCAGGAATCGATGAAGGCAAACCCAGAAAAAGCCGGTCTCCTCGGTGATACAGAAGAGGCAGTCGCCACGATTAGTATCACTGCTCTTCTAACCCAGGAATTATCTACCCGGCGGGCAAATGATCACGCCTTTGACATCTGTCAGATGACCTCCTTTGAGCCCGGTACTGGTCCTCATCTACAATACTGTTATGCAAGACTGTGTTCCATCCTCAAGTCCGAACCCGCCCATACCGACCTTTCTGACGAGGAATTTGCATCCCTTGAGGGAGAGGATCAAACTAACCTTCTTCGTCTCTTGATCCAATACCCCGACATTACTCATTCCGCGTACAAAGCTTTGGAGTCGGCTACAGTTATGGCCTATCTTGCCAACGTCACTTGGCACCTATCCTTTTGCCTCAAAAGCCAGGACGAAACTAGTGTCACTCCAGCCCAAGCAATGCTGTACGAGGCCACACGAAGAGTGCTCGAAAATGGAATGAAGCTGCTTGGAATCACGCCGGCTGTGAACTGAGCCTTTTCCTCTTGCTTTCGCTGAGCTTGATGATTGATATCTGATGTTTTGCCAGATCATTGAAAATGCGAGGTTCGGAGGAATGGCAAAAATGACAACTCTATCGCCCTGATATTTGAAGCGCGAGATTTGATGTTTTGGAGTGGTTTATGCTTTCCGTTTTACGTCCTAAAGTTGATACCTGGGCTCGAGGGGGTCTTTCCAGAAATAGATCGAGGTGTATAGTGCATGATGGCTGCATGAGCGCATTCTAGATTGGTACTCTTGTCGTTCTTGTTTGGTCGTCGGTTGTCTGTGTCTGATTTCAGCAGAACCTGTATCCTGTGGAACAGGCCCAATGTCCCATTTCTTTTGTTTCTTGCCACTGTTAGATTACTAGTACGCACCTAGTTTGCCTGGAGATGTCTTGCAATATTATAGTTCTAGCTAAGCTATCACAATGCATCTTGTACGATTCCGCTCACTTCTCAAGGCCGCGTTCTATATTGAGTACCTGTATCCAAGTGGGAAGGAAGTATTACATAATATGGAAACTCCAAGAATTTGCTCAATTTCCACGGCCATTTAGTGGTTGGACCTCAATAATCTGTCCATTTAGCTGAGGAAAGTGGGTTTTTTTAGTAACAAGCTGCATCCTTTCAACCAAACAAGATACAATTCAATACTGGAAGCCAGATAGTTGCACCGTGTAATGTCTTATCAATCATGATTGACCGTGGCCATCATACGATCCATACCAGGGCTACCATATTTAAGCGTTCATTCGCCGAGAGTGGCCCGCAGGCCCCCATCCGTCGATCCCTCCTTCAGTTCTTTCTCTGCGCCTGGGGCCTAGAACCGACTGCCGTCGAACGTAAAGATACGCAGCATTGCAAGTGACATGCTATTGAGATCAGCATGATTTAGACCCTAAGTATGGTAGACCCCTTGGATTCCTACTTTGTGCGCAGCGTCAAGGGTATGCTTCAACAGGGCAATCTCGGCACGTTGCTAGTCTAAAAAGTGATCCGCGGTTGTGCTTGAGACGAGGTGGAATTCTCTAGATGTGTCAAGTCGGAGCAATCGTTTTCGTTCCACAGCTAGAAACTGGATTGACTTCCTACGATATTGACTCCCAACTTTGTTCCTTATGTAGATGTCATGGCAGTGATACTGTTTGTGCGATCGAAGTAATTCTGCATAGTCTCGCAGCAGCAAATTGATGGGTTGACGAAACGGCCAGGAGGCTGTGGAGGCTGGTTTGCGAGGCGACAACTGCAAGGTGGGCATTCCTATAGAAAGTTTCAACGACCCTTCTTGCCTTTTCTTTTCCTGTCAGTGTTCCCGGCTCCTTTATCTTGTTCCCGAGAGTCCTCTAATCCTGATCTTCTCAGCCGGCTGAGAAAGCGTTGATCCTCTAGCTCACCACGTTGAATATCAAATACACTTAAGTAGACCGGTACCATGTCATGAGGACCGCACGGTCGAAAGTCTCCGCTGGCTCTGCGCTTGTCGTAGAATTTGCTTAATCGCTCCTTGATTGCTTCATCCACAGTCTTGAGGGTTTTAGTAGCAGAATCGACTTCCTCAGTTGACGTGTACTCCAGGAGTGTGCCTTTAATGAGGGCGGCTTCCTGGGTTGTGAAATAGGGCTCACTAATGTAGAGTTCGTCGACAGTGCGTTCTATACGTGACTCGGAAGATCGATCATTCTTGATGTTGTAGAGATCGTAAATTAAAACGTGTATCTTGTACCAGACGTTTCTGTTTCCCTTCAGTTCAGATAGAGTTGCTTCAGCTTGTCGAGCTCTCGTCGCGTTGTCAGGAAGCTTTGTGTTCGTCACCTTAGCCATTCTTGACTCGTATTGATAGATATTGGTGCTTGAAGAAGAGTTATGGAGGATGTTCAAAGTGTGTGGGGGAGACAACGTAAGAGAGAGAGTTTTACCTTCTAAGGTATCCACCACCCGCCGCCCCACCACCCCACCTCGCTTAAGATAAGCTCCGTTAAACGCCACATTACCTTAAATTAGCGGTTTGTGGCTGAGATAGCTAACCCAGTCCTGGAAGGCGGTCAGCTATAATGGGTTTACCGAAGGCGGTGAAGGCCCCTTTCTGCCCATGTTTGTGCTCCCTGTCGCGATAATTCTATAGATCTTGTTATTATTCATTTGGATCCAGACAACTCTACTGCTTCCCGTAATAATCTCGCAATGGCCAGTGAAACCAGACCAGATGATCAGCTCTGGTTTTTTCTAAAGGAGAATATGGCTCTTCCTAGCTATGTCCAAAAGCAGTTTACGCTTAAGGACATCCAGCAGAAGGGTCTATCTCTCGCGGACTGTCTGAAGATCACTAATAGCGCGGATAGCAATGTCAACAAATATGCATTCTACATCCACTCCGTTAGCATGGCTGCCGCAGTACGCCTCCTATCCGATGAGAGTATTCTGGCCACCTTCAATATCTACTGTCGAAAAGACCCGGTCGTCACGATCTTGATCCGCGCTGCCGATGACTTATCTCCAAACACTTCACGGGCACCTAGTCACCAGAACTCTTTGGCTGAGCGTCGGAAGATTTCTCGGGGAAAGGTTGTACCCGAGATTTTTATTCAGCCCAAGGTTCGACATGCCTCTGGCAGCATGGATGTCAGCACGATGGAGCCGATCGCAGACGTTGCCGAGAGTGAAAAAGTCACCTTATATCTTGGAGGAGGGATGTTCGAGACTTTTACTAAGGAATATTTGCTCTGTGAGCTACAATCCATTGACATCTTCCCTTTCCCACCTGACTGATATGTTGCATTAGGCTGGATCAACTCACAATTAGAGGACGGGAAACCTCTGACCGATATCGTTGTCCAAAGTCTTCGACCAGATGGAGAGATAAAGAGACTGGCACTTACAGCAGAGGTTTGGCAGCATTCTCTCGTTCGCGGTCAATGGAAGGATAATTTTCTACCTCTATGGAACGATTATAATAGGGTTCGTGGCTCTCGCGAATCTATCTTGGCTGCTTTATCGCGCGACATTCCCAATTTCTCTGCAGCATGCCAGAATTTCATCCACGATCTACGTACATTCGGTGGCAACAAAAAGTCTCGGCAACGACTGGATGGCACCGGCCATGAATTCTATCTTGGTGTACCGTATTTCAACGATGAGACTCGAGAGCGGCTTCTCCGGATCCCTACTAGAAATGGCACTTTGGCAACCGACCTTCGACAGCTAGCAATTAAGAGGAGTGGAGGCGAGATCTGCGCAGCCCATGATCTCTCACCCTTATACGAAGCAGTTCTTGGAGTCCAGTGGGACAAAGTAAAGGAGAAAGGCACCGCTTTGCACGATCAGATGAGCAGTCTTAATCTTGATAGCCAGACTAGCAAGACCAAGCAGATTGTTAAGAAAGGTAGCCAGATATTTAATAAAGCATTCAACAGGAAGGGGGGTGGAGGACGCGGGAAAGGCGGTGGGGGAAGCGGGAGTAGGAGCACGGAAGCATGGTGATAGAGATTAGCATTAGAAGTGTACTTACTTCTTTAGAAGTATTCGCCTTCATTCCTAGTCACTGTTGGGTTCGAGTATTTGGAAGTCATATTTCAAAACCGGCAGCGATCCTTTATTCTATCTGACGGAAGATGGTTCGAGAATCAAAGACGACACTCCAGCATCCTTTCTACCTCATAATGAAAATAGTCACATGTCATTTATCGTGACATGAAGCCGTCCGTCCAGGCAATTAACTCTATATACAGCCTCCAATCGATACCTCAATTCCAACCCCACTCGCACTCGCACTATCTCGCCCATGACACTCCTCTAGAGAGGCGATTAGCTGCCATATTCCCCTACAGCAGTGGGTAAGACGGCCGCAAAAGACACGAGTGTCCCTGTCGACTCCGGATCTTCAATCCTTAGTGCGCAGCATCATCGTTGCTTACATTCAGACGTATCCGTAGAACGTCCTGGGCCACTCTTTCCTAGATGATAGAACAATTCGGTATAACTCGTGACCGTTCGATCCCTTGTAGACCTAACAGCTCGAGGTGGGTCTTATCACTGGTAATGAAAATCCCCTTTTCATAAAAATGAGTGTTAGAGTGTTGCTTATTAAGACAGGATGTCACAGTTGAATTGAGTGTGGAGATTCAGGTAGTTACAACTTACAAGAGACAGAAGTGTCACACAGGAGGGGATCGAACAGAGGGTAATGACCTGATTGAGGTGAAAATGAGAGTAGCTATAGCTATATATACGATCCTAGAGTAGCTGAATAGACCTCTGTTCAGCTCAAATATCATCCTCGACAGCTCATGCCCTCTTCTGGCGCTAAGATCCCGGCAGACAAGTCCGAAATCCTTTCAGGGGGATCGAACAGAGGATAATGACTTGATTATCGTGAAAATGAGGGTAGCTAACTACTGTATATACCCAAAAAGTAGAGTGCCTAACAGGCTCCAACTGCATATCCAACAGAACTTTTGAAATAAGGGTAATATTCGCGTGACACTTTCGATCCCTGCACGCGCGAGGCTGATCTATAGTCGACAGTAGGAGACGCCCCAGCGTCGCTTTCAACCTGAATAACGGCTCGATGATGGGCGATGTAGAGGTAGCTCTCCCCTATCGGAGTTTTGGCCTAATGGCCAGCTATTCCGTGTATCAGGAAATAACACCCTACTTCCATTTCAAAACTGCAGAGAACGATACTGAAGTCTCCCTTGCGTTGGGGGGCCGGGGGGGGGGGGGGGGTTCAGGAAACGGACATTTGGCCTAAAGCATTTCGAAAATCTATACTATATGCTTCTTTCACGGTCTGCCATCTGAAGCTACTTTAGAGAAGGGGCTGATCTGTCCAACAAAGATACACAGTCATCGATGACGGGCGGAGGAATTTCTCTATCTTTCAGAGTACGAAAGTCTCAGCCCAGTCGATTGTCGTACCAATCACATATGTCCTGTCGGTCCTTGGTGGCTATTCATCATCCTAGGTGAGCTTTTAATATGTTCAAATCGGAAATTGTTGCACAATGCATTGAGAACAGACGACTCCACAAGCGGAAATGCCTCGTCGCCAGAATCTGGCACATGGCGCGAACCTGGGCAGGAAGCAGGGATACGATATGATGCATTCTTGTATAGACTCCTTGGCCAGACCCCGCCATATGATGACTAACCTTTTATGAGCAATGGCATCCGACAATTATTGCATGGAGTTCAAATGTCGAGTGTCTCATTGACGCAGACCCAGTCACTAGGAGGTGTATGGGAACCTTATCACGTCGAAGGCCCAAGAATCATATTCTTATTAGCCCCATCCGGTAACCTCGACCTTAGAATGAGACCCGGGTATTGCCTGCCATCATTGCCATCGTTCCAATCTGGCTGGTACGGCAGCTGGTTGATATTGAAGTAGATATACCCGTCGAAACCCACATTCGCGCTGTCGGGCCAGACAATGCGAGGGTCGCGGACGTAGGGCTTTGCTTGGAGAGTTGTAGAGCTTTATATTTGAGTCAGTATGGTAACGAGAATCTGGGGCGTGTAAAGAGGAAAGGTGGTGAGGCAATGGAGACGAACTTGTAGATGTAGATTGCATTTTGGTTTGGCATCAACATGTACACATTCCCCAGATTATCGGATGAAAACCCGTTAGCATTCCCACCGCGTTGACCTAGATTCTTGACGTTGTCAAAGGCACGCTTGGCAGACAGAGTGTCATTGGAGGGGTTGGCGCGGAGATATCGTGTCTCGATAGAGAAGAGGTAATCGGAAGTCAAGGGGGAGTAGTAAATAATCTAGTGTGTTGGTCAGCCTATGAATATATCACTGGGGATCCCCGCGACTCACATCACCATACAAACTCAACTCCGCACCATCCAACCCCTCCTGTTGAAAGCCAAGTGGACTTCCCTTCTGCCGCGAGTAAAACGGAATGCCCTGGTAGCTCGGCACATCCTCGTTGACTCTTAGCGTGCTAGGGTGCTGGGAGAGCTGTCTCCAACTCTCCCCAGTCCCCAGATCAATCATGATGAATCCTGTTCTGCCCTCATTGCTCGAGTCCACGATGTATGCAATTCCTCCGCCTGATTCAGTGACATTCGGTCGCATATCAAATCGCAGATCGTTCATGTATGAATCGGGATAGTGGACGTTGGGAGGAAGCGTGTACGTTCGTGCGATCGAATTAGTGGTCAGATTGATTGCGACGAGCTTCGGGCCACCAGGTGCAGCGTATGGGATGCTTGGAGCTTGGGATTCGTTGATTGTGGGACGGCCGGTATCGAGAACCCAGAGGGTGTCGTCGGGGGTAATGTACAGTGCTTGCACACTGATGAAGGAGTTGGGATCATTGCTGCCGAACTGGATGCCATTGGTGACATTGTAGAGTCCCCCAGGAGGCGTGTTCAGTGCCAAAGATGGATATGCTGCTTCAGCAGTGGTGTTGACGACCTCTCCCAGAGTATAGGCGTACGTCCCGCGTGTGTAGCAGGTGAAGACTCGTCCTTGTTTCGACACGGCTAAGCCAATTGGCCACTGGTCGTAGTAGTAATGGAATTCCTCCACCTGTGGACCATATGTACCTGTATCAATTCGCACATTTCGCGGTCCTGCCGTACCGAAGGTGCTGTTGAGGGTTGTGTTGTAGCTCGTGGAATTCTGTGCTGCTGTGTAGCTGGAGGCGCCCGCGAGGCCGAGGAGGGTCGAGAGCTTCATTCTAGTGCTTGGGGAAGACTGGGAAGAGACAAGTGGAAGACGGAACAGACCTCAATTGAGCATCTTTATATTAGAAATGCAGAGGTCTCTCATGATCTCATTCGATTACGTCGACGGGAAGATCAATTTTCTTCTTACTTTCCCACGGACGCTGCCATGCCCAGCTTCTCCATGGCATGGCAATGAGAAGCGACATTCTGATGCGACTTCACAAAAAAGGGAATAATGAGGGGATCTCGATGATGATGGGCTGGCAACATTGACGATTAAGAGAAAATGCTCCGTGCAGTGCAACGGTTCAGAACCCGTTGCGGGGTTTAGTGCGTAAGTCCGTAAGCACATGACCAAATGTCACGTGGCCGGAACATCATACTACCGACTTCCGGCCTGTTCGCGCAGAGTTTGCCAAAATCAAACCCTTTGTACGAGTTTCCCCCTTGGGGAATTCTTTGGTTAATACCTACCTATATTATCGTAGTGTTACCCCCTGACAGTATTTTTGAGAAAGAGAGAACCTTCACTACATATCTCCAAAGCTTTCTCTTCTACCCAATTCGAGATTAATCTATACAAAACACATCAATGGAAGAGCGCAATCCTATCACGTTTCCCTTGGAGGGAGAAGCCAAGTATCACCTGATCGGGACTCACACACGGTACTCTAGTACATCCCTCCCTCTACCTTAGAGACTCTATAGTCTAACTTGAATCCAGGCTGGACATCTCGTGTGGCACTAGTGCTGGAATACTTTCAACTTCCTCATAAAACAACATTTATCAAACTAGCTGATGTAACCGGTCTCCCTTTTCTCTGGTGGCCTACTCTGACATCGAAATCAGGTGAAAAAGCATTCCAAGAGCGGCCTCGTTCCTCTTCTTGTTCCAGTTTCCCCAAAAATAGACATTCAAATCAATGAGTCCCTGTCAATCTGCGAATTCCTTGCGGAGTCACATCCCGAGCTCCCCCTGTGGCCCAAAGACCGTGAGCTTCGAGCACTGGCAAGAAGCGCGGTTTCAGAGATGCACTCCGGATTTCAAGAAATTCGAAATACTTATCATACCAACTTCATAGCGAAGTATACAGGGAAGATTCCGATTACTGAGCAAGGCAGGAAGGAAATTGACAGGATACTTTTTTTGTGGGATCAATCCAGGGCTAAGACGGCGCAAAAGTTGAAGGAGTTAGGAGACCAAGATGAAGGATTCTTGTTTGGGAAGTTTGGAATTGCTGATGCTTTCTTCTGGCCTGTCTTGTGGGTATGTAAAGCGTTCTCACCTTATCCTGTAACTCCCTGAAATTACGGATCAAATTGCAATGGAAGTTTGTGGCTGACTAGGACTGATAGCGTTTCCGATCCTATAATCTTCCGCTGGCAACTGCCTCCCCTGAGGTCCTTGCTTGGATGAAAAAAATGTGGAGTGATCCGACTATCAAGATGCTGATCAAAGACTACTTCAAGCAAGCTGAGGATCCCGAGACCTCTGTTGATAAGTATGATGATATCTTCAAAGGGAATCCAGATATCTGTTATGGACGATTTGAGGAGAACTGGGAGTTTATGACCGCGTGAGTCCTGGAGCTGTGTGGCGGCTTTTCTAGAGTGGTGGCTTTACTAAATCGCCACCCTACGATTTTTTTAGATATATAATAACATTATCCTCTTATGCACGTCAATAAAGTGTAAATCACACATACATAAATGGGTATTCGCGGACGTCTATCAACATAGGAAACAATGTGTGCCACGAGAGCTTTATAACTGTAGACGGTTGCTACCTACTTAGCCTGCCCAGCATCCGCGCGCAGACGTGCCGCGAGATCCGGCGTGACGAGCACAGAATCATCTACTTTATAGTGTACCTAGGCCGCGTCCGATTTGCTTGGTCTATAGTGCACGTGATCACCCAAGTACGGGGGTGGGATTAACAAAGTTAAAGTTAAATTCATCCAATTACAAGATTCTAAAATTCAGGGATTATCATTGTGGATCTTCTAGATACGCGATTACCCACTTTACGGTCGTCTAGACGCGGGGTCAACGAAGTTAAAGTTAAAGTCATCCAATGATAAGATTCTAGAATTTAGGGATCATCATTGTGGATCTTCCAGATACGCAGTCTAACGCAGATGTCACTTTTGAAATAACTCAAGGTATAGTCTGACTGATGCACAACCTGAACGCTGAGATTCCCTATAGGAACTCAGCGTAGAGATAATCCAATGAATCACCAGAGATATGCTGGTGCCCTTGTATAAACCAGCTCTACACAACTATAATGATGACATCGATCGACGTTACAAAATCAGGGAATCGGGGCCGTTGCACACAACTCCACCGGTTCTAGACCTGGGTTGCTACGGATCAGATGAATGTACTGTACTCTCGGGACTTCCAATGTGTGTTGTATCCTTCTGCTTGTCATAGGCGGAGCTGCTTGCCAAAGTGGGATCAAAAACTATGGTAAGTAATCAACTATGTACCGAATTGAAGTGATAAACGAGGTAGCTAATAGTTACAAAAGGAGCATATGGAGCTATATAGCTGAATAGAGCCTGTTGGGCTGGGTATTCGGGATTCCCGTATGGCTTCACATATCTAAACGGGTTAGAGTGAAAACAGCTATTGCTATTCAGCTATATCCCACATTGCTATATCTGATCTAGAATAGCAGTGGCAGCTGAACTAGCTTGACTTGGTCGACCCGGCCAGATTGATGGAAAATTTCGTCGATGTTGCATCGAGAGGCTAATTAGAGATAAAGTTTAGGGTTTTGGTTGAACGAAGCCATCCCTAATGGTTAATATGCCTAGACCAACGTGTACCTAGTGATGACGTGAAGTTATAGTTGCTCTTGAGGCTGTACGTATAAATGGACCTGAGATTCTACGGCTATCCACCTGATTATCTTTCGTTCTATAACTGATCGTACTAACTTCCAGCCTTCTTCCCTCATCACAATGAAGTTTCGCTCACGATCCATCCCAGCCGTGGGCAATGGCCTGACCAATATGTCCGCCCAGCGGAGTGGAACACATCTGCCTATGCTCCATCTCGACGACAATATGCGCAACAATCTAGTTGCCGTGCTGGGCGAGTTCGTCGGCACGTTTCTCTTTCTGTTCTGGTCCTTTGCCGGAACCCAGATTTCCAACACACCTAAGCCTCCGGATGGATCTCCTCCAAATACTTCCAACCTGCTTTTTGCGGCCTTGGCGTTTGGCTTCTCATTGACGGTCAATGTGTGGGCCTTTTTTCGCATCACGGGTGGATTGTTCAATCCTTCGGTATATGCTTAACCTGAAGACATGATACGGCATAGGTTAATGTTAATAGGTGACTCTTGCCCTCTTCCTCGTTGGAGGATTGCCTGCCCTGCGAAGTGGACTGGTCTTCCTCGCTCAGATAGTTGGAGGCCTCAGCGCTGCTGCTGTTGTATCGTGCCTCTTTCCCGGCGACCTCAATGTTGAAACCACTCTCGGTGGAGGAACATCTATATCGCAAGGACTTTTCATCGAAATGTTCTTGACCGCCCAACTGATCTTCGTTATTATTATGCTCGCCGTTGTCAAGCACAAGTCCACATTTTTGGCGCCAGTTGGAATCGGCCTGACATTCTTCCTTGCAGAGCTCTGCGGTACGTTTGACCCGAACTTGAGAGTAATGTATTCCTAACAGGAAACAGGTATCTACTTCACTGGTGGATCTCTCAACTTCGCACGCTCCCTTGGTCCTGCAGTTGTGAATCATAACTTTCCGGGATACTTCTGGATTTACTTCGTCGGTCCGCTCCTTGGCTCTCTTCTGGCATGTAGCTTCTACACATTGATGAACAGCATGCGCTATCAAACCTGCAACCCCGGTCAAGACTTCAACGAGGTGGAAGCGCAGAGCGGGAAGGACTTGTTACTTCCTGAAAAGAGCCGCAAACTAGAGAGCCCGATGCGAGCTCCTCATCACCGACAAAATTTATCCGAAGCTACTACTGTGAATAATGACCATGTTGGTAATTAACTAACTACTTGTTGAAATACTAACGTCCGTACTCGCCGGGCACGGCCTCAGGCCTCGGCAGAGGGCCGGGAGGTAAAAGGACGGACAAGGCGTGAAGTAAACGAGAAGAAGAATCAGGCCGGATAGGAGAGTGTTAGCTACCGGGCAGGATCTGATTCACGCATAATGCATTATAGGCATACGGACTGAACAGCACCGCAGTACGGTACAGGACTGGCGGTAGACAGGCGCCTTAGTAGAAGGGCTAACTACCCTCTTTTTAAGCTATAGGTAGGCTACTGGTAACACATCGCCCTCTGTTTTATAAGACGTCCCTAAATACTTAGAGTTAAGTGGTTTAGTCTAGACGCTATAAGTAGAGGTAGGAAACCCGTCTCTATACTATTACGACCTTTATTAACTTCTTGCCTAGTACTATCGAGTCGGTTCACTTTGGGTTTCTAGGCTTGTGCACAAGACTGCCAGCTGCCGATTGCGATTAATGAAACATATGGTGATAGAAGGCATACTGCCGGACTCTGTACCCTAGCCATGATGCAGGTTATGTTTTCAAGGGTTAGGTCGATAAAACAGGAGTTGTCAGAGGATGAAGGTGAGCCTAGCCTAAGAAATGTCTACTGCCTACCATAATGTGGTGGTCCTGTTATGGTGCCCGGGACCCGATCTGCTCCTCTTACGTTCAGGCATTAGCTGCTTGCCATGAATGCCGCGAATTGGTTTTTATCAACACAATGCATATTTAAGTATAGAAACCGGATGCGGAACATCCAAGTCGGCACGGTGTGTGACCGTGTGTCCATGGAGCGCTATGTTCGGCTTATGATCAAGATACTTTAGGTCGTGAATAATAAGCATAGGCCAAGTGTTCAAGTCTGCATCACAGAAAGACTTTGAAAGTTTGAGCGACCGTCTTCACACCTGGAATGATGCGACAACTCTGCCAGGGTCGAGCCCAGCACGTGGGTGTCTCACCTGACCCCAAATGCACGTGACAGTTGGCACACGTTGACAAAATGCATCACATCCTTGACTCCTTACATGGCTCTACACCATAAGCAATCCTTTTTCCAATCTTCTACCCAACAAAGTAATTAGCGATAAAAGCCCTTGCCTAGGATCCTGTACGTTTCCATCTCCTCCAGCCATCCTGCGATCCTTCAAGCACTAGGTGCGCAGCACGACGCCACGTATGATGTTGGAAGGAGTACAGCAAAACCAGCAAGAATAGCTCCTGCGTACCCTTCCTTATTCCCAACAACCCTATAACAAAAGGTTGATTGATCACTTTGCTTTAGCCTTTGATGCGAGATATAACCAGTTGCCAGTCATCCTTCTACCTTTGCAGATTCCGGTCTTTGACTCCACTTCTTCGCCTCTATTCAAAGTCACGTGATGGAGCTCCTGGACCTACCATTAGATCTCCTCCATAAGATTCTATATCATGCGGTCCTAGCACGCCATGTCAAGAGAGGCTTGAGACTTCGGCTTGTGTGCAGTAAGTCTTGCCTACCCAAGCCGTTCTGTTCGACAGCTTATGGTTTACAAGAGGTTTTCTCGTATAATGTACTTCCAGCTCTATTCGAAACGCGCCTACTTGATAGGTTCTATTCCCACGCGCTAAACAATGGTGGCATCGACGGCCCGTGGTATCTCAATACTCATCCTGGCGCAGGAGAGTTATGGCATTCATACCTTGTCTACAGAGTCACAAATGAAACGGACAGTACTGTTGGCCGCTTCGTGGAGATTCGTCAGACCGCTCAGCTTATCTGCGAGGAAACTGGATGGCACTTGACTTCGACGATCGACAAGCTCTGCTGGATTGCGACGGAATCTCAAGCAAGCCGGCCTACTACCCACGAGCCTACTATCAAAGTTACTCCATGCCCAGCACTTAATGGTCTTGCTGCTGCCGCACATTTCAATCTGATTGCTCTTGCAAACCGATTACTGCTGGAAGGCGTCTGCCCCACCAGGTACACTCATCTCTTCCCATCGCCGATGGAGCTTGCTGCACGTTCAGGTCACACGGAAATGATTCAGCTTTTTCAAGAACATTTGCCTGATCATAGAGATTGGAATGAAGGACGGTGGCGATGGCATGGGAAGGTCTCTCCGGATTCAATTTATGGGGCTACGAGTCGAGAGGATATGAGTATCATGCAATTGGTATTATATCCCCCCTCTCGCGCGAACTCAGATAGCGCCAACATTCTAGATCAGCAGTCAGGACGGTCTGATTCAATCTTAAAGGTCAGGGAATCGCTTCGTTACGCCGCCAACTTTCGAGCAAGAAGCCCTGATTTTCGGATGTACATTATCAGTCTTCTTGACGAAGAAGCGCGACCTACACACAGAGATCTCGTTGAAACACTGGTAGTACATGCTCAATCTGGAAATCTGTCTATGGTGAAGCATCTCCTTGATCTAGGCGTGACAGTCGATGGGGTTTCACGACGTGGGGGCCCCCCTCAGACAGCGCTGATAGCAGCTTGCCGAGGATGCCATGAGGAAGTGGTTGACCTTTTGCTTGGTCAGGGCGCAGACCCCAATTTCGGAGCTAAGGATGTTACTTGCATCACAGCACTTCCTATGGCGGCCTCTACAGGAAGTCTAGCGATCGTTCGTAAATTGCTTGATCACGGAGCGCAAGTGAACGAAGCTGTAGAATTCTGGGACGGCTACTATAGACGATCGGCAATATGGTGGGCTGTTGCAGTTGAGCACACAGCCATGTTTCAGCTACTGTTGGAGAGAGGAGCCTCTTTGGAGGGCTGGATTGGGTCCACTGCTCTCGAAATGGCCTTTGAGCTTGGTATGGAATCGATGGCTAAAACCTTGGAGGGGCTTGGTGTCAAAATCATTGAACGAGTCCATGATTCCGGACAAGCGCCTTGGAAAAGATGGTCATACTATCACGGAATATACACATCTGGGGATCTAAAGGTATGGGATTGGTGAAATTTGTTCCTATATAATGATTTTGGAGTTCAAATAATACATTTAAATGTGTAAACAAAGTTATGCTACACCAAGCTTCCCTAGATAGAAATGAATATTTTCGGTTATGCTTACAATCAGTTGACCAGTTGACAAGAATAGCCACCTCTGAAGGACATGAGATTAAAGTCTACCCTACGATAAGAGGTGCCAGTTTCTTAGGTTCGGTACATCTTGTAGCGAAGCCTGGTAAGGAACAGGTTCAAAGACACAAGCAGGCATGCATAGGCGCTGGCCTTAAATAAGGCTAAAGACACAATCGTTCCTTGGTCATTGACTAACGCGCATGTAATATTCTAGTTTCCCTAAATACAACTCCTATAGCCAGTCTCCCTCTACCCCTACTTTTTCCTCTTAAAAATCTTAGGGTTAGAGGGTTTATTGTTAGTACTATTAATAGTACTACCTTTACCTGCTAAGACACGCCCTTCTTAAGACCTGTTACTAGAATTAGGGTTAAGGGTTTATTATTAGTACTATTAACAGTACTACCTTTACCTTCTAAGATACGCCCTTTCTAAGACCTGTTACTAGAACGTAGTAGACAAGATCTAGATACTCTTTAGGCACTATACTCTATACTAACGCCCTTAAGGCACCTCTCTTAAGACGTATCCTGTTTATAGTATTTAGGGTTAAGAGTTTATTATTAGTACTATTAATAGTACTACCTTTACCTCTTAAGATACGCCCTTTCTAAGACCTGTTACTAGAATATAGTAGATAAGATCTAAATAACCTTTAGGTACTATACTTTATACTAACGCCTTTAAGGTACCTCTCTTAAGACATATCTTATTTATAGTATTAAACTAGAGTATACTTATATAACTAAAGGCTTAAGACAGAACTACTTAAGATTTTATAAAGAGATATATATACTACTAGATTACTGTTAGGTACGCTAACACGTAAGACTATAATGGCTTAGAAATCAAGTACAGGGTAACTACGTACTATAGCCGAGGTAATAGTAGGTATTAAGGAGTATAAGAATAAAGGGCAAGGAGGGGAAAGAAAGGGGGTTTAGAGATTAGTCTATAGTTAAAGTAGTGATATACCTTTAAATATACTACGACTATCTATTAACTCTTACCTCTTCTACTCTATAGAAATATACCTAACATTCTAATCTCTTTCCTTTACTAAAAGGTTATAGACTGTTAGAGTAAGAAGTAATAACGTAGACATAACAAATAAACCTTAACAAGACGTAGGCCTCTTCTTAAGTAACTCTTTAGAATACCTCTTTATAGGTAGATAGCGGCAAACCTAGTACGACTCCCTAAATGTTAATAGAAATCCTTTCCTTAAGTAAGACTAAGTTAAACGAGAGGATCGCCTAAGTAAGGGTAGAGTAGTGCCTTAAGTAAAAACAAGACTACCTTATAGTGCTTAAGAAGGGAGAGGCTCTCTTAATAAACCTATACGAATTTAATAACCTTCTTAAAGTAGAACAGCCCTTCTAGTAAACCTGTGTTAAGGAAACAAAGAAGAGCTATTGTAATACCCCTTTTATTCTACTAAAAAACAAGACATATACTAGTATTACGACCTTCTTATTTAACTAGAAAACAGAGTTTGATACTTATCTAGAGAGTTATCTAATAGATACTAAACGCGTTAGCGCTATAGTAGTAGTACTAAAGGATTATATTAAAGAGCGCTAGAAGTCTTTTATTTTCTTAGAAAAAGGTAGATTAGTTCTTAATATAACTTAGGAAGAAATAAAGGCGTAGCTCTTTTATAGTATTATAGATAAGGGTACCTACTTCCTTAAAGTAGTATTAAAACTCTAAATGTTAACTTAAAACTAAAATAAGACCTTTAGGAATTTCCTTTAATAGTATAACTCTCTAGTTATTAAACTCGGCTACGCCTTCTTAAAGATGTTCTGTATCTACCTTCTTATTAATTGTTTAAAGCCCGAGTTAAGGGCTTATATAGTAAGTAGTAAGGTCCTAGATACCTTTAAGGTAGTTAAGGTAGTAGCGTTAAGAAGGGAAACTCTTATTTAGATAAGGTAACAAGAAGGCTCTTATAGAGCCCCTTTAATACTATACTATACTAGAAGAGGCTCTTCTTATAATCTAAAGACCTTATCTACGCTAGTAAACACGTAAAGGGTATCTAGTAGCTAAACTTTAAACACGTAAGAGGACTCTCTTAGTGTCGTAAAAACCCCTTTAGTAAGTAAGGTATAAGGTAACTACTACTAATACTAGTAGCCTAGTTATTAGGTAAATTCGTACTTACTATACAAATGCTCTATATATAGTTAATCTAGGCATACTTACGCTTAGTACCTTAATAAGGCCGGTACTTTAGGCGCTAATACTATACTAGTAGCCTACTATATTACGCCTAAATAATAAGAAGAAGGGCGACCCTTAATAAGTATTTAGGTAGAGATACGTATTAAGGGTAGCTAAGTAGCTATACTAGCCTTACTAGACTTAAGAGTAGAAGTTAACCTTATCTACCTACGACTATTAGGACAAGAGGCACTATAGTAACTCGATAATTACATTATAGTATCCTTACTATTCTAGAAAACAACGACAAGCTTTAGGTTATACGATCTGTTTGTTAAGGCCTAAGATAACTACTTAATAGTAAGGCGACATTAAGGTAGATTTGTCGTTACTAATATTAAGGACTTAGATGTTATACTTAGATTTCTATAGCTAAAGGCTATAGACCTAATCGTTTTATAAAAGACCTAGACGTTTGTATACCTTATGTTGTCTTTAATAGTTAGGCTGTATATAATAAAGAAAGAAATCAAAAAGGCAATAAAAGAAGCTTAATTTATAATTGTAGTAATAGTATAACTAATTGTAGTAGACCTAGAATCCCTAGGTAAGGAGGAACTATAAGAAGAACTATAAGAGGATAGTAAGGCTATAGCGACCTTACCTAGTAAGTACTAACAATTTATAGACGTCTTCTCTAAAGAAAGGGCTAGATTACTACTTATAATTAATAGCCTTACTTATATAATAGACCTTAAAGGAGACGCGGTACTACTATATAGCTAAATCTACCTACTTATAAAGGTCAAGCTAGGTGTCTTACGTAAATATTTAGACGACGCCCTAGTAAAAGGATAGATCTGTCTAAGTAAGAGCCTTACTAGTACTCTAATACTATTTGTTCTAAAGAAAAGAAGGAAGCTACAACTTTACGTTAACTACTAGGTGTTAAATAGTGTAACTAGAAAGAACTAAGCCCTTATTCTATTAATTAGAGAGATCCTTAACCGGCTATTATAAGCCCGCGTCTATACTAAGCTTAACCTACGTAAAGCGTACTATTAAGTTTGTATTAAGGCTAGTAATAAGTAGAAAACGGCTTTCTAGTACTAATACAGCTACTTTAAATACTATGTTATACCCTTTAGGCTAGTAAACGTACTAGTGACCTTCTAGTCCTTTATTAACAAAGTACTAAAGAATCTTGTTAATAATATTTGTATTATATATCTTAATAATATCTTTATCTACTCTATAAATAAAGAAGAGTATACGTAGTATATTTACCGCGTCCTTAAACGTCTTTAATAACATAACCTCTATACTAACCTCTTAAAGTACGAGTTTAATATAAAGTAAGTAGGTTTCTTAAGATACGTTATTAACTTGTAAAGAGTTTGTATTAAACCTAAGCGTGTCTCTATAGTCTAAGAATAACCTATTCTTATAACTATAAAGGACATTCGTGTCTTCTTAAGGTTTACTAGGTTCTATAGGCGCTTTATTAAGAATTATTTAAAGATTACTATACTACTAATAAATCTCTTTTAAGGCGACGTCGCTAGTACTGTTATACTAAGTTCCGAAGCCTTAAAAGCCTTTTATAAGCTACGACTAGTCTTTATAAAGGCCCCTTTTCTACGTTACTACGACCCTAAACTACCTACGCGCGTAGAAACAGATATATCTGTCTATACTATTAGTACTGTCCTTTTATAGCTATAAGAAGGCTACTAGTATCCTGTTACATTTATTTCTAGAAAGCTAAAGGGGCTAAAGCTACGCTATAACACCTCTAACGCTAAGTTAATAGCTATTGTTAAGGCTTTTAAGTTATAAAGGCTATACTTAGTATATGTACAAAGTTTAGTATTAGTTTTAATAGATTACCTAAACTACTATTACTTCTTTATAAAGCCGAAGTTGTTATAGTAGTAAGCTAGATAGCTAGAAGAACTTTCTGTCTTTAACTTTAAGATTAAATATAAAGAGAGTACCTAAAACCCTACTAATAAGTTGTTGTAGCAGCCTGACTTACAAGATCCTAATAAGTAATTAGAGGCGTAACAAGCTCTCTTAGCAACTTTCCTTAATAAATTCCGGGTAAACGTAGTTACCTTAGAAGCTATTAGTCTTACTATAAGGCTTGTTTAAAACAAAGCTTTTATTCCTTTTATTCTTTTAATTCCTTTTATTCTTTTAATTCCTTTTATTCCTTTTAAAGGTCTAGCGACCTCTCTAACGTATACTGTCTTAGTAGAATCGCTCTAGCGTAAGAGGCTAGACTTACGCTAGCTAGTAGACTAAGGCGATTGTAGGTCTTAGGGACCTTACGCTTTTATTACTAGAGTATTAAGTCGTAAATTAAACACTCTTATACTAGTAGAGAACTCTACTTAGAGTTAGGCTAGTAAGAGTAACAGCTAGGTAACAGTAACGTTAACGTTACTACTATTACTATTAGAAGCCCTTTATAATACGTAGTAAAGAGACGCCTTTATTACTAATAAAGAGTAGAAGAAGTAGTAAGGTAGCTAAGGTACTATTAGGTCCTTATAGATATTTAAGGATAATATACTACTATAGTATTATAAATATATATATATACTTAATAATCCGGGCTTATATAAGAAGTTACTAAAGCTTTTCTATAACGTACCTACTATAAGGCACTAGAGAGTTAGTAAAACAAAGAAAAGGCTTTCC